CGTCTTTAGTAATCTCTATCAGTCTAGTCCAGGGGTCGGCAACAACCTGCGGCTCGCGAGCCACATGCGGCTCTTTTGATGTCAAGATGCGGCTCTCAAGTTCCTTGCACAAATATTAATAATTAAATTATTTCATTTTTAAAACTCATGACAAATATTTTACTGTAAGGAAAAACAACTTTAAACAGGATAAAAAACACTCGACAGAGAACAGTGAGAATAGATGCAGTAGAGAGTAGACAGCTGACATTCGCTTGGGCACCAGTTCCAGTCCCATAGCCGTGCTGTGGAGAGCACCGTGGCAACAATTCCAGGCTTTTAAATAACAAATCAAATTTATATACGTAATCCTAATCAAATATCATAATAATGAAATAATAATGTGGCTCTTTAGAAAGTGGGCAATTTTGTACATTGTAACTTTTGGCTTTTCCGTCTCAAAAGGTTGCCGACCCTGGTCTGATCTTATTTCTATCTATCTACTCTATGACAAATTTCCTTGCCTTCTTTGGCACTACAACACTATATCTAATATGTTAATTATTTATTTTATTTTGTTATCATTGGTAATAAATCAGTTTTAAATTTTAATTGCGCGGATACAATTGTTTTTTACGTTGATACATTGTATCGTCCAACACCATTCGTGAACTAGTTGTAAACCTACGAGTCGACTTTCCACTGATAAAGACTCCTGGGATTTTTATATTCCCCAAGTTTTCAAAACATTTCGGACTTCGGACTAGTTGTGGGAAACTAACAGAACGGTTGTGAAAGTATTCAGCAAAATAAATGTCAATAGATTTTTAAGGTAAAAACTAGAAGAAATTACAAGACAAAGTGTAACATACAACTGGGGAGATGTTCTCTGTGTAGAATACTATTGATACAACAGGACTCTGGATTAAGTTTACTATCAGCTTTCTGTGTTGATGAGATAGCCTTTGATTTTGTTCTCATAAACTAAATTGACAAGCATGCACCTAGTTTCGTCGTCAATCCAGTAACGCATTTTAAAAGAGATTTTTTGTGTGTAATTATCTAAAGGTTTTTTTTCCAAAATTAGATAAACATCACAGCGGATAAAAAAAGACATTCTTGTTGATTCAAGTTGTGTTTCTGTATCTTGTACTCGATTTTAAAATTGTGCTGTTTCTTCACAACGAAAACATTTTCAGCAAATGAGTGTTGAAACTAAAAAATTAAAACGCACAAACAAATGTTGTCTTTTATGTGGCATTAGTTTACTCATGGCTACTGACAATTGTATCGTTGATGCTGGAAAGACAACTCTGTTATAAGAATCATAGATAGAATCTAATTTACAAACTGTTAACAAACTAGAGATTTAATAATATCTTAATCGTACTTTTGATAACACTTACTTTTGATTCATCGTGGTTTGATTCTTAATATAGAATATATTATATTTAGCACAGTCAATGTAAAAACCTAATTATGGAAAGCTACTACATGTTAAATTTTAAAAGAAAAGGTTTATATAAATAAATAAATAAATAAATAAATAAATAAATATATATATATATATATATATATATATATATATATATATATATATATATATATATGTATATATATATATATATATGTATATATATATATATATATATATATATATATATATATATATATATATATATATATATATATATATATATATATATATACTTGTCTAAAATAAAACATATTTTTACAATTTTTATTCTTTTTTAAAATTCTGTTATTCGTCATCATATTTTATGCCGTTAATAAAGTGAACCTGAAGAACAATGGGGCAAGTGAAGTAGAGTTTTTCTGTTTCTGTGACCAAAGTATACGGATGGAGTGTGGTCAGCATTATGCCTAGCCGCCTTTAATTTCCCTGAAGTGAGTTAGGTATCATCTGAGCTTGGTGGACTGTGTGACGTTCTACTGACTTAAACCCGGTTTCGAACTCAAGAGATTTTCGGGTTAGTAGTCTAGCGCTCTACCGCTAGGAGACACCGCCTTTCTGTTCTTTTGTTTCAATCACCTGGACATGTTTAACCTGGTTAAATCAAGGAATTGGGAGTTCAGCCTATATTTTTTAAAGACTCTTGTTGATTGAGATTTGAAAACCAGACCATACATATTCTGTTTCTCTACATATTTCAGTGGCTACTATTTAAAAAAAATATAACACAGACACAATTTATTATTGCTTTATTGAATGTTTATTTTCGGCAGTTGACTTAGCAATCATTTTTTTCTCTTTAATTCAATTTCAAAATATTTGACAATAACTTTATTTTGTAACTTTATTGATAGTACCTTGACATTATCTTTTTATTAATATTGCCTGATTTAACCCCCTTACAGCTGTGGATGACGGCTTGTCAATTGTTTAGTATACACAACATGTATAAATTAAATTGCTTGTTTTTATTGATGGTAATTTTTATTTTATTTTTATTTTTTTTAAAAATATGTAAGAAGGGGTTAAGGGTTAACCTTTTTTATGTCTCTTGTGATGAGCAGGTCTAATCCACGAATATAAAAGCTTTATCGCTGGCGTCCTCTTCAGAGGGACTCATGGTCAGGTTGACCACATCAGAAGTGGACTCGTCCTTTGACAATGGACTGGTCTTGATGTCCACTTTCTGGTCAGTCCAGCTGAGACAGACACAGGTGCCCCGGGTGATGATCTGGGGGTGGGAGGTCGAGTGCTCCACTCCATCTTTGTCCAGCCACTTTTCCTCCACCACCTCCACACATGCCTTATAAGAGAAGGAGATGGGGGAGGGGGGGAGTGTAAAAGGGCAGATAGAAGATAGTAACTTTTTTTTTTTAAAGTACGGATGTTTTTGTTTTTATGTAGTAAAATGTGCACAAATGTATCTTTGTGTTGGAATGTGTGTAATTTGATAGTGAATTTTATTTTTTATTGACACAGTACATTTAGTTTGAAGATTACAGCAGCAAATGTGTGGGTCTTTTTTTTAATGAAGGTTTTATGCTGTGTTAGATGTTACGATATTATAATAATAAAGAAGTAAAATGAATGTTACAGAAATAAAGTTTCTAGTTAGAACTAGACGGTTTCAGTAACGTCGGAATTTGGAGGGATACTGTGGTCAGCACTGAGACCCTCTGACTTTTCCTTTAGGTGAGTCAGGTAGAAATCAAAGCTTCGTGAATACGAGACATGCGGGTTGGTAGTCGTTTGCTTTACTTTCCGACCATCTCATCCCACTGATGTTCATTATGTAGGCCTAATACAGAGCATTAATGGGGAAAAAAAACAGCAAGGGAGGAAACTCACTTTTTCTTCCGGTGAAAGAACTCCTCCATCATGAACAAGCTGAAAAGCCTCATGTAAATTCTCAATGTTTATGGTCATAGAGAAATTATGACACCTAAACTTAAAGTCAACTCGTACAAATCCTGTTAAAAAATGCAATATACGTAAACAATTTAGTAAGCTAGATCTGGTTTTGAATAGAGAAACGTTATTAGAGCTATCTAATCATAACTATTTGATTGTTACAGCTAAAAAGTTGAGTTTCACCTTTGGGGTTGGACAAAGTGGTTCGGATCTCAAAGTCATAAACAGAGCGCTCTCGTCTCACTAACAGCTGAGCATGGGTTCGAGACGATGGCTCCACTTCAACCTGCGAAAAATTAGCGCAGTAAATAATTTCTTTCATATTCATCCCTATTTTTAATAGCGTAAAGTTACAGCTTAAGGTTTCTCAAAGATTTGAAAACATACATGTGCCTTTGTTTTCCAGGTGTCTTTGTTCTTGAAAACCAGGCCTCTGTCCTTAAATAGGTTCAGGATGTTGTTGTTGTTTATTTTAAAATGAGCGGTTTCAGAGAGGCTTAATATCACTCGCACCTGGTTGTTTAATATATATATATACATAAATATATATATATATATATATATTTACATGTATATATATGTATACATATACATATATATACATATATATACATATATATATATATATATATATTTATATACATATATATATATATATATATATATATATATATATATATATATATATATATATATATATATATATATACATATATATATATATATATATATATATATATATATATATATATATATATATATATATATATATATATATATATTATATATATATACATATATATATATATATATATAAATATATATATATATATATATATATATATATATATATATATATATATGTATATATATGTATATATATACATATATATACATGTATATATATATATATGTATATATATATATATATATATATATATATATATATATATATATATATATATATATATATATATATATATATATATATATATATATGTCAGGACAAATGATCTCAAGACAAATGATCTCAAGGACAAATGATCTCAAGGACAAATGATCTCAAGGACAAATAATCTCACGGACGAAAGATACCAAGACAAAACATAGCAGGACAAATGATCTCAGACAAAATATCTCAGACAAAATATCTCAGACAAAATATCTCATACAAAAAACGCTTTAAAATTTGTTTTTTAGCCAGCCTACATTATTTTTGCGATCGATTTTTAACATGATTTTTTTAATAAAGAAAAGTAAAAAAAAAACAATATCTTCTTTTAATTATTACGTAAAAACGGCCTACTTAAGATTCAAATAGCTATAAATTGGAACTTATGCAAAATTAATAATATACATACAAAACACAATGTGACAAAACAAAATCAAGAAACTACCATTACACTTTACACATATCAAGCATCTGGATCTCACACAATCAGGACCTGCATGCCAGATTTTAAGCAACGTTTTTCACGATCTACAAACATTTTTAAAGCTCATTTATTTCAGGCCATATTTTTTTTGTATAGGCATCTGCATATCTATTTTTTTCAGTTCCGCCTCTGGTCTTTAATGGTCAATCTAAAATATTCTACTCTCTACGAAAGATCTTAGTTCTTGATTTCTGTCCACTTCATATAATATTTCCAGAGAGCGGTACAAAACAAAATGTCGTGCAAGATTCCTCGAGGTTTTATCAGCCGAATATCGGATGTTCACTGCAAATGGTTTTATTTGGTTTATAATACGCAAACGCACTTGCATCACAAACACATATACACGCAAACACATACACATACGCAGAGTCGCAGGCGCACCCGCATTCGTGCGCCGACCACTACCTGTTGGTCCACCGTGTAATACTGGTCAAGGTCGACATGAACCCAGGACATCGTGTCACGTGATCCTTTAAACGTGTGACTTTGTTTATAGTTGGCTTGGTTGTCATAGTAACACGACAACAGTGACACCCATTGTGTGCCTGGGATAAACAAACATGTGCATTAGTCTTGTAAGTGAAAAGCGTATTCGCAATTAAAATTTTATACTGAGTAATTTGTTACATTTTTTTCCGCTTACCTATGTAGCTATTATTTATTTTAATTCTTTTCTCTATTTTTATAATGGCGCCACATATATTTTAGCCACTCATTCAGCGGTATCTACTTGTATAGCTTGGAAACAGGTTAATTGGCGAAGTAAAATCAGCTTAAAAAACTGTTTTATCAGCAGAAGCGTCAATAGAAAACATTGCCCATCTTGGAAAAATATTTGAAAAACTTTTCCAAATGAAAATAAAAACAGTATCAGCGACACGTGCATTCCGCAAGATAGACAATTAAGTTTCTAACCCACCTATAAATCCTCCCCACACGAAATGTTTGCCGTATAAATTTGTCATATTGCACTTAACATTTTAAAATTAAGATTACTAATATAGTATGCGAAGACTAAAGAATTTTTTTCGTTACACAGCGTAGATGGGCTTGCCAAACATGAGACAATCCTACCATGTCAGGTGGACGAAACAAGATCAAAGGGAATGAAATAACAATAAAGACACACCTTCGTATCAAGGTGGCCGCCCGCTTTGACGGCAGAGACATGCCTTAAGGGAAAGACAACCGCCCTTTATGGGCAATACAACTAGCATCTAAAGTCAATACTTAGTAATCATGTGACAAATGCTTATTTAAACTACAGCAGTCATCGCGGAGCTAAGTTTGTCGTATTTGCATGCGAACAAATCAGCATTAGTGGTGATTTCGTTACCTTGCAGAAAGGTTTTAGGGCATTAATTTCTTTGATTTTATGTATATAAAAGCCAAAAGTGGAGTATCAGGCAAAGAGATTTGGAAATGTGAAGTTAAAACATGTCGAGCAAGAGTTCACACAATAGATGATCACATAGTATTTGAGAGGTGTGATCATAACGATGTACCTACCAGCAAAGAAACGTAAGCGTTATGTCTGTGTTGACGATGCAATAAAAACAATAGTTGTACGTTACGAACCTGAAGACCCATTCACAATTTTGAAAAATATTTCGCATGTTTTGAACATTAGTGTTGTATAAATAACTTTTTTGTTTTATACATTATCATTTATCAAACCTTTCAGGCTAAAGGAGAAAGTTTTTATTTTTTTTATTTTTACTTTTTCAAATCAAATGCTATTATAAATATTAAGTTTAATACATCTTTTGATGCCTTGTTAAGTTAAACAAATTCATTTTATTCACAATTATTATGCGTAGAAAAGTGAACAAAACCCTATTGACAGTCAATAAAAAAATGTTCAGATCAACTAAAATCATCCAATACTCTATTAAAATTTTGCTGTGAGATATTTTGTTTGAGAATTTTTGTCTGAGATCAATTTTCCATGTTATCATTTGTCCTGATATATTTTATCCTGGTATCTTTTGTCCGTGAGATCATTAGTCATTAAGATTTTTTGTCTGAGATAATTTGTCCTGAGATCATTAGTCCGTGAGATATTTTGTCTGAGATATTTTGTCTGAGATCATTTGTCCTGAGATCATTTGTCATGGAACCATATATATATATATATATATATATATATATATATATATATATATATATATATATATATATATATATATATATATATATATATATATATATGTGTGTGTGTGTGTGTATAATACAATATGGCAACAATCTTTATATCACATTTTAATAAGTTTTTACCTCAAATAAAAATATAAAGGAAATTTAAAAAAACCAACAGTATTTTGAAATCTCTAAAAGAAAATTATCGGCCCAGTGTTAGCCAGTGATCGACTTTTATTAATGAAACCAACCAGCTGTGGCCAACATTTTGTCGGCTAGCGATCGCTAGTGTTTAATCTAGCAATCTCAACTTTTATTATTGAATTTCGTAATCTTTTAATTACATATTAGTGAATGATCTAAAGCCTAATTAGATTACAAATCAGATATTCTTGCATTTTCATCAGAGACGAATGTATCTGAATAATTAAAATTGAATTACTCGATTGGACACAACCCCACAAACAAACAAACAGACATAGTGAGCTAAATAAAAAAAGTCACCTGTTTTCTTTTCTCCCATGAAGGTTTTGATAGAAGTATCGTCCTTCACCTTGGGACAAAACTTGGTGACTTTGTGCTCGAAGTTGAGTGCCTTCCAGTCCACCTCACAGGTGAAAAGGTTTTGCTGCATGACTAAGTAATCCCTCAAATTGTTCGGGGATTGGCTAAATGAAATTCATTTTTTAATACGGCAATAAATGACATGTGTGACCCCCCCCTCCCGAACAAAATGAAATTTATATGGAAAATATATACCTTTAACAATGTCCCCCCCTCCGGGAAATGTTGACCGCTCCCCCCCCCCCCCGACCGAAAACATCAAGTGCCCCCCCCCCCCCGAGAAAAAAGTCTGGAAGAAACACTGATACTAAATTATGGAGAACAACTTGACAAGACCCAAAGGGCAATAAAATACAATTAGCGTAAATGGGGATGAATTGGACACACCACGCGTAAACAAACAAGCACTTAATCAGACGGGAACGAGACTGGAATCCTCAAGGAAAGAGGAAAGTAGGGATGCCAAAATAAGTTTGGAAAAGTTCAGCTGTCAGCAAAACAGCCGGAATGTCGAGGTCCCAGCCTAGAAGAATCTTCAAGAACCGAGTTTAAAAAAATTTGGAAGAAACACTGTCCCCAAGAATGATGATAATAATGATGATGTTTTCTATATTAGTTTTGAAAAAAAAAATCGGAATTGAACAATAGAAAGAAAGGCTATTTCTAAAGTACTTACCTGATTAACTTTTGCCATGCGAATCGATAAACTATCGCATCCAAGTCAAGCGTAGCCATATCCTTCTCTGTTAAGGAAACGTGTAAACATGTTAAACACGAAAGAGTTGATAAAGTTCCTTTTTTATTATATTGTGCTGAATGGAGTATGGTGTGATATAGAGTAATGTTACAAAACACTTTATTAATTTAATATATATGATGTAGCATGCTTTTTGTTGTTGTAAAATCTAAATCGTTTATTTTTTACAGTTATTTACCTTACCCAGAAATATAGTTCTTGTTTCCTTTTCCCATTTTATTTCGGGGAGGTGTCTAAAATCAAATCATTACAACTGTTTAGGTCATGAATGAAAATAAACAGGACAATAGAAAACACATACAAAAATCTATTTCCTGGCTTCAACAAGCAGAACGGTTACCTGACCGTGAAATTGTGTCCATTGTATTGATAAATCCAAAGATCACTCCGTATATCAATTCTCTGACCCATTTATTGACAAATTAACAGGAAAATCCACATAACAAATTTCATTTTGCTGTTCAGTCCACTGACAAGTAAACTGACTATCCACTGACAAGTAAACTGACCGTACAATGACAAGTAAACTGACCATCCACTGACAAGTAAACTGACCATCCACTGACAAGTAAACTTATCGAACCACTGACAAAACGTCTCACCAACATACAAATCAACAGACTTACCAAACGATGACAAGTTCATTCTTTGACAACTGACCATCTCACTAACCATTACATGAGCAAACGTCTTTTTTTTTACCTGAGTGCCCAACTAGTGAACTTCTCAAAGAGCACCACATGTGTGGCCATATTAAAAAACACACATGTCGGCACAACCAACAAAGACACTCCTTCAAAGCTCTTCAATACCTGCAACGATTAAAACCTTTTTACTTATTAATTCAAATTTTTGCTTTTGCATACTACTACATTCATTTTTCTCACGTTTTCTTTAATTTGCTTTCGTCTCTGTTTTTCCAATTAAATCTTGCGATCGAAATTTCTGGCACTTCCCAGTTAGCTAGCGCGCTGAAATTTTCAGGGAAGCTTTGTTTTGGATGACAATAGAATATTCAATTGTTATTATTACTAAATTGATCAATGGAAACATTTTATTGAGCATTTTAGAGCGCTATATAATTGTAGTAAAAACGTGGGGAAAAAGGGACATAACCCAGTAACTGTAATTTGATGAAAACAAGGTTCGGTACTCTCCCTCTTTTTGCTTACTGAGTAGTGTTCACGCGGTGTTTGTGTACAAACAACCGTAACAACTGGTGGCCAGTATGGGGGAGACGATATGGTCGAGTGGTTGGGCACACGATTGCTATCCCACTCGACAAGGAACACATAGATTTGTGTTCTAGTCAGTAACGTATTCACACAACGTGTTTTTTACGAGTTGTCTTTTTACGAGTTGTCTTCGTTTACCCAAAAAAAAAGTGAAAAGATAAAATCGATAGCAAGATTTTAATGCAAACAAACAGACAAAGACTAAAAAGTAGAAAATAATAATCATTAAAAAAGTTAAAAAAAACCCACGTTTTCTGATTGAACTAAAAAGTAGAAAATAAATGCTATACATCACAATAATGCAAGCGATCACTCTACTATAAGCGATCAAAAACGTGAGGCGCCGAAGTAAAAGTTATATTACTATTGATTAGATAATACTATTGACTTTTATTAGAGGTCGGAGAGGGCGTAGGGTGTAGATTGTGGGAAGGGTTAGGGTGGGTGTAGTACTGTGAAAAAAACCTACCCCCTTCCAGGGACACACAACACAACCTATTTGGTTCAATTTTTAGTTCAATCAGAAAACGTGGGTTTTTTTAAACTTTTTTAATGATTATTATTAATAAGTAAGCCAAACATTCAACTTGATCCTAATTTCAGCAGTATTTCAAAGATAAATCACCCAATATTTTGTCCCACTTTTTAAAATTGAGGCACTATGATTCTTTTAACATCATTTAATTTTTTTTAAAAGTATAATGAACTTGTTCATATAGGAGCATCTATTTTTCCAACAACCCTAAGTTAAGAAAAGTGCTCCATGTTTTTGTATACTATAAACAACCTTAACTATTTTTTTTAGTAAAAACAAATTTAATTTGAAAAAGGAAGAATCAAATTTTACTCACCTCACAGGTTGGCAAATATGAAAAAAACAGAATCGACTCGAGAACAGAGAGGCCAATTATCAAGAAGAAAAGCATGTAAATTCCGACAGCGATGTAGAGTGGCTGGAAAGCAACGGCCATCAATTCCATTGTGAATCTCTGCATCCATGATATGTGTTGGCAGGGTGGTGTAGCCACATGGTTTTCTATGCCGGTAATGTAAGGAGAGTCGGGTGTTAATGTAGGTGAGGCGTAAAGGACAATAAGAAGTCAGGCGGGGGTGTAAGTGTAAGTGCTGTGGACGGAAGTGTTTGTGTGAGGGGGAAAGGTGTGCAGATGTTGGGAAGGCAAGGGTGATGTTGTGGTATGATATGTGCCTACTCCCTCCCATGGTGGGCTATATGGTGAAACCAACACCATTCAATTCAATTTTTAAATCTTCTTAGATATTACTATTATTCTGAAAAAAAGAACACACAAGTAGCGATCTTTGATCTGCCGTATGAGCTAATAATCATGAGTATCGTTTACATATTTAACTCCCACCCAACGATTGATTGGTTTATGTCCCATTATTGTCATGTGACTTTGAGGTCATAAAAATGGTGATAAACATGTTTTTTTTCAAGCACAATAGCATTTTATATCAAAATAAATGATGAATTAATCATAATCTGCAAAAAATATTATTAATTTTAAACTTATTATATATTTTCGAGTACGAAAATTAATGCTATCGCGTGATCGGCGAGACGCCGCCATCTTGCCGACTTTGCATTCATCCTCGGTCAGACCTCATGGAAAATGGAATTAGATTCTAATTATCTGCGTGAAAATGATTTAGATTCAAGTAACGAAGAAGTGTAAGACCTTACTGATGTCATAGACACTGGAGATAATGAAAATACAGTTTTGAACACTATTTTGAACTCTTTCTCTACACATCGTAAGTAACTCAGTTTTTATCGTTTTTTTTCCTACTAATTTTTTGGCGATTTTTATAAATTTTTCTTTTTAATGATATTAATTAGATATAAATGTGTAGTTAAAAGAACACTTCAATCATTTTACTATGTAACTAGCCTAGTTTCAGTTCATAGTATATGACAATTATTAAATAATAGTAGTATTGGTAGCAGTACTGTATACCGTCTAGAATGTAAACACAAATCAGCTGATCTTACATGACTGTAATAAAAACTCAGTTTTCTTTTGTTACAAACAGTACTAACTTGTACTAACTTATTATAAATCACCTAACATTTATGATGAAATTATTATATGTGAAAATATTAAATAGAATCCATATTTTAAATATTTACCATTTTTTCTTTTCAACAGAACTGAGAATTTATAAAGGAAAAAAGGAGTGAATGGGTATCCCTTATCAATTGAGACTGTTACCTCCTGAGAAAGAACCAGGAATTCAGCTGGCTGAGATGAGGACAGGAATCAGAACAATGAAGTATATGTTTACTCAAACCTATTGTGTTTGTAAACTCTACAGTGGATATTGTGACATACATTATGTCAATTTACCAATGGATATGTAAAGCGACGCAGATCACCTATCTGTCTCGGGATGGTTTAATTCGACACCTGATTAAATCTTACGGGTTTTATGGACTTCTGGGGATTATCAACACTCATTTTGACAGATTCTGAAGCAAGAATTTACTCTGTGCTCTACAATGGACTGCAGCTCAAGTTTTGATATCACGCTATTGCTTCAAAGGTGTCATGCTTTTTTAAAGATGTACTATCAAGATACTGAACATACAGAGGACATATTATACAAATAATGCTCCCAACTTACATCAAAATTAAGTGCAGTAAATTGTTGTAGCTTTATATATTTCCATAGATAAGACAAAGGTTAGAAAGAATATTTTTCTTGACAATACATTATCATGCTTATGATTGTGGATAAGCCAACAGTAGGGTATGCAATTATGAGCTTTGGCTGATCATTGAGAGGTTACACATATGGTTTTGTTTTTTTATATTTTATTATTCTGGTCAGTGGGCCAGATGGGTTAGCTTATGTGGTGGATGAAAGTGATCAGTTAATAAAACTGTAATGTCCTTCGGTAAACAATTAAGTACTAGTAGTGTACTAGAACTAAATTTTTTCACCTTTGAGATATAACTTAAGTTAATTTCTGTATTTTACTTCAAAATTATTGAGAAAAGAATCCAGATATCTTAGGAAAAAAAATTCCAACATGGTATTGCCAATTACACTCTTTAAAAGTTAGTTGGAAAGTTAGGTAATATTTCACTTAACCATACTGTTTCTTTGGCTTTTAAGCCACCATTATTTTCCAACCATTCTATGAACCATACTATATCAGATTAGAATGAGGTTTTTAAATTGTTATTGTATTGATAAAATAATATTAAAAGAATATAAGTTAAGTGTAGATAAGTGTATATGATACTTACAAAAAGAAGGAAATTGTTTGTTTAGTTATCATGTGTGTTCGCATTATTTATTAATTGAAGATCATTAAAAGCATCTGTTTTAATGTAATAAGAAGCACTGTAGATATTACAATTTGATTATTTCATTACATTGACTTATGTGTGTGTTTGATTACATGTTAACCTATGTTTGCCACTTTTAGAGTAAAAATGTTTGCGGAGAGGTCCAAATCATGTAAAGATCATCATAAGATCAATTAATTTGTGAAAAATCCATTTCTTGGCACAGTGCATTCAAAATTGTCACATTTATACATATATGGATGTAAGTCAATAAAATATACATATTAACTCAATAGCTCTTATCAATTATTTTTTTGCTTCTTAGGAACTGTTGATTTTAAAGTTTTTAATTATTTTTTAAAAATTAAACCATCAGATTTTAGGCTACAAAAATAAAACCAATTGTTAACACCTAAAAACTCTTCAGTAATATTAAAGACAAATCAAATACCTACACAATGATATATAACACATGTGTGTGCTGATGTTCAATCTATACTTATGGTCAAAAGTTACAAGCATACTGCCGAACACTGAAAATATCACTAAAACCCTCAGTCTGTTAAGAGTTAAAGCCAAGGGGGTAGCTAATGAGGGGTGGATAGCTGAACAGGATTTAAGCAAATATATTTTTTTGATATTATTTAAAATCCAATATTAACTCACTATTATATTTAAACATCTAATGATTATAAAGCCTATTAAAAATAAACAAGCTTTTAAATGCACTAAAAAAGAACACGGATTAGCATAGATGTTGGTCGCTCGTGAAATCTAAGAAAAAAGAATTTTTTTTCTTCTTTTAAAAATAATGGATATTGAAAAAGCATCTCATTATTACAGGTTTTGTGTTGTTTTATTTCCACGGCGAGCTATGTTAAGCTAACACAATCGTTTGGTAGATATTTTCTTAACATCCGTTTCAGTTCAGATACTCTGTTGGTTGACTTCTGGCAGACGTTCATAGGCTGACGTCATGTTGTCATGACAGTGCCCCCCGTTTGTCAGTGGGTTCCTTATCGGTCTAGGTTGACCTTGGCAGTTATCTTAACGGCCCAGGGGAAGCCATCACCACACTGCGCCCTCCAACAATTGGTAAGTTTTCCTGTAGGTTTGGGGGTCTGGTGTACGGAATGGGGGGGGGGGGGGAGGGGGAGGAGCCTATCCACGACTTAAAATTTTAAAGTCTTTTCTTTTAAAATTTTTTTTTTTAAATTCAAGTTTCATTAACATGAAGATAACCTTTCATAAGGTCATTCGAAGGGTGCACCGGTATGGTTACATAAGATCATTCGGAGGCTGCACCAGTATAGTTACATAAGGTTATTCGGAGGCTGCACTGGTATGGTTACATAAGGTCATTCGGAGGTCGCACTGGTATGGTTAAGAGATAATAAGCTGTACCTTAATCACACAAAAAAGTACGTTACGACGAACCGAAAGTAAATAATGACTAAGCCGAAATACTTATGAAATACACAAATGTCACAAAGCACAATAGCTTTAGTTACACTAGTTCTAAAGAACAAATTAAAGTTGCTTTCTTTAAAATTATGCACATTAAAACTCATTTAAAAAAAAATAATTGGCAATTATTTAACCATGGTCATTATTATTTGTGTGCTAAGTACCCAATCCTCCTGTAAATATTTTGTTCTGTAACCTGTGAAAACGTTTGTTTTTAAACTCATTATAGGTGGTGAGATACAATTAAAACAAAAACAAAATAAACCGGGAGTGATCTCCCCTAAACTTTCTCGAATATTCTTATATAAAATAACAGGGGATGGGAACTCGGGCTATAGACATGATTTTTAATCCATTTTAAATACTTAAAGTTTTAAAAATAGAATAAAATCTCGTAGACAAATTAATTGCACACCAAGTGAACGCGAATAAAAAAGTGCATAATAGTGCGCAATATTATTAGTACTTTAAAAATTTACATTAGTTTTTTGAGAAATCGGAAGTAGCGTAAATAAGTACTTCCGGTCAACGAAAAATTCTCACAATTTGACAGAAGGTAGAGAATTAGATCTTTTACTTACATATCAAATTTCATCTATCTATCTGAAATAGTACTCAAGTTATAGGCTTTTGAAAAATTCAAAGTAGAAAAAGTACCACTTCCGGTTATCCGAAATCGCTCAAAAGTTGATACGGATCTACGATTTTGATAAAATACTTGTATATGAAATTTCATCAACCTAGCTGTAACGGTACTCAAGTTATCGTGTTTACACACGGACACACACACACACACACACACACACACACACACAGACACACAGACATACGGACAAGATTGCAAAATTATGTTTTTCCGTATCAGTGAGATGTAAAACGTCGAGATTTGCAAAAATCTCGATTTTTTTTTTTTGCACGATTACAAGACTTTCTCTATACTTCGTATATACGAGAAAGTAAAAAGACTACCAAATTACTCATTTTTACATCAAATGTAAAAGACATGATCACGTTGAAAACAACTAAAACGATGGAAGCTATACCGCATTAATTTTCAAATTACCTGTTACACTTTTTAATAAACCGGGAGTGATCTCCCCAAAACTTTCTCGAATATTCTTATATAAAATAACAGGGGATGGGAACTCGGGCTATAGACATGATTTTTAATCCATTTTAAATACTTAAAGTTTTAAAAATAGAATAAAATCTCGTAGACAAATTAATTGCTCACCAAGTGAACGCGAAATAAAAAAGCGCATAATAGTGCGCAATATTATTATTACTTTTAAAATTTACATTAGTTTTTTGAGAAATCGGAAGTAGCGTAAAGTACTACTTCCAGTCAACGGAAATGACTCAAAATTTAATAGAAGGTAGAGAATTAGATCTTTTACTTACGTATGCAATTTCTTTTATCTATCTGAAATAGTACTCAAGTTATAGGCTTTTGAAAAATTCAAAGTAGGAAAAGTACCACTTCCGGTTATCGGAAATCGCTCAAAAGTTGATACGGATCTACGATTTTGATTAAATACTTATATATGAAATTTCATCAACCTAGCTGTAACGGTACTCAAGTTATCGTGTTTACACACGGACACACACACACACAGACACACACACAGACACACAGACATACGGACAAGATTGCAAAATTATGTTTTTCCGTATCAGTGAGATGTAAAACGTCGAGATTTGCAAAAATCTCGATTTTTTTTTTTTGCACGATTACAAGACTTTCTCTATACTTCGTATATACGAGAAAGTAAAAATGTACATAAATTTTTCATGTCAACACTAGAACATGAAATCTGTTTTGTATTCAGTACGACAGTAGCAGTATTCAGTACAACAGTAGCAGTATTCAGTACAACAGTAGCAGTATTCAGTACAACAGTAGCAGTATTCAGTACAACAGTAGCAGTATTCAGTACAACAGTAGCAGTATTCAGTACAACAGTAGCAGTATTCAGTACAACAGTAGCAGTATTCAGTACAACCGTAGCAGTATTCAGTACAACCGTAGCAGTATTCAGTACAACAGTAGCAGTATTCAGTACAACAGTAGCAGTATTCAGTACAACCGTAGCAGTATTCAGTACAACCGTAGCAGTATTCAGTACAACAGTAGCAGTATTCAGTACAACCGTAGCAGTATTCAGTACAACCGTAGCAGTATTCAGTACAACAGTAGCAGTATTCAGTACAACCGTAGCAGTATTCAGTACAACCGTAGCAGTATTCAGTACAACAGTAGCAGTATTCAGTACAACAGTAGCAGTATTCAGTACAACAGTAGCAGTATTCAGTACAACAGTAGCAGTATTCAGTACAACAGTAGCAGTATTCAGTACAGCAGTAGCAGTATTCAGTACAACAGTAGCAGTATTCAGTACAACAGTAGCAGTATTCAGTACAACAGTAGCAGTATTCAGTACAACAGTAGCAGTATTCAGTACAACAGTAGCACTATTCAGTACAACAGTAGCACTATTCAGTACAACAGTAGCAGTATTCACAATACAACAGTAGCAGTATTCAGTACAACAGTAGCAGTATTCAGTAGAACAGTAGCAGTATTCAGTACAACAGTAGCAGTATTCAGCGTTTGAAGGGTCCCATTTTTACCACAGAATAATTGTTTGTGTGACTGTTGTCTAGTGATCCCTGACCGGCCAAGGTACCATAATTTATTCATAATCATAATGATCATTATTATAGCAGCGATAAGTGCAAACTGAATATTGATAAGAAAGATGAAGGTGAGTCCAATGACTACGTGTCAATGCACCGTATGCACGGCAAATAGATCTAGCCTATCAATGGAAGTTATAGGAATTCAAATAATAAAATTGTTTTGAATTAGACTAAAAAGACCTAACAATAAGTCAATAGGGATATAAATAATTAATAAATTCATTACATTAAAATGCGTATTACGCATAATTAAAACAGAAAAAATATAACAGATCATAATCATCTGTAAAACAATAATTACAAAAACTACACAATAGAGTAGATCTAGATCTAGATCTAGAATTAACTTGTCTAAATCTAGTTAATATTTTTACACTAACAACCGTACTACTGTACTGTTATATATTTAATCACAAATCTCCTCTTGGAGATTTATCTGTGCCGATTGCATTGAGCACATACATTTTTGAAAAAAATAAAAATAAAAACAAAGATTCTTACCTTTGTCTTTCATGTTTGTAAATTACGTAAAAAGGTTTTTAAAGATGTTCTTATTGTGGTGAGAAAAGAGTCTCTAAGAGACGACAGCAAGGACGTGCTGTTACGTGCGCACTGTATTGCACTGTATTGCAATGTGTTGATGGGAATTCCCTAACCAAAATATCATGGCAAATGATCTCCGACAAAATATCGCAAATTATCGTAGACAAAATATCTCACGAATAAACAATCGTATGGCAAAATGCATCCGGATAATCGATCTCACAGACAAATTAAAAATGATCACAGACAAAATACCTCACGGATAAATGATCTCATGATTAAATACATTAGGACAATTTATATCACTGACGAATAATCTCAGAAAAAATATCCCAGACAAAATATGTTACGGACGAATGAACTCAGTAAAAAAATTAGGGACAAATGATCTCAGGACTATTGTCAAAACACGTGCGATATGTCTCCAAAAAGTGAAAGAGTCATCAGCTAAGTAATCTCATTTGATTTATTTTCGTCTAACTTATGAGATATATTTGGCTCATGCCCAGCAAGCCCATATAAGCTGTTTATGGAAAATGTATTTTAACCTTCGCATATTATACTAATTACATTTTAAAATGATAAAATTAATATAACACACCTATTCATAGTTTCTTAAAATTACCCTTAATTAAATAGATATTTTACAGTAAGATATTTTGTTTGGGATATTTGTCTAAACCAAATTGCGGTCAGCCATATGTCTTGTAGCCTTTGCCCATTCGTGCCAGGCATTTATTAGAGCTGGGTGAACTCATGGACGTGCACCATTAAACCCATTACTTCCGGCTGGGTGAAATATTTTTTGTTCATGCTTTAATTAAGCTAACACGCCAGTCTCAGTTAGGTCATTAAGGGTAACAATTAAGTCTGCTTCATACGAGATGTTAGACTATACGCTGGACTCAAACGGCAACCTGATTGAGCGAGAAATAAGCAGAGGTTGCGACCACAGTTGGTCGATGTTGTCAAGTCAATGGAGCGTGAACAAACCTGCTACGGTCGAGTTGTGTTTAAATATTTTTCGAGCTTTCTCTCTGTATGTGCCCTATAAAATCCAAATCTGACATTGTCTGCTTCTCTGGATACCCATTAAACCCAGCTGTCATTTTCAGTAAATTATATTAGCAACAACAGACACGAGGTTAAATGAACACATTTTTATTTACGCTGCAAGTGCATACAGATATTTAATAACGAAACACAATTAAATAGTAAACAAACTATGCATTACTTGGTAGATTTGTGAGTTGGTGTTTTTATTTAATTTTTAAATTAAATTTAGTATGAGTTAACTTGTAAAATATTAGAGAGAAAATTATTTACTAAACCATGTGTATGTGTGAGTGGAGTGGATTAGGATTAATTAAAACTAGACGATAGCCCAAACAACTTCACATGCACTTCACTCACACATGACATCTGAACCAACACTCCATGTATATAAATAAATAAATAAATAAATGTATATATATGTATATATATAAAGACGTATGAATTTTATAATGGGTAGGTAGAGTAAAGTGTATATTCTGTATCTCTACTAGTTGTGAAAATATATCTGACTAATAAACCATAACAAATGAGTCGACGCTTGGGTCTTCTTCAGTGTGACAGACGGGCGTCTTGTTCATGTTGTGGTCCCCATCAGAAGTGGACTCGTCCATTGACAATGGACTGGTCTTGATGTCCACTTTCTGGTCAGTCCAGCTGAGGCAGACCATAGAGCCCCGGGTGATGATCTGGGGGTGGGTGGTCGAGTGCTCCACGCCATCTTTGTCCAGCCACTTCTCCTCAATCAACTCCACACACCTCTGAAAAGTGGGGGATGTAAAATACGTGTTTTATCTCATTAGTTAATGGTTTCTGTATGAGTGGTTTTTTTTATGTGTATTGGGAATTTGTGCGCATATGCATGTTTGTGTTGGAGAATTAGACTATTTACGTACACTTTGTAAACATATTTTGGGTTGTATTACAATCTCAAAAACAGAGAGTCCACATTGACAGCATTGTGTGTGTATGGCTGTTTCATGGAGTAATTTACCGTCGGAATTCGTGCGAGTGTGTAGTTAAACTAGTGATTGTCAAATGTTTTATTATGTCGCTGTAAACTTTATTTATGTAGCGACGCAGTAAATTTAGTTCTTATATTAATACAGAAGCCGTGGTCTAGCGGTAGAGCGCTTGACTGCTCAACCGAAAGTCTCGAGTTCGAACCCGGGTTTAAGTCGGTAGAATGTCCACCCAGCTCTGATGGGCCTCTAACTCACTTTAGGAAAAGTAAAGGTGGCTGGGCATAAAGTTTCAATTGCCGAGGTCTCTGAAACAGACGAACTCTTCTTCATCTGCCCCATGTGTCTTGGGCACGAACGGGAAAAGATGATGATGATGCTATTAGCACAGCGAACTACTGGTTTTGTTGATGGTGAAACGGTTGATATTGTTTTAATAAAAGGCAGGGACTAAACGTTGTTTTGATACAAAAACAAAACAAAAACAAAACAAACAAACAAAACAAAAAATAACAACAGAAATGCAAGACGAATGTAGCTGGCTAGCAAAGACGGATAACTCACTTTATGTTTTTGAAAGAGAACCCCTCCCTCTTCCACAAGCTGAAAAGCCTTTTGGAAGTCTTCAATGAATACCACAAATATGATGTCTACCTTCTTGTGTTGAAAGGTAACAGGGACTACACCTGATGAAAAACACAATCAAACATAATGATACAATGAACGCCGGCACGCTTTATTGTAGTAATTCTTTCTTATGCATATTTATTTTCATCAACTTATTTTAGTGCCCAATATCTGTCTGTTCTCTGTTTCTGGCATGTCTTGTAATTCAGTTTTAATTTACTTTCCGGATACATTTGTCTTCAAGACATGGCAGGGTTTTTAAATTTTAACTTAATTAAATATTAAATTAGTCATTAAAAAATATTAATAGATTAATATCATCAATAACCAAAGTACTAGCATTAAACACAGTGGCGTAGCGAGGTCGGGTGTCACCCGGTGCGGCACTTAATGGTGTCACCCCCCAGAGACGTAGCGACCCTTCCCGGGGACAAGCTTTCAAATCTGTGAGTTTGTCATGGACTTTAGTAGGCGGAAACGAAATACCTTTTTAAGTAAAGCTATCAATCGAATCGGGTGTTAAAATATATTAACTCATCACATGATGTGTAAACTCCATTGAGAACAAACAAGATACAAAAAGTAAAGCACTGATTTTTTTAGCGAAAAAAAAAAACAACCTAAATGTCGATTTAATATTTTGCTTTTAAAAAAAACATTGACTGCTAAAAATCAGAAAAAAAAAGAAAAATGAAAAACAACCGTTATGTTAATAAACTTTTTAACTCAATGCAAATACAAAAAATCAAACTTGCTTTCTTTAGTAAAAATATTGGTCAGTCATTTAAATAAATATGCTAGCGACGAATGCTTTTACTAGAGAAAGCAAGTTTTACAAACATATTATAAGCAAAGATTTTAAAATACTTGTTATATTTTTTAAAAAAAAGAAAGAAAGGAAGGAAGTAAAGGTTTACCTTTAGGGTTGGACAAAGTGGTTCGAATCTCAAACTCCATGACAGAGCACTCTTGTCTTGCTAACAGCTGAGCATGGGCTCGAGACGATGGCTCAACTTCAATCTGCGAACAAATTTCTCCGTTAAAAACATCTTTCGATGTCCTCACTATTTAAACTGTGTAGAGTGACAAGATTTTTCTAGAAATTTTATATACCTGCGAGTCGACATCCCAGGTGTGAAGCTTTTGGAACACTTCACCTTTGACCTTGGTTAGATTGAGGGTATTCTTTTCGTCCATTAGTAAATTATGCGCGGTTCCAAACTGGTTTAACTTCACACAGACCTATATATATATATATATATATATATATATATATATATATATATATATATATATATATATATATATATATATATAATTTGCTATATGTCAACAAAGTAGAAATCCCGAATAGAACTGTACAAACATCCATTCCCCCTCTTCAGCCGTCTATACTACATCTTTCTCACTCCAAGTGAACATTTTTACTTTCTCGTATATACGAAGTAGGCCTATAGAGAAAGTCTTGTAATCGTGCAAAAAAAAAAATCGAGATTTTTACAAATCTCGACGTTTTACACCTCACTGATACGGAAAAACATAATTTTGCAATCTTGTCCGTATGTCTGTGTGTGTGTGTGTGTGTGTCTGTGTGTCCGTGTGTAAACACGATAACTTGAGTACCGTTACAGCTAGGTTGATGAAATTTCATATATAAGTATTTTATCAAAATCGTAGATCCGTATCAACTTTTGAGCGATTTCCGATAACCGGAAGTGGTACTTTTCCTACTTTGAATTTTTCAAAAGCCTATAACTTGAGTACTATTTCATATAGATAAACGAAATTTCACATGTAAGTAAAAGATCTAATTCTCTACCTTCTGTTAAATTTCGAGTAATTTCCGTTGACCGGAAGTAGTAATTTACGCTACTTCCGATTTCTCAAAAAACTAATGTAAATTTTAAAAGTACTAATAATATTGCGCACTATTATGCGCTTTTTTATTTGGCGTTCACTTGGTTTGCAATTAATTTGTCTACGAGATTTTATTCTATTTTTAAAACTTTAAGTATTTAAAATGGATTAAAAATCATGTCTATAGCCCGAGTTCCCATCCCCTGTTATTTTATATAAGAATATTCGAGAAAGTTTAGGGGAGATCACTCCCGGTTTATTTTACTTCACTTTTTATCATGATATTTTCATTTCTCCCATCTCATATTTTATGTTCTTTCTTTACCAGATAAAAAGTTTACTACGTGTCCAAAAGATTTCCGTTACTCTTGCCTGTCCTCTGCACATGATGTGTCTATTCTGCCCACATCGCAGCGCCAACAATACTATGGCACTAGATGTTTCCAGCTTGTATTAACGGTACGTGGTGGTTCACTGTAGATTTCACTTCGTTTACAAGACGCACACATGATGTGTTATTTGCGACGCCAGATCTGTTTCTTCCTACACACATAGACGCTGCACACACACACACACTAATGCAGGACCACTCTCTCTTACAGACACGCACACCCTACACGCTTCACCCCACTCCGTCCACCCCGCCCACACACACCGTGTACGAGAATCTACAATACATTAAAGTAAGTTAAATAAAAAAATATACATTTCCTACTGCTGTCTTCTACCTCATTGTCGACTCTGTAATATTGTTCCAGGTCCACGTCCACCCATGTTGTCATGTCACGTGATCCTCTAAAAGCGTGACTTTGTTTACAGTCGGTTTGGTTGTCATAGTAACACGACATCAGTGGCACCCATTTCGTTCCTGCAATGAATCAATGTACGCACCCATTGTGAGCTGGGAGTAAATGATAATAACGCGCATCGAAAATGTTTACCTTATTTGCAATAACAATTAATTGGTACCTAGGACATTTTTCCAAGATTACGATTGCTGTCGTTTGTATGTGTATTCTGTTTGTAATGTAATGGCATCAATCATGCTTAGCCTAATAATTTAATCATATAAAATATAAAATGTTAATTAGAAGAAGTTAATTAGTAAAGTACACTTAGGTAAAATATATATATATATATATATATATATATATATATATATATATATATATATATATATATATATATATATATATATATATATATATATATATATATATGGACAAAAAACGAAAACGCTCTAATTATAACAAGAAAGTCTGTTTTGTTCAGTAGGATTGATAGATTTTTAAAATGACAAACATCATTTAGGATAGTATAGGATAAAACCTATCAGAGATGAAGGTGACATCTAAAATTGCCTATCGTTTAAGTATATCATATATACAGTGGTTGGTTGGAAAAATGATACACTGTCCGCCCTCTCCTAAGGCCTTTTCAACGCTATAGTTCTGCAGCTGAATTATGGACTATATTGTCAGAGAATACTGCACATGGGAAATCTGTCATATCGTAAACTCCCCCCACCCCTTAATGCACAGAACATTTGTCACAGTGGCAGTTGTGTCACAGAGGACTATGGCAGTCCCCGGGGGAAGAACTCTCCCATACATTCTCTTCCCGTCTATGCAAAGCTTGGCTAAACGCTGTAGCTCATACAGTTTTAACAAATCACCTGTCTGTATGTCTCCGAGGTGAGTTTTGATTGTAGGTCCGTCCTTCACCTTGGGAGATATCTTGGTGACCTTCTGCTCGAAGGTCAGCGGAGCCCAGTCCACATCACAGATGAAGCGTTTTTCAAGCGCGACATTGGTAAGAAAATCTCTTGTTTGTTCGGATGAGTTTCTAAATGAAAACCAAATTGAATGCATTCTAACAAAAGAAATAGGTTTGCTCCAACTTTGGCTTGTATGGTGACGCAGTTAATGTGCTAATTTTATGATACAATAGTAGATGTACGGTTTTTTTTTACACAGGAGAACACGAAGGTACATTAAATAAAAATGCTAATAGAATACGAAAGAAAAATGTCTTTTATTACTATGACGAAGATCTAGAAACTTATGACGTATTAATTTATACATTTCTATGTTTGTTTTGAGGGCACTCTGAATTCAAGAGTAGAAAGAAACGTTAGGTATCAAGTACTCACTCTAGAAGCTTTTGCCAGGCATAACGTCGAATGACCATGTTCAGATTGAGTCTATTCTTGTAGTTCTTGTCTGTAAAGGGATTGTGTATGAAGTTCTTGTTTGTAAAGGGATTGTGTATGAAGTTCTTGTCTGTAAATGGATTGTGTATGAAGTTCTTGTTTGTAAATGGATTGTGTATAAAGTTGTCTGTAAAGGGATTGTGTATGAATTTCTTGTCTGTAAAGGGATTGTGTATGAATTTCTTGTCTGTAAAGGGATTGTGTATGAAGTTCTTGTCTGTAAATTGATTGTGTACACATCAAATAACACGAAAGTGTTGATGATTCATCGTTTTGTTAAATTGTACTGATTGCAGTTGTTTGTGAATGGATTGTGTATGAAGTTCTTGTCTGTAAATGGATTGTGTATGAAACGATTAGAAAAGTTGTGAAATAATTTAGCAAAATAAATGTCACTTGATGTGTTTTAAGGTGAAAACTAGAAGAAATGACAAGACACAATGTAATATACAACTGGGGGATGTTCTCTGTGTAGAATACTATTGATACAACAGGACTCTGAATATGGCCTCTGTTTACTTACTATCAGCTTTCTGTGTTGATGAGATAGCCTTCGATCTTGTTCTCATGAACTAAATTGACAAGCATACACCTAGTTTCATCGTCAATTCCATTAACGCATTTTTAAAGAGATTTCTGTATGTACGGATTTAAAGTTTTTTTCCAAAATTAGATAAACATCACAACGGATAAAAAGACATTCTTGTTGATTCAAGTTGTGTTTCCGTATCTTGTACTCGATTTTAAAACATTGCTGTTTCGTCACAACAAAAATATTTTCACAAAATAATAACTAAAAAATTAAAACACATAAAAACAAATTGTCTTTTATGTGGCGTTAGTTTACTCATCGCTAGAGACACATGCTTCGTCTGCGCTGTAAAGACAACTCTGTTACAAGAATCATAGATAGAATCTAATTTACAAACAGTTAACAAAGTCGAGAAATTTAATAATGTCTTAAACGTTCTTTTGATAAAACGTACCTTTGATTCATCGTGGTTTGATTCTTAATATAGAATATATTATATTTAGCACCACAAAATCAATGTAAAAACCTAATTATGGAAAGCTACTACATGTTACATTTTAAAAGAAAAGGTTTATATTGGTTAAATTAAAACATTTGTATTTTTTAATTCTTTTTTTTTAAATCTGTTACTCGTCATCATATTTTATGCCGTTAATAAAGTTCCTTTTTGAACCTGACGGACCATGGGGCAAGTGAAGTAGAGTTTATCTGTTTCTGTGACCAAAGTATACGAATGGAGTGTGGTTAGCATTATGCCAAGCCGCCTATAATTCCCCTAACGTGAGTTAGGTACCATCTAAGCTGGGTGTACTCGGGGACGATCTACTGACTTGAACCCGGATTCGAACTCAAGAGACACCGCCTCTTTGTTCTTTTGTTTCAATCACCTGGACATGTTTAACCTGGTTAAATCAAGGAATTGTGAGTTTAGCACTACAGCTAGCAGCCTATAATTCGTAAAGACTCTCTTGCTGATAGAGATTTGAAAACCAGACCTGACATATTCTGTTTCTCTACATATTTCAGTGGCTACTATTTAAAAAATTTATAACACAGACACAATTTATTATTACATTATTGAATGTTTATTTTCTGCAGTTGATTTCAGCAATAATTTTTTCTCTTTAATTCAATATCTTTGTATATATCTTTGCATTTGGAAAATATTTGACAATGCATTTATTTTGTAACTTTATTGATGGTACCTTGACATTATCTTTTTATTAATATTTCCTGTTTCAGCCCTTTACAGCTGTGGATGACGGGTTGTTACTCGTTCAGTATACACAAAATGTATAAATTGAATTGCTTGTTTTTATTGATGGTAATTTTTTTTAATCTTTTAAAAAATACGTAAGAAGGATATCAGACAAGCATTTGTACCGCCATATTATATTATGGCTCTTGTGATGAGCAGTTCTTATCAACAAAGACAAATGCTTTATCGCTTGCGTTCTCTTCAGAGTGACTCACGACCACGTCGGCCACATCAGAAGTGGACTCATCCATTGACAATGGACTGGTCTTGATGTCCACTTTCTGGTCAGTCCAACTGAGACAGACACACGTGCCCCGGGTGATGATCTGGGGGTGGTAGGTCACATGCTCCACGCCATCTTTGTCCAGCCACCTCTCCTCAACCACCTCAACACATGCCTTATAAGAGAAGGAGAGGGGGGGGGGGGGTGTAGAAGAGCAGATAAAAGATAGTAACTTTTTTTAAAAGTACGAATTTTTCTGTTTTTATGTAGTAACATGTGCACAATGTATCTTTGTGTTGGAATCTGTGTACTTTGATAGTGAATATTTTTTGTATTCACACAGTAAATTTAGTTTGACGATGACAGCAGCAAATGTATGGTTTTTTAAAATGTGTATTTTATGCAGTGTTAGATGTTACGATATTACAATAATACAGAAGTAAAATGAATGTTAAACAAATAAAGTTTTCAGCTCGAAGTAGACGGTTTCAGTAACGTCAGAATTTGGAGGGATACTGTGGCCAGCACTGAGGCTCTCTGACTTTTCCCTTAGGTGAGTCAGGTACAAATCAAAGCTTCGTGAATCTAAGGACGACATCTTACGTCGTAAATAAAATACTTAAAAAAAAACTTTTTAAAAAACCACGTTTTTCTTGTGGACTAAAAAGTAGAAAATAACTATTTACATACATTTGATGACAAAAAACGTGGGTACGTTCACTATCAAATTTCCCGACCCATCTGCCCGACCCACGTTTTTTGTCATCAAATGTATGTAAATAGTTATTTTCTACTTTTTAGTCCACAAGAAAAACGTGGTTTTTTAAAAAGTTTTTTTTTAAGTATTTTATTTTCTCCTTTTTAGTCCGTTGCTACACATGAAAAACGTGGTTTTTAAAAAGTTTTTTATATAGTTTATTTTCTACTTTATCTAATCACTTGATTAAGTATGACTTGACTAAGTGTTTTTAAATACACGGACTAAAAAAATCTTGAGCGACCGATACGCTTTAAACAGAGAAAGGGTGTCATTTACGTTGCTGGCGTGGAGATCTACTCACGAATCACGTGATCAAATCTCCCATAAACAAACAAATAAACGCGAAGCTGAGTTAAGGAAAAACGTGTTTATGTGTATTTTAGCATGCCCAGCGTACCAACCGTGTCACCGTTAACAATGTGTTACCGTGTCCGTTCTCCTTTTTAGTCCGTTGCTACACATAAAAAACGTGGTTTTTAAAAAAGTGTTTATAAATACACGGACTAAAAATCTTGAGCGACCAGGATTCGAACCTGGGTTGTCGCGGCCACGCGAAGTACTAACCACTATACGATCACGGCCAGCGCGCTCACATCGATTGGGGCCGAAGTAACTGTGTCAATAGGACTGCAGTCTTGTCGGTATCTTTAGAAATCATGTCCTCAATTTTATGGTCCTTGGGGCGTAATTAAATTAAGCTAATTACGGTCACTAATTGCTAGTTTTTATGATTGCATCTGAAATTGTTAGGCGAAATTAGCATGCATGCCAAATTTCAGGTCTCTAGAGCAATCAGAAGTGGGCTAATTTTCGATGTCAATTTTAACAACAAACATCCAAACAAACAAACGCGAAGCTGAGTTAAGAAAAACGTTTTAAAAAAGGAGGCAACTCACCTTTTCTTCGGGTGTAAGAACTCCTCCATCTTCAACAAGCTGAAAAGCCTCATGTAAGTTTTCAATCTCTATGGTCATAGAGAAATCGTAACACCTAAACTTAAAGTCAACGCGGACAAATCCTGTTAAAAATGCAATAGAAGTAAACAATTTAGTGAGCTAGATCTGGTTTTGAATAGAGAGACGTTATTAGAGCTATTTAATCATAAGTATTTTATTTTTACAAATATAAAGTTGGGTTTGACCTTTAGGGTTGGACAAAGTGGTTCGAATCTCAAACTCTACGACAGAGCACTCTCGTCTTACTAACAGCTGAGCATGGGCTCGAGACGATGGCTCAACTTCAACCTGCGAAAAATTAGGGCAGTAAATAATTTCTTTCATATTCTTCCTTATTTTTAATAGCGTAAAGTTACAGCTTAAGGTTTCTCAAAGATCTGGAAACATACCTGTGACTTTGTTTTCCAGGTGTCGTTCTTCTTGAAAATCTGGCCTCTGTCCTTAAATAGGTTCAGGATATTGTTGTTGTTTATTTTAAAATGAGCGGTTTCAGGGAGGCTTAATCTCACTCGCACCTGGTTGTTCAATATATATATATATATATATATATATATATATATATATATATATATATATATATATATATATATATACATGTCAGGACAAATGATCTCAGACAAATTATCTCAAGGACAAATTATCTCAAGGACAAATGATCTCAAAGACAAATAATCTCACGGACAAAAGATACCAAGACAAAACATAGCAGGACAAATGATACCATGGACAAATGGACTCAGACAAAATATCTCAGACAAAATATCCCACACAAAAAACGCTTTAAAATTTGTTTTTAGCCAGCCTACATTATTTTTGCGATAGTTTTTTAACATGATTTTTTTAATAAAGAAAAGTAAAAAAAAACAATTTCTTCTTTTAATTATTACGTAAATACGGCCTACTAAAGATTCAAATAGCTTTAAATTGGAACATATGCAAAATTAATAATATACATAGAAAACAACAATGTGACAAAAAAAAAATCAAGAAACTACCAAAACACTTTACACATATCAAGCTTCTGGATCTCACACAATCAGGACCTGCATGCCAGATTTTAAGCATTGTTTTTCACGATCTACAAACATTTTTAAAGCTCATTTATTTCAGGCCATATCTTTTTTGTATTTTATCGAAATGAAATTATGAAATAATTTAAATTTGAATGAGACAGTTGAATAGGCATCTGCATATCTATTTTTTTCAGTTCCACCTCTGGTTTTCAAGTGTCAATCTAAAAAATTCTACTCTTCACGAAAGATCTAGGTTCTTGATTTCTGTCCACCTTATGTAATATTTCCAGAGAGCCGTACAAAACAAAATGTCGTGCTAGATTCCTCGAGGTTTTATCAGCCGAATATCGGATGTTCACTGCAAATGGTTTTATTGGGTTTACAATACGCAATCGTGCTTGCATCACAAACACATATACACGCAAACACATACACATACGCAGAGTCGCAGGCGCACACGCATTCATGCGCCGACCACTACCGTTTGGTCCACCGTGTAATACTGGTCAAGGTCCACATTAACCCAGGACATCGTGTCACGTGATCCTTTAAACGTGTGACTTTGTTTAGTATCGGCTCGGTTGTCATAGTAACACGACAACAGTGACACCCATTGTGCGCCTGGGATAAACAAACATGTGCATTAGTCTTGAAAGTGAATACCGTAATCACAATTGAAATTTTATACTGAGTTATTTGTTACATTTGTTTTCCTCTTACCTATGTAGCTATTATTTATTTTAATTCTTTTCTCTATTTTATAATGGCTCCGCGTATGTTTTAGCCACTCATTCTACTTGTATAGCTTTGAAACAGGTTAATTAGCGAGGTAAAATCAGCTTAAAAACTGTTATATCAGCAGAAGCGTCAATAGAAACCATTGCCCATCTTGGAAAAATATTTGAACACATTTTCAAATGAAAGTAAAAACATTGTCAGCAACACGTGCACTCCGCGAGATAGACAACTAATACAATATGGCAACAATCTTTATATCACATTTAAAGAAGACTGCAGATTAATACGTTTTTATCTCCAATAAAAATGTAAAGAAAATTTAATATTTTGAAATCTCTAAAAGAAAATTAACGGCCCAGTGTTAGCCAGTGATCGACTTTTATTCATGAAACCAACCAGTTTTGACCGGCTAGCGATCGCTAGTGTTTAATCTTGCAATCTCCACTTTTATTATTGAATAATTCCATATAAGTGAATGATCTAATGCCTAATTAGAGTACAAACGAATGTATCTGAATAATTAAAATTGAATTACACGATTGGACACAAAGCCACAAATAAACAAACAGACATTGTGAGCTAAACAAAAAAAAGTCACCTGTTTTCTTTTCTCCCATGAAGGTTTTAATAGAAGTATCGTCCTTCACCTTGGGACCGAACTTGGTGACCTTGTGGTCGAAGTTTAGGGCCTTCCAGTCCACATCGAAACTGAAGAAGTTCTTCTGCATGATAAGGTAATCCCTCAAATTCTTTGGGGATTGGCTAAATGAAATTAATTTTTTTTAATACGGCAATATATGACATGTTTGACCCAGTAAATGCATTTTTATAATACAACTATAGACATATGGTTCGTAGACATTTAGGTTACAGTACTACAAATACAAATAAAATTGCACTTGAATACTTTAAGAAAAAAATCTAAGGTAGTGATTTTGTTGTTCTGACGTTCTCTCTATTTTGCCAGAAAACATTACCAATACCAAACAGAGTTTATTCCAGGCATCTCTTGGGGAAAGGGGGGGGGGGGCAAGTGCCCCCCCCCCCCCCCCCGACGTCTACCGCCCCCCCCCCGACAAAATGGAATTTATATAGAAAATATATACTTTTACCAATGCCAATCCCCCTCCCCCCGGAAATGTTGACCGCCCCCCCCCCACGTAAATATCAAGTGCCCACCTCCCCCCGGTGAAAAAAGTCTGGAAGAAACACTGATACTAAACTGTGGAGAACAACTTGACAAGACCCAATGGGCAATTAAATACATAAAGGCGTAAATGGGGATGAATTGGACACACCATGCGTAAACAAGCAAGCACTTAATCAGACGGGCACTAGACTGGAATCCTCAAGGGAAGAGGAAAGTAGGGATGCCAAAATAAGTTTGGAAAAGTTCAGCTGTCAACGAAACAGCCGGAATGTCGAGGACCCAGCTTGGAATAATCGTCCAGAGCCAAGTTTAAAAAAGTCTAGAAGAAACACTGTCCCCAAGAATGATGATAATGATGATGATGTTTTCTATATTAGTTTTCGAAAAAAAATCTGAATTGAACAATAGAAAGAAAGGCTATTTTTAAAGTACTTACCTGAGTAGTTTTTGCCATGCGAATCGATATATTATCGCATCCAAGTCAACCGTAGCCATGTCCTTCTCTGTTAAGGAAACGTGTAAACATGTTAAACACGAGAAGCTCATAAAGTTCCTTTATTATATTGTGCTGAATGGAGTTTCGTGTGATGTAGAGTAATGTTACAAAACACTTTATTAATTTAATATATATGACGTAGCATGCGTTTTGTTGTGGTAAAATTTAAACCGTTTATATTTTACAGTTATTTCCCTTACCCAGAAATATAGTTCTTGTGTCCTCTTCCCATTTTATGTCGGGGAGGTTTCTAAAATCAAGTCATTACAACTGTTTAGGTCATGAATAAAAATAAACAGGACAATAGAAAAAACAACCATTGGCATACACCAATCTATTTTCTGGCTTCAACAAGCAGAACGGTCACGTGACAGTGAAATTGTGTCCATTTTATTGATAAATCCAAAGAACACTCCGTATATCAATTCTCTGACCCATTTATTGACAAATTAACAGGAAAATCCACACACCAAATTTCAGTCTGCTGTTCAGTCCACTAACAAGTAAACTAACCATCTACCTGACAAGTAAACTGACCATCCACTGACAAGTAAACTGACCACCCACTGACAAGTAAACTAACCATCTACCTGACAAGTAAACTAACCATCTACCTGACAAGTAAACTAACCATCCACTGACAAGTAAACTGACCATCCACTGACAAGTAAACTGACCATCCACTGACAAGTAAACTGCCCATCTGACAAGTAAACTGACCATCCACTGACAAGTAAACTGCCCACCTGACAAGTAAACTGACCATCCCCTGACAAGTAAACTGACCATCCACTGACAATTAAACTGACCATCCACTGACAAGTAAACTGCCCATCCACTGACATGTAAACTGACCATCCACTGACAAGTAAACTGCCCATCTGACAAGTAAACTGACCGTCCACTGACAAGTAAACTGACCATCCACTGACAAGTAAACTGCCCATCTGACAAGTAAACTGACCATCCACTGACAAGTAAACTGACCATCTGACAAGTAAACTGACCATCCACTGACAAGTAAACTGACCATCCACTCACAAGTAAACTGACCATCCACTGACAAGTAAACTGACCATCCACTGACAAGTAAACTGACCATCCACTGACAAGTAAACTGACCATCCACTGACAAGTAAACTGACCATCCACTGACAAGTAAACTGACCATTCACTGACAAGTAAACTGACCATCCACTGACAAGTAAACTGACCATCCACTGACAAGTAAACGGACCATCCACTGACAAGTAAACTGCCCATCTGACAAGTAAACTGACCATCTACTGACAAGTAAACTGACCATCCACTGACAGTTAAACTGACCATCCACTGACAAGTAAACTGACCATCTACTGACAAGTAAACTGCCCATCTGACAAGTAAACTGACCATCTACTGACAAGTAAACTGACCATCCACTGACAAGTAAACTGACCATCCACTGACAAGTAAACTGACCATCCACTGACAAGTAAACTGACCATCACTTGACAAGTAAACTTACCGAACCACTGACAAAACGTCTCACCAACATACAAATCAACAGACTTACCAAACAATGACAAATTCATTCTTCGACAACTGACCCTCTCACTAACCATAACATGAGCAAACGCCTTTTTTTTACCTGAGTATCCAACTAATGAACTTCTCAAAGAGAACCACATGTGTGGCCATATTAAAAACGAGACATGTCGGCACAACCAAAAAAAATACTCCTTCAAATCTCATCAATACCTGCAACGATTAAAACCTTTTTACTTATTAATTCAAATTTTGTTTTTGCATACTACTACATTCATTTTTAATAAGTAAGCCAAACATTCAACTTGATCCTAATTTCAGCAATATTTCAAAGATAAATCACCCAATATTTTGTCCCACTTTTTAAAATAGAGGCACTATGACTTTTTTAACATCATTTAATTTTTTTAAAAGTTGTATAATAAACTTGTTCATATAGGAGCGTCTATTTTTCCAACAACCCTAAGTTAAGAAAAGTGTTTCATGTTTTTGTATAATATAGACACCCTTAACTATTTTTTTTAGTAAAAACAAATTTAATTTGAAAAAGGAAGAATCAAATTTTACTCACCTCACAGTTTGGCAAATATAAAGAAAACACAATCGACTCGAGAAGAGAGAGGCCAATTATCAAGAAGAAAATCATGTATATTCCGACAGCGATGTCGAGTGGCTGGAAAACAACGGCCATGAATTCCATTGTGAACCTCTGCAGCCATGATATGTGTTGGCAGGATGGTGTAGCCACATGGTTTTCTATGCCGGTAATGTAAGGAGAGTCGGTGTTAATGTAGGTGAGGCGTAAAGGACAATAAGAAGTGAGGCTGGGGTGTAAGTGTAAGTGCTTTGGACGGAAGTGTTTGTGTGAGGGGGGAGGTGTGCAGATGTTGGGAAGGCAAGGGTGATGTTGTGGTATGATATGTACCTACTCCCTTCCATGGTGAGCTATATTGTGACACGAACAACACCATTCAATGCGATTTTTAAATCTTCTAAGGTGTTACTATTATTCTGAACACGCAAGTAGCGATCTTTGATCTGCCGTATGAGCTAATAATCATGAGTAACGTGTACATATCTTAATTCCAAAGGGGTAGATAATGAGGGGTAGATAACTGAACAGGATTAAAGCAAATATATTTTTCGATTTAAAATCCAATATTAACTCACTATTATATTTAAAAAATCTAATGATTATAAAGCCTATTTAAAAATATAACAAGCTTTTAGATGCACTAAAAAAGAACACGGATTAGCATAGATGTTGGTCGCTCGTAAAATCTATGAAAAAAGAAATTGTCTTCTTCTTTTAAATATAATATCCACGACTTAAAACTTTAAAGTCTTTTCTTTTTTAAAAGTTTTTTTTTTTTTAAATTCACGTTTCATTAACATGAAGAAAACGTTTCATAAGGTCATTCGAAGGGTGCACGGGTATGGTTACATAAGGTCATTCGGTGGTTGCACGGGTATAGTTACATAAGGCCATTCGGTGGTTGCACGGGTATGGTTAAGAGATAATGAGTTGTGCCTTAATCTCACAACAAAGTACGTTACGACCAACGTAAAGTAAAATAAAGACTAAGCCGAAATACTTATGAAATACACAAAAGTCACAAAGCCCAGTGGCATTATTCACACTGGTTCTTAAGAACAGATTACAGTTGTGGCTATGGATACGTCACCTGAATGGCATTACTACAGTTGCTTTCTTTAAATTATTCACATTAAAACTCAAAAATTTTTGAACAATTTATTGGCAATTATTTAACCATGGTCAGTATTGTGACGGTAATGTTATTCTACCGCCATCCTGTGCTCCGCCTCTTCCTCCCCTCTCTTTCTCTCTCTCTCTCTCTCTCTCTCTCTCTCTCTCTCTCTCTCTCCCCCCCCCCCCGTTAGACTGTTCAGTCGCTAGATCTACATTGCGACTCATCCCATGCCGAAAAGGCTTATGGGACAGGCCCGTCGCTGGTGCGATAATAGGGCCGGTAACCGATCAACCCGGTCCTTTTTACCCTGATCACTGCCCTTGCTCAGCGCACCTGCACGCTAACCCTCACCCTGGGTATAGGGGCGTCCAAGAAATCAGCAGTTATTGCTTCTTAACAGAAGGTATTTGATTATTTTAAAAACTAGAAATCTATAATATCGACCTTAAGTGTCATATGTTTTATTGTCTGTATTTGATGTAATTTTACTATTATCTATATTGTTGTAATTTTCCCTCAACTTGAGTTGTATTTAATGAGTACCTCTCATTACTATATCCCACAACATTGTTCTATCCTACACATGTAACTCTAGTTATGTTGTTTATGTTAGCAATATTTAGTAGGCCATGCCTTCTATTTACAGCGTTCTAGGTCGGGAACCAATCATTCAACTCACAACTGCTATTTTAACAGACAAGGCGAGCGCATGTGTACGCGCTGGAAGTCTCAAGTTATTAAGTTATGTAAACTCTATAAGTGTAATGAAAGTTTATAATTAAGACATCACATACGCAAAACAAAATTTGTAATAAATTTTTTAATAACCTTCTGGGTTATTAGCTTTATTATTTTAATATCAATAACTGTTGTACTGTATTCCTGGTAGAGAAGAGGCAGAGACCCTCCTACCGGTTGAATTTACGCAATTTACAGGTTTTACTACTATCACGGTACAAATATACATTTTATACCGTTAACAAGTATTATTTGTGTGCTATATACCCTATCTTCCTGTCAATATTTTGTTCTGTAGCCTTTGAAAACGTTTGTTTTTAAACTCATTATAAGTGGTGAGATACAATTAAAACGAAAACAAAAAAATGTACATGCATTTTTCATGTCAACACTAGAACATGAAATCTCTTCTGTTTTCAGTACAACAGGAGCAGTATTCAGTACAACAGTAGCAGTATTCAGTACAACAGTAGCAGTATTCAGTACAACAGTAGCAGTATTCAGTACAACAGTAGCAGTATTCAGTACAACAGTAGCAGTATTCAGTACAACAGTAGCAGTATTCAGTACAACAGTAGCAGTATTCAGCGTTTGTAGGGTCCCATTTTTACCACGGAATAATTGTTTGTATGACCGTTGTCTAGTGACCCTGACCTGCCAAGGTACCATAATTTATTCATAATCATAATGATGGGAAGGAGTGGTCTAGCGGTAAAGAGCTGGACTGCTAACCCGTATGTCTCGAGTTCGAATCCGGATTAAAGTCAGTAGACCGCCCCTGAGTCCACCCAACTCTGATGGGTACCCAACTCACGTTAGGGAAAGTAAAGGCGGCTGGGCTTAGTGCTGACCACACTATCTCTTCATATGCCGAGGTCACAGAAACAAGTGAACTCTACTTCACTTGCCCCATAGATCGTCAGGTTTGAAAGGGAAACTTTTACATAATGATGATAATTATAGCAGCGATAAGTGCAAAATGAATATTGTTAAGAAAGATGAAGGTGAGTCCAATGACTACGTGTCAATGCACCATAGGCACGGCATATAGATCTAGCCTATCAATGAAAGTTATAGGAATTCAAATAATAAAATTGTTTTGAATTAGACTAAAAAGACCTAACAATAAGTCAATAGGGATATAAATAATTAATAAATTCATTACATTAAAATGCGTATTACGCATAATTAAAACAAAAAAAATATAACAGATCATAATCATCTGTAAAAAAATAATTACAAAAACTACACAATAGAGTAGAACTAGAATTAACTAAATCTAGTTAAATATTTTTACACTAACAACCGTACTACTGTACTGTTATAGATCTATATTTAATCACAAATCTCAACTTGTAGATTTATCTGTGCCGATTGCATTGAGCACATACATTTTTGAAAAAAATAAAAATAAAAACAAAGATTCTTACCTTTATCTTTTACTTTCATGGCTGCAGTTTGATAAAATACGTAAAAAGGTTTTTAAAGATGTTCTTATTGTGGTGAGAAAAGAGTCTCTAAGAGACGACAGCAAGGACGTGCTGTTACGTGCGCACTGTATTGCAATGTGTTGACGGGAATTCCCTAACCAAAATATCAATGCAAATGATCTCCGACAAAATATCGCAAATTATCGTAGACAAAATATCTCGTCACGGATAAACAATCGTATGGCAAAATGCATCAGGATAATCGATCTCACAGACAAATGATCTCATGGAAAAATGATCTCATGGAAAAATGATCTCATGGAAAAATGATCACAGAGAAAATATCTCACGGATAAATGATCTCATGACAAAATACATTAGGACAATTTATCTCACTGACGAATAATCTCAGAAAAAATATCCCAGACAAAATATGTTACGGACGAATGAACTCAGTAAAAAAATAGGGACAAATGATCTCAGGACTATTGTCAAAACACGTGCGATATGTCTCCAAAAAGTGAAAGGGTCATCAGCTAAGTAATCTCATTTGATTTAGTTTCGTCCAGCTGATGAGATGTATTTGCCTCATGCCCACTTAAGCTGTGTATGGAAAATGTATTTTAACCTTCGCATATTATGCTACTAATTACATTTTAAAATGATAAAATTAATATAACACACATATTCATAGTTTATTAAAATTACCCTTAATTAAAAAGATATTTTACCGTGAGATATTTTGTTTGGGATATTTGTCTAAACCAAATTGCGGTGAACAATATGTCTTGTAGCCTTTACTTTTGCCCATTCGTTCCAGGCATTTATTAGAGCTGGGTGAACTCATGGACGTGCAACATTAAACCCATTACTACTGGCTGGGTGAAATATTTTTTGTTCATGCTTTAATTAAGCTAACACGCCAGTCTCAGGTCATTAAGGGTAACAAATTAGTCTGCTTGATACGAGATGTTAGACCATGAACTGGGCTCCAACGGCAACCTGATTGAGCGAGAAATAAGCTGAGGCTGTGACCAGAGTTGGTCGATGTTGTCAAGTCAATGGAGCGTGAACAAACCTGCTACGGTCGAGTTGTGTTTAAATATTTTTCGAGCTTTCTCTCTGTATGTGCCCTATAAAATCCAAATCTGACATTGTCTGCTTCTCTGGATACCCATTAAACCCAGCTGTCATTTTCAGTAAATTATATTAGCAACAACAGACACGAGGTTAAATGAACACATTTTTATTTACGCTGCAAGTGGATACAGATGTTTAATAACTAAACACAATTAAATAGTAAACACACCATGCTTTACTTGGTAGATTTGTGAGTGGGTGTTTTTATTTAATTTTTAAATTTAATTTATTATGAGTTAAATTGTTAAATATTAGAGAAAAGATTATTTACTAAACTATGTGTATGTGTGAGTGGAGTGGATTAGGATTAATTAAAACTAGACGATAGCCTAAACAACTTCACATGCACCTCACTCACACATGACATCTGAACCAACACTCCATGTATATAAATAAATAAATGAATAAATAAATAAATGTATATATATATGTATATATATAAAGACGTATGAATTTTATAATGGGTAGGTAAAGTGTATATTCTGTATCTCTACTAGCTGTGAAAGTAGGGTAAGGTGGGGTAATTCCACACACGGGGTAATTCCACACACTATATACTGGATACTCTCTATTTTTAATGAGAGTAACGTTTAATTAAAAGTTACTATTCCCTGTTTCTAAGAGGTGATTTCTTGTACTTTCTGATACTGTTAGAGAAGCGTTCACCTACATTCAGAGCAAGAATTTTAATTTTATCTGCATCTATCTTCAAACATCCTTAGGTAAGTACAACACCTGCACTTTTTAAAAAATATTTTTTTTGTCTTATTTTTAATTGTTGTCAATTATTTATTGATTATATGAAAGCTTAATCATTTTTGTTAATAGTAACAGTTAATGATGCTAGATTTAGCCTTTAATTTAGAACAGGAAAGCATATTTTTTTCAATAGTTGGTGTGGGGCAATTCCACACACATGGTGTGGGGCAATTCCATACACTATAGTTTGGAATGTCCCATGTTGCTGTTTATACTCTTTAGAGGGTTTGGCTTTTATTTTAAACCATTTAAACTGGTTGTGGCTAATTCTGTAATTCACAACTCATGATTTAATCTTAAAAAATACTTGAATAGTACTAGATCTAGTACTATTTATTTTTTTAAAAAGACTCTGCTATTAGTTAAGTAAAATTGCCACATACTTCTTTTATTTCTTTATCTATTATTATTTTTACTGTACCTATATTATTTATTATAATTTATGCAATATTTAGAGCTAAACATCCCCATACACACATTAGTAATTAGACTTTCTAACATTTAATTTTGTATTTATTTCAGAATGGTCCACAATTATAAACGAATAACTTCAGCCTATGACAGATGAGAGTAGAATTCAGGAGGAAGAAATTGAGGCTTTCTCTTCATCCAGTGATGAAGACTGGTTGCCCCCATGCAAAATTGTTTCCAAGGGGAAAAATGTTTTTTACACATTTTTAAATACATGAATTTTAAAATTTTCATAATGTGTGTGGAATTGCCCCACTTGCCATGTTTTTGCAATAAAAGTGAAATATTTAAAAATTATATTTTATTGTGTGAATTATCTTTATATTTGTTTGCCATCATATAAGTAATGCATGTCTAGTTTTACCCTCAATATTATATTATGGTAGTGTTGATTTTAGATTTTTTACAAATTTTTTAGAAAAGTAGTGTATGGAATTACCCCGGGTTACCCTATATCTGGCTAATCAACTATAACAAATGAGTCGACGCTTGGGTCTTCTTCAGTGTGACAGACGGGCGTCTTGTTCATGTTGTGGTCCCCATCAGAAGTGGACTCGTCCATTGACAATGGACTGGTCTTGATGTCCACTCTCTGGTCAGTCCAGCTGAGGCAGACCATAGAGCCCCGGGTGATGATCTGGGGGTGGGTGGTCGAGTTCTCCACGCCATCTTTGTCCAGCCACTTCTCCTCAATCAACTCCACACACCTCTGAAAAGTGGGGGATGTAAAATACGTGTTTTATCTCATTAGTTAATGGTTTCTGTATGAGTGGTTGTTTTTATGTGTATTGGGAATTTGTGCGCATATGCATGTTTGTGTTGGAGAATTAGACTATTTACGTACACTTTGTAAACATATTTTGGGTTGTATTACAATCTCAAAAACAGAGAGTCCACATTGACAGCATTGTGTGTGGATGGGTGTTTCATGGAGTAATTTACCATCGGAATTCATGCGAGTGTGTAGTTAAACTAGTAATTGATAAATAAAATGGCTAAATCCAGAGCAACTCAAATTAAATGTTTTATTATGTCGCTGTAAACTTTATTTATGTAGGACACAGTACATTTAGTTCGTATATTAATACAGAAGCCGTGGTCTAGCGGTAGAGCGCTTGACTGCTCAACCGAAAGTCTCGAGTTCGAACCCGGGTTTAAGTCGGTAGAATGTCCACCCAACTCTAATGGGCATCTAACTCCCTTTAGGAAAAGCAAAGGCGGTTGGACATAACGGTTCAAATGCCGAGGTCTCTGAAACAGACGAACTCTTCTTCATCTGCCCCATGTGTCTTGGGCACTAACGGGAAAATATGATGATGATGCTATTAGCACAGCGAACTACTGGTTTTGTTGATGGTAAAACGGTTTATATTTTTTAATAAAAGGCAGGGACTGAACATTGTTTTGATAAAAAAACAAAACAAAAACAACAACAAACAAACAAAGCAAAAAATAACAACAGAAATACGAATCGAATGTAGCTGGCTAGCAAAGACGGATAACTCACTTTATCTTTTTGAAAGAGAACCCCTCCCTCTTCCACAAGCTGAAAAGCCTTTTGGAAGTCTTCAATGAATACCACAAATATGATGTCTACCTTCTTGTGTTGAAAGGTAACAGGGACTACACCTGATGAAAAACACAATCAAACATAATGATACAATGAACGCCAGCATTGTAGTAATTCTATCTTATACATATTTATTTTCATCAACTTATTTTAGTGCCCAATATCTGTCTGTTCTCTGTTTATGGCAGATCTTGTAATTCAGTTTTAATTTTACTTTCCGGATACATTTGTCTTCAAGACATGGCAGGTATTTTAAATTTTAACTTAATTAAATATTAAATTGGTCATTAAAAAAATTATGAATAGATTACTATCATCAATAACCAAAGTACTAGCATTACACATTCCGTGGTGGATCAGTGTTCACTGATATTTTCATATCTGTGAGTTCGTCAAGGACATTAGTAGGCGGAAACAAAATACCTTTTTAAGTTAAGCTAGCAATCGAATCGGGTGTTAAGCACATACCTTAAATCACATGATGTGTAAACTCCATTGAGAACAAACATGATACAAAAAGTAAAGCACTGATTTTTTTAGAGAAAAAAAAAACAACCTAAATGTCGATTTAATATTTTGCTTTTTAAAAAAAAAATTGACTGCTAAAAATCAGAAAAAAAAAGAAAAATGAAAAACAACCGTTATGTTAATAAACTTTTTAACTCAATGCAAATACAAAAAATCAAACTTGCTTTCTTTAGTAAAAATATTGGTCAGTCATTTAAATAAATATGCTAGCGACGAATGCTTTTACTAGAGAAAGCAAGTTTTACAAACATATTATAAGCAAAGATTTTAAAATATTTGTTATATTTTTTAAAAAAAAAAAGAAAGAAAGGAAGGAAGTAAAGGTTTACCTTTAGGGTTGGACAAAGTGGTTCGAATCTCAAACTCATATACAGAGCACTCTTGTCTCGCTAACAGCTGAGCATGGGCTCGAGACGATGGCTCAACTTCAACCTGCGAACACATTTCTCCGTTAAAAACATCTTTCGATGTCCTCACTATTTAAACTGTGTAGAGTGACAAGATATTTCTAGAAATTTTGTAAACATACCTGCGAGTCGGCATCCCAGGTGTGAAGCTTTTGGAACACTTCACCTTTGACCTTGGTTAGATTAAGGGTATCCTTTTCGTCCATTAGTAAACTATGCGCGGTTCCAAACTGGTTTAACTTCACACAGACCTATATATATATATATATATATATATATATATATATATATATATATATATATATATATATATATATATAAAATTTGCTATATGTCAACAAAGTAGAAATCGCGAATAGAACTTTACAAGCATCCATTCCCCCTCTTCAGCCGTCTATACTACATCTTTCTCACTCCAAGTGAACATTTTTTACTTCACTTTTTATCTCATGATATTTTCATTTCTCCCATCTCATATTTTATGTTCTTTCTTTACCAGATAAAAAGTTTATTACGTGTCCAAAAGATTTCCGTTACTATTGCCTGTCCTCTGCACATGATGTGTCTATTTGCCTGTCCTCTGCACATGATGTGTCTATTCTGCCAACATCGCAGCACAAACAATACTATAGCACTAGATGGTTCCAGCTTGTATTAACGGTATGTGGTGGTTCACTGTAGATTTCACTTCGTTTACAAGACACATGGTGTGTCATTTGCGACGCCAGATCTGTTTCTTCTTACACACATAGACGCTGCACACACACACACACACTAATGCAGGACCACTCTCTCTTACAGACACGCACACCCTACACGCTTCACCCCACTCCGTCCACCCCGCCCACTCACAACGTGTACGAGAATCTACAATACATTAAAGTAAGTTAAATAAAAAATATAAATTTCCTACTGCTGTCTACTACCTCATTGTCGACCCTGTAATATTGTTCCAGGTCCACGTCCACCCATGTTGTCGTGTCACGTGATCCTCTAAAAGCGTGACTTTGTTTACAGTCGGTTTGGTTGTCATAGTAACACGACATCAGTGGCACCCATTTCGTTCCTGCAACGAATCAATGTACGCACCCATTGTGAGCTAGGAGTAAATGATAATATTAATAACGCACAATGAAAATGTTTACCTTATTTGCAATAACAATTTATTGGTACCTAGGACATTTTTCCCAAGATAACAATTGCTGTTATTTTTATTTTCATTCTGTTTGTAATGTTATAGCAACAAATATGCTTAGCACATCATTTAGGATAGTATAGGATAAAACCCATCAGAGATGAAGGTGACATCTAAAATGTCCTATAGTTTAAGTGTATCATATATACAGTGGTTGGTTGGAAAAATGATACACTGTCCCCCCCCCCTCTTCTAAGGCCTTCACAACGCCATAGTTCTGCAGCTGAATTATAGACTTTATTGTCATAGAATACTGCACATGGGAAATCTATCATATCATAACCCCCCCCCCCCCCTTCCCCCATAATGCACAGAACATGTGTCACATTGGCAGTTGTGTCACAGAGGACTATGGCAGTCTCCGGAGGAAGAACTCTCCCATACAATATCTTCCCGTCGATGCAAAGCTTGGCTAAACGCTGAAGTTCATACAGTTTTAACATATCACCTGTCTGTATGTCTCCGAGGTGAGTTTTGATTGTAGGTTCGTCCTTCACCTTGGGAGATAACTTGGTGACCTTCTGATCGAAGGTCAGCGGAGCCCAGTCCACATCACAGATGAAGCGTTTCTCCAACGCGACATTGGTAAGAAAATCTCTTGTTTGTTCGGATGAGTTTCTAAACGAAAACCAAATTGAATGCATTCTAACAAAAGAAATAGGTTTGCTCCAACTTTGGCTAGTATGGTGACTCAGTTAATGTGCTAATTTTATGATACAATAGTAGATGTACGGTTTTTTTTTACACAGGAGAACACGAAGGTGCATTAAATAAAAATGCTAATAGAATACGAAAGAAAAATGTGTTTTATTACTATGACGAAGATCTAGAACCTTATGACGTATTCATTTATCCATTTCTATGTTTGTTTTGAGGACACTCTGAATTCAAGAGTAGAAAGAAACGTTAGGTATCAAGTACTCACTCTAGAAGCTTTTGCCAGGCATAACGTCGAATGACCATGTTCAGATTGAGTCTATTCTTGTAGTTCTTGTCTGTAAAGGGATTGTGTATGAAGTTCTTGTTTGTAAAGGGATTATGTATACAGTTCTTGTCTGTAAAAGGATTGTGTATGAAGTTCTTGTCTGTAAAAGGATTGTGTATGAAGTTCTTGTTTGTAAATGGATCGTGTACACATCCATTAACACGAAAGTGTTGATGATTCATCGTTTTGTTAAATTGTACTGATTGCAGTTGTTTTGTGATATAAGCTACTGTAATAAATCATTGATTTAAAAACACCAGTCGCCAAATTTAAAGATGTTCTGAATATTATATACCTTAAACATTAATTTTCCTCTCAATAAATTGTTAGTTTTACTATATAGTACTTTATGTCGATGTAGCATGCAAATAATATAAACACAAATGTACGTAGAAAATATTTAAACCCCTATCCGCAAATACTTTACGCCCCTCCGATACAAATATAAAAACGCCACGAAAGAAAAATAACACGGAGATGCAGGTAATATGTGTGTCGTCCTAAACAACGCACCTGCACACTTCATACGTCTGCCGTGTCACGACCACCTACAACATCCTCAACTACACACCACCACTTCCACCATCCTCACACCTCATTCCCACCACTCACCCCCCCCCCCCCTTCTGATAGCGCTATCCAACCATCAAACACCCGTTGAAAGAAATGTGTACTAAAGATAAATAGCTAAGGCTAGGGTTTTAATGTTATGGTTATGTTTGTGTCATGTATCGCTCAATAGGGCTGGTAAGTAGGTCACCAACCATTTCTGCGGCTCAATAAAACCTGCATGAGCCATAGAACTGGTTGGTGACCTACTTACCAGCTCTATTCACTGTGTTAAATACATTAATTGGTCGTTTATAAATATCGTCTAAGTCACGGGTTCCCAACCTGGGGGTCGCGACCCCCCTGGGGGTCGCGAAGGTCTTTCTGGGGAGTCGCCAACTAGTATACTAAACTTTAGTAATTTAAAACAAAACATAAATATTTAGAAGATTTTTTGAAATTCGACTTCATTAACATCACTGGAAATGTAATAGAGAAGAAACAAATCGTACTGTACAAAGTTGTTCTCAGTCACGAATCTATGAAATCTTCACCGGAACACATCAAAAAAGATATGGAGCTCTTTCGTCGATAAGAAGCTAGTTGCAAACGCCAGAAACTTGATTGAATAGGAAGTTTTCACCAGCATTAGTGCAAGCATCAAATAAAGTCGCGATAGAAAATGCCAAGCAAAATAAAATATAAAAAATAGGAGAAAATCTCATCAAACGCTGCATGTACGTAAATGTTAAATAACACATTTTTATTGAAATTAAGCTTTCACCATTGTTTGCTCTTTTGTGAAGATAGCATGGAGAAAATAAATACCTTTTTTAAAACTGGATGATTAAAACGGGTTAGAACGGCTGTGGGGGTTGGTACAGATGGTGCGCCATCTATGTTTAGCTCAAAATCGGGCTTTCAGAGAACAGAAAAGATTTAGCTCCCTAACCACTGCCCTATCCAATCGACATCAAGAGTCCATTGCTAGTATAAGTCGTAAATTATATAAAATCTGGAGCCTTCAAAGAACTGAGCAAAAACATTAATATAGATCACGAGGTTCTGCTCTTCTACACTACAGTACGCTGGCTGTCAAACGAAATGTTGTAAATTGTGTTTTTGAATTGAAATCTGAAATCAAATTTTTCTTGGGAGTGCAAAGGAAAGAAGACTTTTTGGTATACTTAAAACGACATAGAGTGGTTGGAGAGAGTATCATACCTAGCAGATGTGTTCGAACATCAAAATAAGCTTAACCTTAAGCTTCAGGGAAAATGAACGAATAATATAACTTCCCATGATAATCTTGGGGCATTTTTATCAAAGCTGCAAAATCGGTAAAGAAACCAAATTCTGGAAATATTGTAAATTTGAGAAACTCTGCGGTGTGGTAGATGAATCTGATTGTGAGATCATTAAAATTTTGAAAGAAGCGATTTCTGGGCATCTTGAATCTTATGAAAACGAACTGCATGGCTATTTCTCTGAGCTGGAAAAAGAAGAATCTGCATTTACGCATTACCCATTCTCACTTCCCTTGATGTTGCCAGCATTCCCGATGAATTACAAGATGAATTCTTTGATTTGCGGAATGATTTCGAGCAAGATGAAAAACTGCAGGCACAATTTTGGTGTAGTATTCACCATTCATACCCAAACGTAAAATTGATTGACTTTTCGAGAATATATTTTCAACACTATTCTTCGATTAAAAACAAAATTAAGATAATTATAATGACATAGATTAACATTTTTTTTTTAAATTAAAAACTTAATCACGAAGGTTTAGTGAATAGTATGCAATTTTACTCATGCTATTAAAACAATTATCAAGAGTAGTTTATATTGAAAGTCTACAAGAAAATCTTATTATAGTACTTATTAATTTCCATACTAATTTCGGTTTTTAATTCTATGGGGGTCGCGGGTCACTTACTTTTTATAAAAGGGGGTCCCCACTCGAAAAAGGTTGGGAACCACTGGTCTAAGTCTAACACCTTTCAGAGAGGGAGGGTGTTACGAGTTAGTCTAACGTTTTGCTTCGCAGGGAGGTGTTATTGCGTGTGTAAATATGTGGGGAGGGGGTGGTCTTAATATATGTGACGAAGCATATATTTTGTTTTAAAATTACAAAGTTTTTGTTTTTATTTTGTTGTAAAAATTAAACAAACTGTTATTTTCAAGGATTTTTTCCTTACCCAGTCTCCGTCTCTCTTGTCGTAAATGCCTTGCTTTCATTTTCATGTCCAATGTTACTTTTGGAAGTTTTCTAGGATTAAATCATTACAATATTTTAAGCCATTAATAAACGATTACAGAAAACATGGATGGGCAACATTACACTTTGTGGCTTTGATAGGCTGGAATAATCACGTGATCCATGCCAGGACTAGTCTTCTGTCTGAACCAGTGTGCGATGTATTGACTAATACACTGACCCACCCACTGGCCCGATGTATTGACAAATATACTGACCCACCCACTGTCCCACCCATTGACCCACCCACTGTCCCACCCACTGGCCCGATGTATTGACTAATACATTGACCCACCCACTGTCCCACCCACTGACCCGACCACTTACCCACCCACTGACCCACCCAGACTCACCCACTGACCCACCCACTGACCCACCCACTGTCCCACCCACTGTCCCACCCACTGTCCCACCCACTGACCCACCCACTGACCCACCCGCTGACCCACCCACTGATCCACCAACTGACCCACACATTGACCAATCCAACGACAAATAAACAAACAAGGCCAATAACCTAATCGACTAGCAAAACACTAGCAAAACAACACATTAACCACATGACAAATACTTCGACCAACTGACCATCTTACTGACCATTACCTATGCCAATGGTTTTCTTACCTTATAATCTTGACAATGCACTTCTCCAATAGTACCAGGTGTCCGCCTACTACTAGCAAATAAACCGAAAGCGAAACAGCTATCAGATCACACGAGCAATCTTTCTCTCCGAAAAGGTGCTGAAACAATTAAAAAAAAATTCAGTTCAATATCTGCTTTTGTGTATACTTTATTACTTCTGTAAAAGCTAACATAAATAATAATCTGTTCATTCAACTTGACTCTAAATTCAGCAATATTTCAGACAAAAAAAAGCCAATTACAGGGGAAGTAGATCTGTTTTTATAGTTTAAAAATTAACTTGTTTCAATTGAAGATTTTATTATTCAAGTAAGTTAAGTAATGCTGTAAGCTGATGTAAACTTGTTAGATCTTACATTTGTAGTAAAAACCATTTAAACACAAATAAAAGTATCCCAAGTTTACTTACCTTATAGCTTTGTAAATAGTCTAGTAACAATTTGCACTCGCAAATCGCTAGGGCTATTACATTAACCAGGAGGACAAAGGCTTGAACAGAGACAGACCATGAAAGAGATAAGATGGTATCCATCTCGATAAGAAACTTTTCGGACCATCTTAGCTCTGTGTGTTGGGTGAATCGAGTAACCGACTGGTAGTCTGTGAAAGGAGGGTAGAGGTGTTAGTGTTGAGGAGTGTAGAGCGAGTCAGGTGTTAGTGTTGAGGAGTGTAGAGCGAGTCAGGTGTTAGTGTTGAGGAGTGTAGAGCGAGTCAGGTGTTAGTGTTGAGGAGTGTAGAGCGAGTCAGGTGTTAGTGTTGAGGAGTGTAGAGCGAGTCAGGTGTTAAGGTTGAGGAGTGTAGAGCGAGTCAGGTGTTAGTGTTGAGGAGTGTAGAGCGAGTCAGGTGTTAAGGTTGAGGAGTGTAGAGCGAGTCAGGTGTTAGTGTTGAGGAGTGTAGAGCGAGTCAGGTGTTAGTGTTGAGGAGTGTAGAGCGAGTCAGGTGTTAGTGTTGAGGAGTGTAGAGCGAGTCAGGTGTTAGTGTTGAGGAGTGTAGAGCGAGTCAGGTGTTAGTGTTGAGGCGTGTAGAGCGAGTCAGGTGTTAGTGTTGAGGCGTGTAGAGCGAGTCAGGTGTTAGTGTTGAGCGAGTCAGGTGTTAGTGTTGAGGAGTGTAGAGCGAGTCAGGTGTTAGTGTTGAGCGAGTCAGGTGTTAGTGTTGATGAGTGTAGAGCGAGTCAGGTGTTAGTGTTGAGGAGTGTAGAGCGAGTCAGGTGTTAGTGTTGAGGAGTGTAGAGCGAGTCAGGTGTTAGTGTTGAGGAGTGTAGAGCGAGTCAGGTGTTAGTGTTGAGGAGTGTAGAGCGAGTCAGGTGTTAGTGTTGAGGAGTGTAGAGCGAGTCAGGTGTTAGTGTTGAGGAGTGTAGAGCGAGTCAGGTGTTAGTGTTGAGGAGTGTAGAGCGAGTCAGGTGTTAGTGTTGAGGCGTGTAGAGCGAGTCAGGTGTTAGTGTTGAGGCGTGTAGAGCGAGTCAGGTGTTAGTGTTGAGCGAGTCAGGTGTTAGTGTTGAGGAGTGTAGAGCGAGTCAGGTGTTAGTGTTGAGCGAGTCAGGTGTTAGTGTTGATGAGTGTAGAGCGAGTCAGGTGTTAGTGTTGAGGAGTGTAGAGCGAGTCAGGTGTTAGTGTTGAGGAGTGTAGAGCGAGTCAGGTGTTAGTGTTGAGGAGTGTAGAGCGAGTCAGGTGTTAGTGTTGAGGAGTGTAGAGCGAGTCAGGTGTTAGTGTTGAGGAGTGTAGAGCGAGTCAGGTGTTAGTGTTGAGGAGTGTAGAGCGAGTCAGGTGTTAGTGTTGAGGAGTGTAGAGCGAATTTGGTGGTAGTCGTGAGGAGGTGTCGAGGAGGAGGTGTCGGAGAAGAGGTGGGTGTAATTTGTACTCAAAACTTTTTCGAAATATATTTCAATAAAATTATACTTTTTTTAACCATTTGACCTAGTTATGACATGTTTATTTACATTGTCAGTGAGAAAATGAAAAAAAAATGTTTTTTTTTTATTATTGAAAATACAAAAAAATAAAAATAAAAACAAAAAACATCATAGACGCCGAATGTGTAGTAAAGTCCGATAAATGCATCACAATAGTTTTTATTACCACGATTTAAAAAAAAATATAATATTAAAAAAAATAATGAGTATGGAACTTTTGAGACTTTTTGCTTGATCTAAAACATCACATTACATACTCATTACATAGATTACATCTTGACTCTAGATCTAGAATAGATCTTGATCTTAATTCGATCTAAATTTAGACCATGTAGAGACCAGAAAAATAAATAAATTTAGTTTACTTATTAATACAATTAATAGTAACAGCCTTACATGTAGAAAATGTATAGATCTAGATCTACATTCGCATACGAGATCTAGATCTAGACCTAGATCTAGATCTAGATCTAGATTTAGTTACAGATCAACTATGACAGTTTTTTTAGGCCGATGTAATTTACCGCTTAGAATCTACCACACAACTACTTTGACAAACTACAATAAGTACATTAAACACAGCTCTCACTTGATCGTTTATATATCCTCATGACTGAAAATTCATAAGCGTTTATTTAGCGAGTGTCAACTAGAGATTGCTTGAATCAAGTTTTTCCAACATGTCTGCCATGCCCTTCTTGTCGAGAGTAGCATCGACACATCATAGACGCCCTTTTACATGCGCACCATCTTGCACCGTGTTGACGGAGTTTAAAAATCAACTTTTAAATTGCATTTTCATAACATTCAGTCTATTAAATTTCTACGTTTCAACCATCAATTATTTATCTTATTTTGAAACGTTTTATAAACAAATATATTTTAGAGCAAAATTTGTTTGCAACCTGAGAAATAGAAAAAAAGAGCCTACATATATTTACTGATTCATAGCCGAAATTAATTTTGATGTGTTTAATTATATTGAATTGTTGTAGTTTTAGAAAAAACAGTTTTTACAGTGAATTGATCAATCTGCCATCTAAACGAATTCGCTTCCCCCTTCCCTAAAAGATTTGTATGTACAAAAATGTTACAGTAACAGTATCTCTTATAGTTAATTAAGCTGAACAAGGATATTGTATTAATTATTTATTCGGAATTCAATAGAGAATATTTTAGTAAATAGATCGGATTTGCGGTTAGTTTTCAAATACAAACGAACACAATAACAGATGGTATTTCGTAAAACATCGAGAAATCAAGTTGCTACTGGTAGTCGCCATATTCTTATCAGATAGTGGATAGCAGTAAATTATATATTTAATTTTTAAACGTTTTTTGAAATAACTGATAATATTATAGGTGTAGGTGAATTTAAAGTATAATAATAAATAAGCATCGCCATCACGTACACCAGAGGCGTAGCTAGGGGGGGGCGGGGGTACGGACCATTTAGGGGGGGGGGGGTGACACCAAGGCAAAAAATAACAAAATATAGAGAAAAATTTGAGGGGGGGGGGTGTAAATCGAAAGTTTCAGAGGGGGGGGGGGTTGCAAATCGAAAATTGAAAGTTTGTCACCCTCTGGGGGTGACACCATTAAGTGCCGCACCGGGTGACACCCGACCTCGCTACGCCACTGTATATGCTTAGCTGTGAAATACTATGTACGTGGTGAGTCATGTCCCATTTTAAAATAAAGCTGTCGAGCTGTTTAATGTAATTGAAATCTATATTTTTACTTGCTTTAAGTATCCCATTAGAAATTATATTAAGTAAAAGATGATAATAGAGACACACATTTTATCTTTAAAACCCTTAAAGCGCGCCTGGCCACGATCGTGGCTTTGCTATAACAGAACGTATAACGCGTAAGGCCACGATCGTGGTTTCGTGTGTTTGCGGCCGTATTTTCCGTAAATACTCGGCAATTAGACCAGTAACCGTAAATACACGATTACTTCCGCCATTTCCGATTTCAAACATCGTGGTTTAGTGTTTGTACTGTGAAAGCTAAATTTTTTACAAATAATAATGGACAGCGACTCAAGTGACAGTGAAGTGGACTCAAGAACATAATTGAGACTGATGATGACTTTGATAGCAGCGTTTTAGATGATTTGTATGGTAAGTGTTCGAATTTAATAAATACAAATACTTTCTCTTCAGCTTGGTGATGAATTTTTAAAATAAAGTGAAAGTAGATCTAGTGTCAGAAAAATTATTACATTATTTTATTTTTACTGTAAGGGTGTGGGTGCTTGAAGTGCCACGCCCACCTCTTTAGGTAGATACTGTTTAAAAATTTATGAATGAATATCTAGATCTCTATATTAAATATATCAACTATTTAGGTAAACAAATGTAAATGAAGTCAATAAAATTATTAAAAAATAAATAAATAGGTTCTAATTATAAATTTAATCTATTTTTCAGATTCAGAGGGCAGGGAATCTCTTACAGCTGATGGACATTGGCAGCCTATTGTTGGAGAGGATTGTGGCCCTAGACCTATCCTGTTTACAGCAAATCCAGAACCCAAGCATAAACCAGCTGCTAATGCTAAGCCTGTTGAATACTTGGATCTGTTTTTAACAGCAGAGCTTACCAATGTTATCATAGCTGAGACCAACTGCTACGCTAGCGAGTTCATCGAGAGCAACAAAGAGAAGTTATGACATCATTCCCCGATCAAGAGTCCACGAATTGACTCCACTCACCCTAGCTGAATTTAGGGCCTTTCTTGCTGTGGTCCTGAACATGGGCTTAAATCAAAAGCCCAATTCCAATGCTTATTGGGACACCTGCCACCATAGACAAGAAACACCATGGTTCCATGCACATTTAAAAAATAACTATGTACCGGGCTGAACGTCGAACCCTCAAATGAACAAATAAAGTATTCTTCTCTTTGTTAGGTAGAGCTGTGCTAAACAGCTATATCTTATACAAGCTGAACACTACAGACAAGCCTGTGCTTTCTAGGTGCAATTTTATCATTTCTGTTTTGGAGAGCCTGTCCTCTAAATTCACACCAGAAAAAATTGCTCTTCGCAAACGGACAAGGGAGGAAATATCAACCACCAGAAATGGTGTTGAGTCCCCAGTGCCTTCTGCTTCCAGTCATCCACTAGATGGCCATGACTTAGTGAAACTACAAGTGTGCAAAAAAAGACAGTGTGTTGCAGGTCATTCTGCAAGAGTCAGAAGTGGGTGGGAGTGTTCTGGTTGTAATGTTGGACTGTGTCCGGAATGCTTTGCCAAATACCATAGGACCCTGTAGTTACTACTAGTTTGTGATTTCTTATCAAGGATATATATGTGCTGGTTTTGGTACTTTGTTTTTTAGATTGTGGTGTTTGTTTTTGAAAATTTATGTGTACTTTATTCAAGGAATTAAAATTATTTGCGATGGTAAAAAAAATGGTTTGTATTTCATTTTTCTTAAATTTTTACTATTTTGTTTTTATGTTTATAGTTAATGTGTTTTCATATTCTTTATTATTTAAGCTTTCCATTAATGTATGGGTTCATAGGTCTATAATGTATAGATCACACTTTAAAATGGTAAAATTAAAAGGGGGTATCAAAATTTGTAAACATTGCCATTTTGATCCCATTTTTTAATGCACTTCCTGAAAACCAGCTGAGCGCTTTAAGGGTTAATTTAGCTTACATTTCTTTTTCTTTCCATAGTGCAAACCGCTCAAGAGCAGCAAACAGCTTGCAGGGTCAAATAATAAGGAACTCACAACAAAACAAAATAAACATAAGGCAAGAGTTAGATGCTTTGTATATTGGTGTTTTAATCTAATACAGTGTACCATAGTATACTGTGTATGACCAAATGGAATTGATTTTTTTTTTGAAATTTTAAAAATATTGGAAACAAGATTAGATAGTGAAGTTGAAGAGTACCTAAATGACTCTCTTCGATGTAAAAGTTTTAAAATATTCGTAAACATGAATGGCTCATCAGAGCTGCGATTAGGATGATTCAAACTAGAAGACATTCAAAACACTTCCACCCACACTCAAACTGACACCCTCACCCAATATGCCACTCACACTTGGCACCCCCACCTACACTACACTCCAGTTCACCACACTCACACACACACACACCCACCTACACTACACTCCAGTCCACTACATTCACACTTTACACACTCATACACACAATTCATATAAATAAATAAATTTGAAAAATAAAAAATTATATAAATAAATAAATAATTTTTTAAAAACATATATAGATTTATATTTGTTTTTAAAAGTGTATAGATTAGAAGTATTACATACTTGTAATGAGTAAGCTATATATATATATATATATATATATATATATATATATATATATATATATATATATATATATATATACAATATGCATATACGTATGTATTTGTATAAAGCTAATCAACCATAGCAATTGAGTTGACGCTTGGGTTTTCTTCAGTATGATTGATGGGCGTCTTGTTCATGTTGTGGTCCCCATCAGAAGTGGACTCGTCCATTGACAATGGACTGGTCTTGATGTCCACTCTCTGGTCAGTCCAGTTAAGGCAGACACAGGTGCCCCGGGTGATGATCTGGGGGTGGGAGGTCGAGTGCTCCACGCCATCTTTGTCCAGCCACTTCTCCTCAATCAACTCCACACATGCCTGAAGGGGATGATAAAAAAGTAGGATGTATGTTTCAGTTTGTTTGTTTTTGGATTTCGTAAGTATGGATGTCTCTATTTTAATGTAAGAATTAGAACGCATATTAAGTGTTGAAATATTTGAAAAGTTGTCTAGTTCTTGTAAAAAAAATATGATATTGTTTAAGGCAATGTCAAATTGTCTAGGCTCGCACCACAATATTACAACAGAGAATAAGCAAACACATTTTATGTTTTGTTGTTGTTTCATTGTATAATATATAGAGTTTTTTAAATGCAGAAACGTTAAACTAAATAAACTTGCTGTACTATATTTGGCGGTTGACGAAAGCTCTACACATTTTAGTCACACGGGGCTTTATTTACTAAAGAAAGCAACGTTTATAAACAAATAGCAAGCGTGTTTTAAAGGTTATAACTTTTAAAAAAATATCGTTCGTTTTTTGTAGTGAGTCTGTTATTTTCCTTTTTATATTAACGCATTAGTTCAGTGTTCTTATACATTTGTAGATGTCTAGATATAATAAAACAGTAATAAATAAACGTTGTTTTATTATTACACAGGCACATAAAATGCAAAATAAATTTAGTTGTTAGAAAAAAACTCACCATTTCTTTTGGTCTAAGAACTCCGCCGTCTTTCACAAGCTGAAAAGCCTCATGTAAGTCTTTAATGTATGACACAAATGAGATGTCTCTCTTATTGTATGTGAATTTAACCGGCAACTCTCCTGGTGAAAAATGTAATAGAACAGAATACAGTAATGAGCTAAGCTACTCTTGTTTTACAGATAGATGTTTCATCAATTCTACGTCAAAATGAAAATATTTTAAGAGGTTTTGGTTACCGTTTTTGACACTGTCTGTCTGTCTATAATTTCGTCTTCGTCTTTCATTTTGTCTGTCTGTAGCAAATCATGTAACTCAATTTCGATCAACTTCTAATACAGAGATTTCCAGATACAATCTCCTCCGATTGCCCCACAAGTATTTCAAAATTTTAATCAATAAATTGTTACATTATTAATTTCTAATTAATTTAACGAATAAATGTCGATTTGTTGTTTTAATTATTCAAACTTTAGATCCTTAATAGCAGGATATTAAAAAAATGTTTTAAAAATAATATTTTAAACGCACTGCAGAAACATTAAGCTAAATAAACTTGCTGTCTTTAGTATATGTTTGGTCGTTGATGAAAACTAACATTCTAGTAAACACTGCTTTAACTAAAGAAAACAATGTTTAAACAAAAAATCCATTAGGTTTATAGGCTTATTATTATAACTTATAAAAAAAATACTTGTTTTAATTTAGAACTTGAAAGCCGGATCTTACCTTTAGGGTTGGATAAAGTGGTTCGAATCTCAAACTCCACAACAGAGCACTCTTGTCTCGCTAACAGCTGAGCATGGGCTCGAGACGATGGCTCCACTTCAACCTGCAAGTATAAGCTCGGTCAAAAATCTCTATTAACGAGAAAAATGGCCCGTTGAGGAAGGATACACCGGGCGCTAGGTTGATAGTGCTGTCTCTTTTCTCTAAACTAAAACCAACCCACCCCCCCCCCCACACACACACACCACCCCCCCCCACCCCCCACCCCACACACCAGCCCCCCCCCACCCCACCCACCGCCACCCACCCTCACCCCACCCCCACCCCCCAAAAAACATGTCTACCGTCCCATTCAACGAAATATAATTATATACTTTTTCCAGTGTCCGCCCCCTCCCCGAAAATTTTACCCCCGCCCCCGAAAATTTCAAGTACCCCCCACCGCTCTCCGGGGAGGAAAAAGTCTGAAAGAAACACTGGTGTCGCGCTTAGCCACTACGCGAAGAATTGCATTAAAGAAATTGCGAGAAAACCACTTTTTAGATTAGACACATTAATTAGGCGGTAATTTTATTATAGAGTATCGATGAGGAAACCACCGCCCCACCCACCCCCCCACTCACACCTCCCCCCCACCCCCCCACACTCCCCACCCCCCACCCCCCCCCCACTCCCAAAAAAAAACATGTCTACCGTCCCATTCAACGAAATATAATTATATACTTTTTCCAGTGTCCGCCCCCCCCCCCTCCCCGAAAATTCTAACCCCGCCCTCGAAAATTTCAATTACCCCCACCCCTCTCCGGGGAGGAAAAAGTCTGAAAGAAACACTGGTGTCGCGCTTAGCCACTACCCGAAGAATTGCATTAAAGAAATTGCAAGAAAACCACTTTTTAGATTAGACACATTAATTAGGCGGTAATTTTATTATAGAGTATCGATGAAGAAATTTCTTTTGAGTTGGGGAGGGGGGGGGGGGCTCAGACGTTCTTACGCGGGGGGTGGGGCTTCGCCCCTACCCGAAGAATTGTATGCAAGAAACTCTTCACGCAAACCATTAAGATTAGACAACATTTCCTTTTTATTCAATGTTAACGCGAAAATCAATGACGTCATATAACTGTGAGCACTCTCTGGGTTTGAGATTATTTTCTACTCTGTGCTAAATGTGTCGACGTCATACTTCGTTTTTCGAATTACTGTGCATGTTTTTAAATTGCTTGTCTTTTCTCTAGAGCGTTCTTGTCAGACAGATAGATAGATAGATAGACAGACAGCGAAACTATTATTATAGACGAGAAAAATGGCCCGTTGAGGAAGGATACACCGGGCGCTAGGTTGATAGTGCTGTCTCTTTTCTCTAAACAAAACCCCCCCCCCCCCCCCACACACACCACCCCCACCCACACCCACACCACCCCAACCCCCCCCACACACCACCCCCCCACACACCACCCCCCCCCCCACCCCCACCCCTACACACACCACCCCACACACACACCACCCCCCACCCCCACCCCCCCCCCCCCCAAAAAAAACATGTCTACCGTCCCATTCAACGAAATATAATTATATACTTTTTCCAGTGTCCGCCCCCTCCCCGAAAATTCTACACCCGCCCCCGAAAATTTCAAGTACCCTCACCCCTCTCCGGGGAGGAAAAAGTCTAAATTAAAACCACCCCCCACTCACCCCCACCCCCCCCCCACACACACACCACCCCCCCCACCCCCCACCCACCCCCCCCCCCCCAAAAAAAAAGCATGTCTACCGTCCCATTCAACAAAATATAATTATATACTTTTTCCAGTGTCCGCCCCCTCCCCGAAAATTCTACCCCCGCCCCCGAAAATTTCAAGTACCCCCACCCCTCTCCGGGGAGGAAAAAGTCTAAATTAAAACCACCCCCCCCCCCACTCACCCCCCATCCCCCCCCCTCCCCCCACCCCCCACCCACAACCCCCCCCCCCCCCCCCTAAAAAAACATGTCTACCGTCCCATTCAACGAAATATAATTATATACTTTTTCCAGTGTCCGCCCCTCCCCGAAAATTCTACCCCCGCCCCCGAAAATTTCAAGTACCCCCACCCCTCTCCGGGGAGGAAAAAGTCTAAATTAAAACCACCCCCCCACTCAACCCCCCCCCCCCCACCCCCACCCCCCTCAGACGTTCTTACGCGGGGGTGGGGCTTCGCCCCTACCCGAAGAATTGTATGCAAGAAACTCTTCACGCAAACCATTTAGATTAGACAACATTTCCTTTTTTTCAATGTTTCAATGACGTCATTACATTACTGTGTGCACTCTCTGGTTTGAGATTATGTTCTACTCTACGCTAAATGTGTCGACGTCATATTTCGTTTTTCGAATTACTGTGCAGGTTTTTAAATTCCTTGTGTTTTCTCTAGAGCGTTCTTGTCAGACAGATAGATAGATAGAGAGACAGCGAAACTATTATTATAGACTAGAAAAATGGCCCGTTGAGGAAGGATACACCGGGCGCTAGGTTGATAGTGCTGTCTCTTTTCTCTAAACTAAAACCAACCCCCCCCCCCCCCACACACACACCACCCCCCCACCCCCCACCCCACACCCACCCCACACACCACCCCCCCACCCACCCACACACACCCCACCACCCACCCCACCCCCACCCCCCAAAAAAAACATGTCTACCGTCCCATTCAACGAAATATAATTATATACTTTTTCCAGTGTCCGCCCCCTCCCCGAAAATTCTACACCCGCCCCCGAAAATTTCAAGTACCCCCACCCCTCTCCGGGGAGGAAAAAGTCTAAATTAAAACCGCCCCCCCACTCACCCCCACCCCCCCCCCCCACACACCACCCCCCCCACCCCCCCACCACCCCCCCCCCCCCCCCCAAAAAAAAGCATGTCTACCGTCCCATTCAACGAAATATAATTATATACTTTTTCCAGTGTCCGCCCCCTCCCCGAAAATTCTACACCCGCCCCCGAAAATTTCAAGTACCCCCACCCCTCTCCGGGGAGGAAAAAGTCTAAATTAAAACCACCCCCCCACTCACCCCCACCCCCCCCCCCCCACACACACCCCCCCCCCCCACCCCACCCCCCCCCCCCCCAAAAAAAAGCATGTCTACCGTCCCATTCAACAAAATATAATTATATACTTTTTCCAGTGTCCGCCCCCTCCCCGAAAATTCTACCCCCGCCCCCGAAAATTTCAAGTACCCCCCACCCCTCTCCGGGGAGGAAAAAGTCTAAATTAAAACCACCCCCCCACTCAACCCCCCCCCCACCCCCACCAGACGTTCTTACGCGGGGGGTGGGGCTTCGCCCCTACCCGAAGAATTGTATGCAAGAAACTCTTCACGCAAACCATTTAGATTAGACAACATTTCCTGTTTATTCAATGTTAACGCGAAAATCAATGACGTCATATAACTGTGAGCACTCTCTGGGTTTGAGATTATTTTCTACTCTGTGCTAAATGTGTCGACGTCATATTTCGTTTTTCGAATTACTGTGCAGGTTTTTAAATTGCTTGTGTTTTCTCTAGAGCGTTCTTGTCAGACAGATAGATACATAGATAGATACATAGAGAGACAGCGAAACTATTATTATAGATGCCCCACGATGTTAACACCGTAGTTAACTTGAACTTTTGTTAAAACATACCAGTGAGTCGACATGCCAGTTCTGAACCTTTTGGAACACTTCACCTTTGACCTTGGTTAGATTGGGGAATTTGACTATTTCTATGTCCATTTTTAAACGTTGAGGGAGGTCTCTGAGGGCACACAGCTGAACCTATGTGTATATACGTATATATATATATATATATATATATATATATATATATATATATATATATATATATATATATATATATTCACCCCGAATCAGGTATGTATTCTTCTAAGCAAATAAAGATTTTAAATACTATTATGAATGAAAGAAGAATATTTAACTGAAACTAGTCAAATAAAATTCCATTTTATTTTTTTGCGACACAACATAATTTATAAATTAACAGTACATAAGTCTTTCATAGTGTGAACTTAATTACTTATCACGTGATCATGTCACAGTAACGATATAGCAGTTATTACCGAAATGGGATCGACCTACATGCAAAGTCAATGTAGACACCCACATACACACATACACCCACACACACACACAAACACATGCACACGCACGCACACGTCATATACCAAAAACTACCCGTATTTGAACACATGTATGATACACTGTGTACCTGTCGATTGATTGAATAACACTGGTCTAAGTCGACTTCCACCCATGTTGTTGTGCCGCGTGATCCTCTGAAAGCGTGACCTTGTTTACAGTCGGTTTGGTTGTCATAGTAACACGCCCAGAGCGGAACCCATTGCGTGCCTGAAGAATATGTAAGCGCATTAACCTTGACAATGTCTACCTTGTTTGCATAATGCTGGCGGAAACAAGGTGTTTCCAGGCTTATTTGTGATGTGATTTTGTTACACGCTTTGCAGAGGCGTAGCGACCCTTCCGGGGACAAACTTTTAATTTCGCGCCCCCCCCCCCCCCCAGGAACAAACTTTCAATTTGTCGCCCCCCATATATATTTTATATTTATCATACAAAACTGCAGCTAAAATGAGCTTTTAATTTTTTTCCAACCCATTTTGGCGCCCCCTAGGGTCGGCGCCCGAGGACATATTTACCCCCCGACCCCCAACCCCCCTCCCCCCCTCGCTACGCCTCTGACGCTTCCTCGTCCATACTTTGTCTTTTTATGTATCGCATTCCTTTTATCAGTACAGATTTCAAAATACAAAATAAAATAAAAAATTATTACAGGAACGTAGTGGCATTGTAAAAAGCGGAGATGGGGGGGGGGGGGGAGGGTTCCGCCGACTGGAATATCTAAATATAAATAAGGTAGAACAGGGGGGGGGGCGCAAAAGTTTGATAGTTGTAGCTGTTTTTAAGTAACTTTTTTAACCAATCACCTGTTTGTATATCTCCCCGTTGTGTCTTGATCACAGTTCCGTCCTTCACCTTGGGAGACAACTTGGTGACCTTGTGTTTGAAGGTCAGCGCCGACCAGTCCACCTCATAGGTGAAGTATTTCTTATGCGCCACCAGAAAGTCGCTGATGTGTTCGCAAGACTCCCTAAATAAAATGAGTTTTTAAAGCATGGTCCTAAACGAAATTTGTGACTCATTAAATTCAGCTTTAATTCAGTTAATGTATTCTTATAATATAGCTCTAGATGTATCTTTTGTCCTGTATAAAGTAGAAGACGAAGATAGATTTATGCTCACAGGAATGAAAATGCACGTAGAATATTTAAAAATTCAAAGGTAATGACTTCATTGTTATGACGAAGACTTAGGGCGACACCTGTGACTTATTATCGGTTCCATATTTTAAAAGTTGAGATAAAAAAAGTCAACATCAGAACTAGACTATATTTAAATTACTTACTCTATCAGCTGCTCCCAGGCGTAACGCCGAATGACGCAATCCAGTTTAAGAGTCCGACTGTTCTTTAAATTCTTGTCTATAAAGGGAGGGTGTAAATTACACGAAAGAGTTGATTTTCTTTATAGTTTTTTTCAATTTTTACTTTATGGTGTTATATAAAGTAATGCTACATAACACGTTATTCATTCAATAATAATTGGTAAATTTAAAATTGATAGATTAGTAAATGGCATAGAAAATGTGTCTTAATATGGGTGTCTTAATATATGTGATATGTCCTATACATTTTTTTGCTGCAAAAAATAAAGCAAAATTTGTTGTTTTTAATTAACATCTCTTTCCCTTACCCTTTCCATTTCTTTGGTCTCCAATACGTATTTCTTCCTGGTCCGATGTTAGTGTGTGTGGGTTTCTAGGATTAAATTACCACACTTTTTTAAAACCATCAAATAAATGAATAAACTTTAACAGGGCCAAGAGAACAAATATGGACAAACAAAACCTAATTCTCGGCTTCATTTAACAATGAACTATCACCTGGCCGTTAGGGAGACTAGTCGCTGTACTGACCAATGTCCGATCTATTGACAAATACAATAACCAATCCCATGACAGAATCTATGACAAATTCTTTGACCTTTTAAGAGACCCATCCGTTCAATGATCCACATAACCAAATGAGAACCCTGTGAACCCACAAACACTACAAGAACAAAACTGATCTGATGAACAAATCGTTGACCAATCGACTTATAAGCGACTGACAAATCTCTCGACCAATCTACTGGCAACTCAACTGACCAATGGACTGACCAATCCCTTGACCAATCCACAGGCAACTCAACTGACCAATGGACTGACCAATCCCTTGACCAATCCACTGGCAACTCAACTGACCAATGGACTGACCAATCCCTTGACCAATCCACAGGCAACTCAACTGACCAATGGACTGACCAATCCCTTGACCAATCCACTGGCAACTCAACTGACCAATGGACTGACCAATCCCTTGACCAGCGCCTTGACCATTACCTGTGCAAAAGATTTTCTTCCCTGATAATCGCGCGTGTAAACTGCTGAAGAATCGCCAGGTGACCGAAAAGTGCCGGCCAAAAAAATGTGGACCAAACAATGAACTTGAGCAACATACATTCGTTTTCGTTTAACAGCTAGAACAAAATACAAACGGTTTAATTTTTAAACGAATCCATTAACTGCTTGTGCTTATCTAAAACTAAAAAATGCTTGAGTTAATTACTCAATTCTAATTTCAACAAAATGTGTGCAATAAATTAGCTAATTTTCCATCAAAATTCTTTATTTCACATAGACAAGGTTATCCTTAAAAGCAGCATTAAATATTTTTTAAATTACATTTTTACAATATATTTCTCTAGTAAGAAGCTTTTATTATTCAAACAACCCCAAGTTCATTAGATACTTATTGTTTTTAGATATCATTTGTTACATTGTATACACTAAATAGCGACATTTATAAATGAAATAGGACAGAGGCGTAGCGACCCTTCCCGGCGCCCGGGTACAAACTTTCAATTTAACGCCCCCTTCGGGAGCAAATTTTCAATTCGCTACCCCCCCCCCCCCCTTAAACTTTCGTTTAACACCCCCCCCCCTCAAACTTTCAATTTGCACTCACCCCCCCCCCCCCCCACTTAAACTGCAAAAAATGACATTTTAATTTCTTTTTACAACCCATTTTGGCGCCCCCTAAGGTCGGCGCCCGGGGACATATGTACCCCCTGCCCCCCCCCCATCGCTACGCCTCTGAAATAGGACACTTCAAACAATAATCACTTACTTCACTCTTTTGTAAATAGCCTACAGCAAACATGCTCTCAAGACAGGCACAAAATATTGAAACCACCAATAAGAAAAAAATAAAAAATGAGTCAGCTAATGGAAATTTTGATATGGTCTCCATGTCCATGAGAAAACTTTCAAACAATGTTGCTTTTCTGTGTTGGCAGGGCGGAGCTGACTCCTTTAGGTCTGTGCGGGGAATGTAAAGAGAGTTGGGGGTTAGCTCTGGTTGGGTGGAAATGAGAAGAGGTAGTTGTGTGTGTATGGGGGTGTAGGAGTGTAGGTTTTGGGGGCGCGGTGGTGATGTAGTGAATGATATCGGCTATCTGATGGTACAAATCTACTCCCTCTCTTCCGTGGTAGGTGGTAACACGAACCTACTCCACGGTAAATGGTGACACGAGCCTACACCCTTCCACGGTAAATGGTGACACGAACCTACACCCTTCCAAGGTAAATGGTGACACGAGCCTACACCCTTCCACGGTAAACGGTGACACGAACCTACACCCTTCCACGGTAAATGGTGACACGAGCCTACCCCCTTCCACGGTAAATAGTGACACAAACCCATGCCCAATGAGCGCCCCATACAAACTACTTTTCAGATGTACCAAAATATAAAATGCGTCTTAATAATGTTGACAAAGGTGCAGGTAAGTGAACTGATATTAAAGCAAATATTTTTAATGTTAAGGTTATATTATAACTCCAATATACACATACAATCATGTTTTAAAATGATAAAGTAGAAAATAAGCTTATTATTGCTTTTTTTAAAAGCTTACTAATACGCTTCTTACAGTCAACGTTTAAATACATGTTTTATTTTTTGACTTGAGGGACTTCGATAGGGCAGTTAGATCTCGGTCAACAAACTTGATTGGTCGATCTAGAACAAATTTTAACAGCTCTGTTCTCTGTTGGCTGACTGGAGGGTTTGCCAAACCAATCTAAGATTTAAATCTAAGATCCAGAACTAGATCTAGAATCTAGAGATCTAGTAAATCTAGATCTAGAACGTATTTGTAAAGCTAAAATAAACTAGACCCTTACTTTTCTCTTTACATGCTTCCATCATCAGATTTACAACTGAACGTATATTTGCTTTCATTTAGTGAGCGTCAACCGGTCAAGATTATTTTCCCAACATGTCTTTGCGGTGGTCTTCAATCTAGCCGTAGAATCACAGAAAATCATGGACGCTCATTTAGGTTCGCACTGTTGACGGGAATTCCCTAACCAGTATGGTGTGCTTGAGTTTGAAGGTAAAACGAGCTGTAAGATTTTTTATTTACCCTGAATCACAACTTCCAGGGAAACGCATTTTTACCGTTATTTTTTTTCTTTACTTCTCTGACTGTGTGAGTCTATTGAAATACATATCTGACGTTTTCCGTTTCACAAAAAAATTCCAGCAGGCATTATTTAAAGGAACAGATAAGAACACAGACGCTTTATTAAATTAAGGATGGTTTATTCATTTTTAAATTCATCCTATTCAGCCACAACAAACGGCCTAGATAATTATATAATTAGTAAAAATATAAACTAAGATAAAATTAAAACAGATAAATGTATACATTAGTAGATTTGTGAGCTGCTGTTTTTTGAATATTTTTAACGAAATGTATGCCCTACTGTGTATGAGGTAATTTTCTTAATTTTATGTTCTAGATCTTTAAACTGTTGAATCAGGATTTAAAATTGATTTTGAAAAGATACCTCTAACAACCCAACTACAATCACCTCCATAAACTTGATGTCCCTTCTAACAACCCAATCACCTCCATAAACTTGACGTCCCCTCTAGCAACCCAATCACCTCCATAAACTTGACGTCCACTCTAACAACCCAATCACCTCCATAAACTTAACGTCCCCTCTAACAACCCAATCACCTCCATAAACTTGACGTCCCCTCTAACAACCCAATCACCTCCATAAACTTGACGTCCACTCTAACAACCCAATCACCTCCATAAACTTGACGTCCCCTCTAACAACCCAATCACCTCCATAAACTTGACGTCCACTCTAACAACCCAATCACCTCCATAAATTTGAAGTCCCCTCCAACAACCCAATCACCTCCATAAACTTAACGTCCCCTCTAACAACCCAATCACCTCCATAAACTTGACGTCCCCTCTAACAACCCAATCACCTCCATAAACTTGACGACACTCTAACAACCCAATTGCATACACCTCCATAAACTTGACGTCCCCTCCAACAACCCAACCATGACTTACAGTACCACATAGACTACACGTACGACTCCTGTGTAAGAGTGAATACATGTGTAGCTAATTGACAACAAAGAAGGAACTGGCGTTCGCGTCTTCTTCTGTGTGACCGACGAGCGTCTTGTCCATGTTGTTGTCTCCATTAGCAGTGGACTCGTCCATGGACAATGGACTGGTCTTGATGTGCAATTTATGTTCAGACCAGCTGAGGCAGACCATAGAGCCCCGGGTGATGATCTGGGGGTGGTAGGTCACGTGCTCGACGCCATCTTTGTCCAGCCACTTCTTCTCAATTAACTCCACAAACGGCTGAAGGGGGAGGAGGTGGCAGTAAGAAATGTGTCTATTATGGTAACAAAATAATTGTACTAATTTGTCGACATCAATTGTTCTTTGTTACATCAATGTGTATGTATTATAAAGTCTGAACAGAGAAATAACAAAGACACCATAGTGTTTGATGGGTATTTTATGGTTTGCTGTGTAATTGGGATTTTTATCTTCAAATCATGTGCAACGCGGGTAGCTAAGCTAGTAATTAGGAAAAGTAAAGAAATAATTGGAATCAAGGAAAACACATATTTTTGTAGATGTTCAGTTACATTTGGTTTACTTTACGTGTTGTCGCGGTTGTAGATATTTTGATTCTTTAATAATGCAATAGGCAATGAAATTTGTTCAAGTAAAAAAAATGCAAAACAAAGATTTTCTTCAAATAAACAATACAAAATAAAATAACGAAACAACTCACTTTTTCTTCCGGTTGAAGAACTCCGCCTTTTTCCTCAAGATGAAAAGCCTCGAGTAAATTGTCAAGGTTCACGACATGTTCGGTGTCTTTACTCAAAAATACGGCAAACAAACCTGTTCAAAATACAAAGTAATTAACAATTTAGCAATCTAGAGCATCTTTGTATACAGAACATTTATTAAAACATTACTACATGCAAAAACTTCTTTCTTTTTACAACTAGAAAGTTGGATTTGACCTTTAGGGTTGGACAAAGTGGTTCGAATCTCAAACTCCACGACAGAGCACTCTTGTCTCGCTAACAGCTGAGCATGGGCTCGAGACGATGGCTCAACTTCAACCTGCACAAAAATTAGTTCGGTCACAAAACGCAGGTCAATGTACTCACTGTTTACACGACGTAATGGGACATAATGGCTGAGGGGAAATTCGGAAACATACCTGAGAGTTAACCTCCCATGTGTGAGTCTCAAGGAAAAATCTTGGGTTGTCCATTTTTAGATTTAGATTATTGTCTTTGGCCATTCTTAAAAACGGCATTAGGACTTCCGAAAGGTATAACTTAACACGCATCTGAATGAATGTATATATATATATATATATATATATATATATATATATATATATATATATATATATATATATATATATTTTAGTGTTTACCAATAAACAAAATAAAAAAAGACTATACAAAGACTAAACAGTTCGAATTAGTAAACATATAATGAGTTTAAAAAAAAAAACTTGCACTTTAAAATTAAAAAAATAAATTTCCTTTGCTTTATCACGACGCACTAGATGTTATTAATTCAACATTATCGAAATATCTACATCTAATCACACTTACATGGACCTTAAAATAATTTAATTTGCACTTTGCTTATCTTGTGTCATGTTCTTATTTGAAATATTTTTTTACTGAATATCAAGTGGGAGCTAAATATGTGAATTGTCTCCATGTATAAGTATGTCCTCTCCTTATAACAGGAACATGACAATACCTCCCCCCCATCAATTTCCCCCGGACATCCCCCCGTATTTATCCCCCGGAGTAATTATCCCCTGTCAATTACCCCCCCCCCCCCGGACATTATCCCCCGCCCAAAAACAGCAGTAGGACATTTACCCCCCTCCCCACGGTCAACTTAAGATCATTATATGTATAGGACAGATGTCGGCAACCTGTTGAAGCGGAAGAGCCAAAAATAACTATTTACAAAATTTACTAGTTTTTATAGAGCCACTAACATTTTAATTTTATTAGTTGTTATTGGATCAGGTATTTATATAGGCATATATATATATATATATATATATATATATATATATATATATATATATATATATATATATATATATATATCAAATATGAAATAATATTTATTCATATTAAAAAATACACACGTTTCGCACAAAACATATTATTGTTTTTTTAGCTACCTCTGTTAAAATAATATAATTAGTAATCATATAATAAAACTATAATCATTGAATATTTACATTAGTTAAATCAATGGGAGCATTGGCTTTGCCTGCATTTTGAAAGGTTATTTAATTCTGGCTCATAACTTGTTTCCAGTTTCAAGCACGCCTTTAGATTTTCATGTGTTAGTTGGCTTCTTACTTAACTTTTTATTGTATTCATGTAAGAGAACTCTTGTCAGCACGAATATGTTGACCAAAAGATCGTCAGCACTCCAGAGGTCAACTTCTTCACCTTTAGGTAGCATTCTGTATAACTGTTCCATGCGGTAATATTAGTGCCTCAACTCGCGGCATTTCTTTTAGAGCCGTGTACTTGTGAAGTGTAACTTGCATGCTTTTCTTAACCTCCAACTCTTGCAACTTGCTCTTGAGTTCTGTTAATTTACTACTCCACACATATATGGTTTTCAAATCTAGCAATTGCATTTGAAGCGAACTAACAACAATTCCAAATGGCTTAATGATGATATCATTTGTTTTTGTGTTGAGAGGATCTACTATGAAAGCCATCTGTTTTCAATTGCTCAAAACTCTCAGCGAAAACATCCTTCGTTTTGTTAATAGTAATGCTGATGATTCATGTTAACATCACAATCTTTTTTCTCTCCAGATTTTTCAAAAAGAAGTAATTTACCGATCTACTTGTCTTCAACAAAATCAAGCATTTTTTTTTCGAAACAATCCATTTTTTTGTCAAGCAAATGATATCCACCATGACGTTGATTTTTTTTCAGTTTGGGATGGACACTTCAATGGGAAGTACAATCATTGAAATAGAGAGTAAATAATTGTTCTAAAAGAATAGCGCGTGTTTATTGATTATATTTATTACCGAGTGTTGCAGAATGATTTTATGAGTTTTGAAAAATAATAATATAATTTTATAATATTTGCGAATATAACTCGAGAGCCGCATCTTGACATCAAAAGAGCCGCATGCGGCTCACGAGCCGCAGGTTGCCGACCCCTGGTTTAGGAGATTGAGAATGTCGCCGCTTATGTGGGTTTTTTTCACTTGATTTATTGTGTAGGAGTGGGTTTTAAAAGCGAATTACGAACATGTAAGTCTTAAATGTGGTGCAGCTGTTTATATAGTCTTTTTATGTCCAGTCGGTTTTAACTTTTGAAGTACATATAATTCTAGGAAGGCACCATGTGTGGGAAGAGGACTTGTGTGGCAGACGAATGAAATTTGTTACACACTAAATGTGTTGCCGCTGCTCATAGGGCTTACGTTTGATGTCCGTCGGTTTGTCTTTTGACGTTGTCTTTTAAGTTGACCGTCGCGCCACCCACGGCGTCGCGTCAACTACAAAGTCGCGGGTTGACACCGTAAATTTCAAGCCGCAGTTGCTGCTGACCGTCCTAATATCTGGTGATTCATCAATATTCTTAAACGCTAGCAAGGTTTTCACAAAGTGGTCATCGGTCAGCGTCTTTTGGCGGACATCCAGTAGAACCACCAAGAACAAAATATCGCAACATCAATTCTCGTATTTTTAACATCGTTAAGGACTATGTCAACAGAATTTGTAAGTTCATTTAGATTTTGCTGTATATATTTTTGAATGTTTTGTTTGTAAGGCTTCCTTATGCTTCTTTTATTTCAGAAAATAAAAATTCAAAAATGTATATTTTATGTTGCTTATTTTAAACTTTATTCATGTTTGTACATTTAGATTTTGTTATATATGTATGTATGTATATATATATATATATATATATATGTATATATATATATATATGTATACATATATATATGTATATATATATATATATATATATATATATATATATATATATATATATATATATATATATATATCTATACATATATACATATATATATGTATACATATATATATATATATACATATATATATACATATATATATATATATATATATATATATTGTTTGAAGGGGGGGTAATTACATAATTGACAGGGGGTAATTGCTCCGGGGAGTAAATACGGGGGGGGGTATGTCCGGGGGTAATTGACGGGGGGGGGGGTAATGTCCTGTAGTCTCTTATAACATATTAGCTCCAAAATTTAGAGCGTTGAACATACAACAATAAAAAAAATAATGGATCTTTCGATGATTTGTTACTAGTATATGGTATGCCGGTGTTTCAATTTGAGGACAACAAGTGAAAGTGATTGCGTCATTAAGTTACGCGCGCACATACACATATAACTCCTGTTCCAAACACTAGCACACGTTATTACACATTGTAATGCTGGCCACTACCTTCTTGTTGACAGTGTAACACTGTTCTAGGTCCACGTCCACCCACGATGCTGTTTTACGGGATCCTTTAAAGGAATGACATTGTTTACTGCCGGCTTTGTTGTCATAGTAACATGACAAGAGCGTCACCCATTCGGAGCCTGAATGAACACATCCATATTAGTCATTAGAATGAACACATGCTCATTAATCTTTAGAATGAATACATCTGCACATTAGTCTTAAAAATAAATACGTATGCGCGTTGGCCTTGAAAATGTCTACTTTATTGCAATAAAAACTTTGTACTGAGAGATTAGGAATAGGACTCTATAACATTTGATTCTCTATAATGGCACCACTCTACTGATATAGCTGTCTCCAAAATTTAATCGGTAAAATAAATTCACCAATAACGAAGTGTGTGCAGCAGTAGCGAGAAACTAATTCTCCAGCCTGCATATATATATATATATATATATATATATATATATATATATATATATATATATATATATATATATATATATATATATATATATATATATATATATATATATATATATATATATATGCATACATGTATATAATATAGCTCAGCTGTAGTACCGATGTGAATACATCACCTGTTCTTACGTCACCTCGGCGGGTTTTGATCACACTCCCGTCCTTCACCTTGGTGAAAAACTTGGGGACGCCGTGGTCAATGGTTAGCGCCTTCCAGTTGATGTAATAGATGAAGCTGTTCTGATGCATCAGCATATAATCTCTCTCGTGTTCCGGGGATTTTCTAAATGAAATTAGCCCTACTTGTTAAAGTATCACAATAATTGAAATTTGTGAAACTATATTAGTTAAGATAATGAAGCAGTTAAAAAAAATGTTGAGTTCTTTGTTCATAGAAAAGATAAAAGAAGTTAGATTAATGCACAAAATAATAAAAGTCAACTTGAATACTTAAAGAAAATACTTCTATGTTTTGTTTAAGTGCTTTAACGAAAACCGAGAGTGACGTATTCATGTTTCCATTTCCCGTATTTGTTTCGTGCCCTCACCAAATCCAACAACAACAAAAAAGTGTTTTGTTCAAAAAATGTCATAAGTGCAATAGCATTTTTGAAAAAAAATAATTAAATTCTATTTTTTGGACGGGTCTAGAAGATATCACAGGAATAGCGCTAAACCGGACTTCTCAAAGAAAAAAGAAAGCTAAGAATGCCAAGGGAGACGTTGATACGTGATGAATCAAGTTAAACAAAAGCTTGAGGAATCAAGTTAAACAAAAGCTTGAGGAATCAAGTTAAACAAAAGCTTGAGGAATCAAGTTAAACAAAAGCTTGAGGAATCAAGTTAAACAAAAGCTTGAGGAATCAAGTTAAACAAAAACTTGAGGAATCAAGTTAAACAAAAGCTTGAGGAATCAAGTTAAACAAAAGCTTGTACAAAAAGGCTGTACTCACTCTAGCAGCTTCTGCCAGGCATAACGCCGAATGACGTCATCCAGTTTAAGGGTCGGAATATCATTTAAGCTTGTAGCTGTTATTGAAATATATATATATATATATATATATATATATATATATATATAGTTATATATATATATATATATATATATATAGTTATATATATATATATATATATATATATATATATATATATATATATATATATATATATATATATATATATATATATATTGCGAACGTCTAGATGTTGTTATATTGTGCTTAATGATGTAAGGTGTGATAATGAATAATGTCTCATAAATAAAAATTGATGTATTAAAATATTTGCATAACTTAAGATACTCGAATTAGTAAATGGCTTAAACGATCTTTTTTTTTTTTAAATCAAAACATCAGCTTTGATATAAAATACCGATTAATAATCAACGGCTAATTTAAGTAGATATATGTGCATCATGTCTCCCTTGAGGAAAATGAAACAGTTTTCTTATTTATAACGCTTCGCTTACTCTGGTCCTTTCTCAAGTCTCTGATACACCTCGTACCCTTGCCCAATGTTACGATTATATACAGTCTAAGGATTAAATCATTTCAAAATGTTATGCCATGAAATAAATAAATAGTACCAAGTAAAAACAAGCATTGACTAATTAAAAACCAATTTTTGGCTTCAGTAAACCAAAGATCCTCTCTAATTAGTAAATTGATTAGCTAACAGACAGATCCACTGACCAGCCCATAGAACAACTGGCCAGCCTACAGACCAACTAACTGACCAGCCCATAGAACAACTGGCCAGCCTACAGACCAACTAACTGACCAGCCCATAGAACAACTGGCCAGCCTACATACCAACTAACTGACCAGCCCACTCAACTCTCCTATGACAAACCTATGGACCATACCACTGACCAACAACTGACTTACCCACACACCAACCCCAGACCATCCCACAGACCAACCCACAGACCAACCAACCATATTATTTCCCCAATCACCAACTTATAGACGAGCCCAATGAGCAACCAACTGACAAGAAGTAAACTAACAATCCTAAGACATAGTCCACCCACCAACATACCGGAAGATCAACAAACTAACCCAATAACATATTTAACCTTTAGCTAACTGACCAGCTCACTGACCATTACTGGTGGTAATATTTTCTAACCTTCGAACCAGCCGTGTGATCTTCCTAACCAGTGCAAAGTGTGCGACAATTGAGAGCAGCCAAATGATCGTCTGTGTAATCCAGACAAGTTCTGTGCTATTAAAGAGCTGAAACTAATAGGAAAAAAACTTTTATTTTTTTAAACCCAATTTAGTAACTTCGTTTGCTTTTACTAATAACTTTAAAAAAATTCTGTACGCTTTATAATTTACTTGTTTAAAAAAAAGAAGCGTTCATTATTCAAGCAATTTTAAATTAATGTGTAACAAAATTAGTTGTCTACTATATAAATCATCATCATCATTACTGCCCGCCATCCCTGCTGGGGTATGGGCAGCCGACCAAATATCTCCAGAGTCCTCTGTCCTGCTGTGGTATGGGCCGCCAACCAAAGACCTCCAGTCCTCTGTCCTACTGGGGATGGGCCGCCAACCAAAGATCTCCAGTCCTCTGTCCTGCTGGGGTATGGGCCGCCAACCAAAGATCTCCAGAGCCTTCTGTCCGATGCCATCTTCTCAACCTGTTTCCAGGTGAAGCCCAGCTTTGTGGTTTCAGCCTCGTTCCCGTCGCCAGGTATTCTTGGCCGACCTCCTTTGCGCTTTCCTTGAGGGTTCCACATCAATGCCTGCCTGGTGGTGTTGGTTGGCGGTCTGCTCAGTATGTGTCATATCCAACCCCGCCTTGATTTCCTAATTTTTCCTGAGCGGCAAGTTGCCCTGTCGTTTCCCATTGATGATGGTATAGGGCCAGCTGATCATGAGCATAGTCTGAGGCAGTCGTTCATATAAGTCTGGACTTTTTCAATGGTCGTCTTTGTCGTCCTCCAAATCTCCGCCCATTCACCAACAATGATGTTACGTAAGTTGAACAGACGCACATTGGTGGACAAGAAGAGCGCACTGAACGTCCATATTTTTTAAAAGTGAAATCCAACCTGCGCCGAATTATCTGCCATAGTGTTTGTTTTCTCCTGCGTCTGCTGTTGGTTGTAGGACAGGAACGCAAGGTCGTTTGCAAAGTCCATGTCGTCAAGTTGTTTCAACTGAATTAAACGATTTCTAGGTTCTTTGGTTGCTGTTTTTATTACCCAGTCGATGGTAAGAAGGAAAAGGAGAGCCGACAGCAGTCAGCATTGACGGACTTCGGTTCGCATCTGAAAACCTTTTGTAGGTTGGCCTACATGGACGTCCCCTCGTATGCGTTTTAACAAGCGTTACTATTTTCATTGGAATGCCGTAGTGACGTAAGGGCTTTAATAGGTATTGAAACTTTTATCGACCGCCTCCCCCACCCCTCCGTTATTCTTTTACAAAGTGAAGACATATAACATATTTCGACAAAAAATTACAATTTATACTAGATTCTATACGTTTTTGAAATAGACCCAAACAAATATATAAAGACTCATTGTTCATTTTGGTTGTTGCGATGTAATTGATGATGCAGGCTTTGTTTAAAGCAGAATTCCTAGGCTAGGTATGTTGCAAATGTAAAATGTTTATGCTGGCTAATGTTTAGGATCAGGACAGCGTGTAGTCGTTGCTTTATTTTTTAGCGTAGCCGTATGCATGTAGCGATTGCTTTGGTGTTCCAATTTGTTGTCTAATAAACGCGTACATGTTAGAATTAGCACTTATTAACTTTTGACATGGCTATTTATGACTTGAGCGAGGCCTGGCCGATACCGAGAAAACTGGATACTGTTAATAGAATGAGAGCTGAATAAAAATAGGAGAGTACAAATTTTGCTCACCTTATATGTTTGCAAATACTCAAAAAGTAATGTACTATCCACAACTGCTAAACCGACTAAAATACAAGGAAATATCATATGGTTCAGGGCGCTCTCTGTCGCTATGAGAAAACTTTCGAGGCTTGTGACCTCTGTCAGTAAGCAGGGTGGAACTGACATCTTCTGGTCTGCAGGGAATGTAAAGGAATTTGTAATTATTTAAGCGAACTCTCCGGGCCGATACTATTTATTAGTTCTATATACTATATACTATATAGTCTACATCATAACTTAAAAAACAAACATCCAAGCTAAAAAACAACAACAATCAAATTGAACAGGACATTTTACTTGTTTTATATGTACTTTTGGTTTTGGTCATGACTGATAATTTATCTTCCTAGCAAGCGTCAACAACATTGCATAAATCATTACTTTCTAACATGTCTGCCATGGCGTCACTGTAGAAAGTAATCGGTAAATGTGTGGCCGAATCATGGACGCGCGTTTACGTGCGCACTGTCTTGCACTCTGTGGAAGGGAGTTTAAAATAAAGTTTTTTAAAATTACCTTTTTCAAATTCGAAAGTCTACGGGGTAGGTGAAATAGAGTTGACCTGTTTCCTTGACCTCAACATAGGAAGGGATAGTGTGGTGAACACTATGCCCAACCGTCTTTTCTTTTCCTAGCGTGAACCAGGTGTAACAGACTCTACCTTGGGAACATTATATCTATATTGTATTTAGTATGGATTTTGTATGGAAGAAGAATAGCCTACCTGGGTAATGGAAAGACTGTGTGAGCGGTCTGCTGATGATGTTGTTTAAATGGCGGTCTGCTGATGATGTTGTTTAAATGGCGGTCTGCTGATGATGTTGTTTGAATGGCGGTCTGCTGATGATGTTGTTTGAATGGCGGTCTGCTGATGATGATGTTGTTTGAATGGCGGTCTGTTGATGATGTTGTTTGAATGGCGGTCTGATGATGATGTTGTTTGAATGGCGGTCTGATGATGATGATTTTGTTTAAATGGCGGTCTGATGATGATGTTGTTTGAATAGCGGTCTGATGATGATGTTGTTTGAATGGCGGTCTGATGATGTTGTTGTTTGAATGGCGGTCTGATGATGATGTTGATGTTTAAATGGCGGTCTGATGATGATGATGTTTGAATGGCGGTCTGATGATGATGTTGTTTGAATGGCGGTCGGATGATAATGTTGTTTGAATGGCGGTCTGATGATGATGTTGTTTGAATGGCGGTCTGATGATGATGTTGTTTGAATTGCGGTCTGGATGGGTACTCTTTGATTCTATTTGCAACCGTCTGTGCCAGAACTGAGCGGCGTTTTGCTAAATCCTCATACGGATTCGAATCTTTATTTGTAGCGATTGTTCTTCTTAATTCATAATCCGTCCTTACTTTCCATTCTTTGAGAAAGCTAAATAGAATATCACACGCTCATGCAAAATCTTAATAATTAGAAACATATGTAAAAGTGCCTTTGGATCATTACATCTACCCGTGCTAATTCAAACAATTTTAGGAGATGCTTCTTTATTTCAATAGTGTAGTCATTATGTCTGTTCAATTCTCCAAATTCATTTCCATAAACGTTATTCTGTAAACATTCACTGATTTACTGTAACAAGTCAGTAACTTCCTTTTGATGTATTCATATTCCTTTTTTAAACTTCTGCTAGACAAATTAGATGCTCTCCAGTTAACTTACTCAACCGTGTGCATGCCCGCATTTCTTTATTATAATTTTTCAATGTGGATATTCCTTCAAATTGTATTAAATATTTGAGGATTTCTTCCCCTGCATTAAAATCCGTACAGTTCAGGTGTATATGATTGGTGTTACTGATAGTCTGTTGTTCTATTGCCATTCTCTTAAGCTCTCTTGTTTTAACTTTCTTTCTACTGCTTCTGCTATTTTTGTCTGCTTCTTTCTGAAGCTGCAGTTTCTCTTTTTTCCTTTATCTCTTTCCTTGTCCTCAGCAGCCTTCTCCTTAGCTTTTCTAACATTCTCTTCAGATTTCTCCTTAGCTTTTCTAACATTCTCTTCAGATTTCTCCGTAGCTTTTCTAACATTCTCTTTAGCTTTCTCCGTAGCTTTTCTAACATTCTCTTCAGCTTTCTCCGTAGCTTTTCTAACATTCTCTTCAGCTTTCTCCGTAGCTTTTCTAACATTCTCTTCAGCTTTCTCCGTAGCTTTTCTAACATTCTCTTCAGCCTGCTGTTCCTTTACAAAGGCCATTTTATTTCCAGGCTTAATTCCTAGCTTTTCCGCTAGCTGTGTTAATTTTTCAAGATTAGACATTTTTGTATGTTACAATTACTGAAATATTATAACAAATATAGATAAAAATAATAAGTTAACAATAAAAATGTTAATTAATTTAAATACCCTTTTTGGTTTCAGGCTTGTCGGTAGATTCTTGAAAAATAGTAATCCATGAGCAGTGGCGTAGCCAGGATCGTCTCAAGGGGGGGGGGTCCAATTTTTACCCGGGGACAAACTTTCGATTTGCACCCCCCCCCTCAAACTTTCGATTTGCACCCCCCCTGTCAAACTTTCGATTTGCACCCCCCCCCCCCTCAAACTTTCGATTTGCACACCCCCCTCATACTTTTTCTATATACCGAGGGGTCTATGGGGGGGGGGGGGGGTTATGACCCCCCCCCTAACCCCCCCTGCCTACGCCACTGTCCATGAGAATGTTTTTAGTATATAGGCCTATATGTCAATAAGAGTGGTAAACTTTACTTCTTAGATAAATAAACGTTCAGAATGTTTTACATTTTTCATTAATAGTTCTAGAAATACGGTAACATTTTCTCTGCTAGATCCAATATAAGACACCTTGTTCCTAGATCTGGATATAGATTAACATGATCCGCTAAATCTGGACCAACTTGCTCTGCTAAATCCAATGGATTAAACTATGCTGCTATGTCCGATTTGAAAACACATGTTTCTGTTGCCGACCTCCGGGATTGGTGCTTGACTCGACTAATCCACCAACATTGTGACGCACACCAACATTGTGACGCCCAACAAAATTGTGACGCCCACCAACATTGTGACGCACACCAACATTGTGACACCCACCAACATTGTGACGCCCACCAACATTGTGACGCCCAACAAAATTGTGACGCCCACCAACATTGTGACGCCCACCAACATTGTGACGCCCACCAACTTTGTGACGCCCACCAACATTGTGACGCCCACCAACATTGTGCCGCCCACCAACATTGTGACGCCCAACAAAATTGTGACGCCCACCAACATTGTGACGCCCACCAACATTGTGACGCCCACCAACATTGTGACGCCCACCAACATTGTGACGTCACCAACATTGTGACGCCCACCAACTTTGTGACGCCCACCAACATTGTGACGCCCATCAAAATTGTGACGCCTATCGTCACGATGATTGTAATAAATGGAGCCATCATATAATATGTTGCTGAAGCTTGGCTCCCGACAGTGACTGTTATCATGTGTAACAAAATTCGAACCACTTCAGACACAATGTGTATCTGGCTTTCATATATTCGTCTCGGTGCCATCCCATTATGTCAGGGCGTGCCAACCCGTGGTTAATGAAGTCGTTAATTACATTTAATTAATTATGTCACTGCAAAACGACAATGTTTTTCTTTGTAAATTTAGTTTTGTCTTTGTTACAAAGTCAATGAAGTGTGAACGAAATCTGAAACCATATCTGAAATGTTTTTATTTATTTACTTATCAGAGTAGCTATTATTTAAAGTAGAAGACGATAATACAGACACATTTCATTATTCAATTATCGGCATTTATTTATAATTAAACTTCAGATAATATCCAACAGTTAATGTAATACTAATACATATTTTGTAAAAAAAAAATGTATATCTTAGAAAATAGTATGCACATAATGCAATACTTTAAAGATTTGTTTTTAGTACTGCTAGTGTTTTTGAAATTTAATAACATTTAAAATCGTTGAAACTAGATTTAAAAACAAAATTCATAAATAGGCATGCCTAATTACGTTAATAAATATGGCTCTTGTTAAAAATGTTGCATCAATTAGACCAGTGAACATATATTTGGTTAATCGACGACAACAAAGGAGTCAACGCCTGTGTCTTCTTCAGTGTAACAGACTGGCGTCTTGTTCATGTTGTGGTCCCCATCACAAGTGGACTCGTCCATTGACAATGGACTGGTCTTGATGTCCACTTTCTGGTCAGTCCAGCTGAGACAGACACAGGTGCCCCGGGCGATGATCTGGGGTTGGGAGGTAGATTGCTCCACGCCATCTTCGTCCAGCCACTTCTCCTCAATCAGCTCCACACACCTCTGTGGGACGGGGATTGGGGGTTAAGAAAAAAAGTGTAAAATAAGTTTGTATGGAGAGTGTAGAGTAAATGATATATACATACATACATATATATATATATATATATATATATATATATATATATATATATATATATATATATATATAAATTATATTTTATATTTATATATATATATAAATTATGTTATATATATATATATATATATATATATATAATGTTATGTTATATATATATGTATATGTATATATATATTATATATATATATATATATATATATATATATATATATATATATATATATATATATATATATATATATATATGTATATATATATATGTTTGCGCATGGGCATGTTTAGGTTAAAATTGTGCCTATTTTGGTTAAGGATGAAAGTAGTTGAAATTTTTCTAGACTATCAATTATTTTTTTAAAATTACTAACTCAAAATAGAGAAGACATTTCTTATGATGTCGGTATTTTATGGTATAATTTATTGTGGAAATTTTAAGAAACTTAGTTTTTTTTTAAATTAATTTAAGCAAAAAAAAATATTTTTATTAATTCAATAGTAGAGATATAGATTTTATTACAATAAAAAAAAAAATTAGGTTTTTCTACTATAAAAGGCAAACAAATATTTTTAAAGATGTATAAATATGTATGATTTTAGCAAGGGAGACAGCTCACGTTTTCTTTAGGTCTAAGAACTCCGCCCTCTTCTACAAGCTGAAAAGCCTCATGTAAGTCTTCAATGTTTAACACAAACGAGATGTCTTCGTCTTTGTGTTTAAAGGTAACAGGGACTACACCTGTCGAATGCAATAAATTAAGCAATGGAATTACCAGGAACACTTTTAAGAGAGAAACTATGTTATTGAAATTATGCTAATTGTTTATTCTCAGAACGTTAGAGTAGGATATAACCTTTAGGACTTGACAAAGTGGTTCGAATCTCAAACTCCACGACAGAACACTCTTGTCTCGCTAACAGCTGAGCATTGGCTCGAGACGATGGCTCAACTTCAACCTGCGAAAGATAATTGGGTTAAAAAAATTTTCAATTACCTGACGATTGAAACCACGTGAAATGACAACAGTTCTGGAACCCATCGAAACCTACCTCCGTGTTTATCTCCCAGGCGAGGGTTTCATGGAACACTTGACCTTTGAACTTGTTGATACTTACGGTATTTTCGGCGTTAAAAAAATATGGGACTAGATGCAGGTTAAAGTTGACATCCACCTGTAGGTAAGTATCAATGTAAAAAGCATTAGTATAAATAGAAACCATGTGATAATCATTTTTTTTTTAAATTAAACGTTTTAATATTATAATAATAAAAAGTAGAAAAAAGAGTAGAAAATGAACGATTTCCTTTAAATCTATATATATAATTCTCTTCTGGGAGACGCTACAAAACAAGCTGTAAGCGCATCCTTGCAGTCCCCTCTCTTTCTCTCTTTCACTATCACTATCACTACCACCCCCACCCCACCCCCACATGGTCTGGTGAGCTGTGGTCACGCTGTGTTTACAAATCGTAGAGCCGGGTTTAGTGACGGCTATTAGGGGCAGATAATTTAGTTTGAAACGATTTTAAACTTACAGGAGGTAACTAAGAGGAGGCTGCTTTCACGGGGGGGGGGGGGTGTAGGGTCGGCGTTAGGGGAAGGGGGGGTTAGTGTTTTAAAGCAAATATTTTCAGTGGCAGCATTGGTACTGTCGAATTCACAAATTATGAATTACTGAAAAGTAGAAAGTAAAACAACTAAATAGCGGCGTATGATACGCGGCGGGTCGGCTCGTATATTATAATGCAACTTTTTAAATAACCATAATGAAAAGCGTCAATGGCTTCGTAAATTTTAGTAATTCGGGTCTTGAAAGAGGGAATCATTTGGGGTAAAAAATACTTTATAAAGGGTGAAGTTATTGGCTTATGATGTGCAGTTCAGCAGATGAATGAGGGCACGGACCGTTGTGAGGGTGGGGATGTAGAACCACCAGTTGTGAGTGTGGGGATGTAGAACCAACAGTTGTGAGTGTGGGGATGTAGAACCACCAGTTGTGAGTGTGGGGATGTAGAACCACCAGTTGTGAGGGTGGGGATGTAGAACCACCAGTTGTGAGGGTGGGGATGTAGAACCACCAGTTGTGAGTGTGGGGATGTAGAAACCACTGCTCTAGCAAATTTTATAGTAGCAGCTTTACCATAAAGTGTAATGCAGGGTAGTAGAAAGTTTAACCGTAATGCTCTGTAATGAACATACTGTATATGTTCTTCCTATGGGGATGGCATCTTCTTATGTACGCCGGGTACAGTGTGGAATCAACACAGAAGGCCCAGTTCAATATAATACAGTTCTTTATTTACACATCAAATCGACTCCTACCCTACGTCCTAACATATAACTAGCTACTATCTAACTACAACTAACACTTGACTTATCCCCACACACTGCCATGACCATCCCTAACACTATCTACATTCTAACTCTCTACATCTTTCCCATAACGCTACCAATCTCTAGCTGACCTACGCTTCAGTGGTCATCTAACCGTCTCACGTGACCGGTCTTCTCCTGTAATTCTATGGGTCTACCTAACTACGTTATGCTCTGTTTCTGCTATCTTCTACTTGACCTCTGTAACTTAAACTTGCGTCATCACAACCACTCAAATTAATTTTTTCGACTGAAGAAATGATTATATATATATATATATATATATATATATATATATATATATATATATATATATATATATATACCTGTATTAATAGTTATAGTCATGCACCAACTTCTATACATAAGAGCAAATTACATAATTCTTTCTTTCAACTGCTGTCTACTACCTCTTCGTTGACCGTGTAACATCGTTCTAGGTCCACCTCTACCCATGTGGTCGTATCACGTGATCCTCTAAAAATGTGACTTTGTTTGATTTTCGATAGGTTTTCATAACAACTGGACCAAAGCGTCACCCATTTTTCGCCTGTTGTGAATAAATATACGCTTAGTCTGGTCTATCTGTTCAACGTAACTTTGTGCACTTAATGCTGAGCACGTGATGCGTGCACTTAATGCTGAGCACGTGATGTGTGCACCTAATGCTGAGCACATGATGTGTGCACCTAAGGCTAAGAGCTAAAGAGGACATTTTTGTGAAAGCATGACCTCGTTATATAATTTATGAATTGGGGCTCTATATTGGCACCAAAATATGTCCGTCTATGTGCTCAGTCTATGGGCTCAGTCTATGTGCTCAGTCTATGGGCTCAGTCTATGGGCTCAGTCTATGGGCTCAGTCTATGGGCTCAGTATATGGGCTTAGTCTATGGGCTCAGTGTATGGGCTTAGTCTATGGGCTCAGCATATGGGCTCAGTCTATGGGCTCAGTCTATGGGCTCAGTCTATGGGCTCAGTCTATAGGCTCAGTCTATGGGCTCAGTCTATGGGCTCAGTCTATGGGCTCAGTCTATGGGCTTAGTCTATGGGCTCAGTATATGGGCTTAGTCTATGGGCTCAGCATATGGGCTCAGCATATGGGCTCAGTCTATGGGCTCAGTCTATGGGCTCAGTGTATGTGCTCAGTCTATGGGCTCAGTCTATGGGCTCAGTATATGGGCTTAGTCTATGGGCTCAGTATATGGGCTTAGTCTATGGGCTCAGCATATGGGCTCAGCATATGGGCTCAGTCTATGGGCTCAGTCTATGGGCTCAGTCTATGGGCTCAGTCTATGGGCTCAGTATATGGGCTCAGTCTATGGGCTTAGTCTATGGGCTCAGTCTATGGGCTTAGTCTATGGGCTCAGTCTATGGGCTCAGCATATGGGCTCAGTCTATGGGCTCCGCCCTACCTTTGTATTTTAGATAAGCATAGAGGTTAAATCGTTAAGAGATTCTAGTTACAAAAACCACAGAAAAGGTTTGTATAATATTGTCGGCAGAAACTTTACATCAGCTGTAAATTTCTTTCTTTCAGCGTTTTCTGATATTTTATGCACGTCTAAGTTGTCGTGTAAGGGTTGGTCTTCATCGGGGGGGGGGGGGGGGGGGAAGATATATCATTATGCCATATTATAGTATAAACGTGATCTAAACGGGAACGGAAGTAAGTTAAACACCCTTAATACATGTAATTTAAAAAAAAGGTTGGCTAAATGCATTGTATCACGACGAACCACCCCCACACCTGATGTGATGAAGTTAACAAAATAAATCACCTGTTTGTAAGTCTCCTCGGGAGGTTTTGATCACAGTTCCGTCCTTGACCTTTGGAGAAAACTTGGTGACCTCGTGCTTGAATGTGATGGCCGTCCAGTCCACAATGCAAGTAAAGTATTTCCTGTCCATCTCTTGACAATCTCTTTCGAGCTGCCTGGAGTGTCTAAATATGTTTTATAGCGCGGTACTAAACGTACTAAGTTAATGTCATACATAATATAAATATCACAGATGTCCATGTTTTGATTCTATTTTTAAAGTCAAGCAGATATGTAACAGCTAGTAATTGAAACGGTTGAGCTTTCAATCCTCAACCTTACAAACTGAGGAATAACTCAGGAATGAAATATGATTTGATGTTTAAAGATTGTCCTGTAAACTCTGAAAATTTAACACTTTAGAGAAAGATTGTGCTAAAATGTACTCACTCTAGCAGCTTCCTCCAGGCATAGCGACGAATAACGCTATCCAGTTTAAGGTCGAAAGCTGAAAATATTTTGAATTTTTGTAGTTACTTAAATAAAACATGCACCTATTTTGTAACAACTTTCGTTGTTTCTACCACAATTTTAGTGTGTTTGTTTTGAAAGGGTCGGGGATGGGGTGTTTTGTGGCGTCTTTTAAATGGGGTGGTGTGTCTGGGTTTTTTGTGTATCGAAGTGCGATGACAGGCCAGGACGGGTTGGTCGACCCCTAAGGGAGTCTGTTCTTGCACAAGTGAAAAAAATAGACTTTTTTTTAAAGGTTAGTTCCCTTACCTTTTCTTTTGATGCCTTCATTAAATTTCTCTTCCTCGTTGTTTGCGTTCAATTCTTTGGACTTTACTTTCCTTCGAAAAATGCATCATTAAGAATTATATTTAGGATAAAGTTAAGTAAATAAAGGACAAATACATTCGCAGAAAACCTCGGGGGGGGGGGGGGGGGTCATATCAGAATGTCATTTAGGGTGGGGAATAGAAGAAGTCTCCCAACGACTCCTGAGGTTGTCCTTATCAATTTCTCTACTGGTAAATATATTCAGCGTTAAATTGGAAAATACTGATACGTCTGGTTTTTATTTTATTAAACTACGTCTCCAGAGTCCTATGTCACTATTGATGGTAAATAGTCCATACAGATCCTAATGCTGGCCTCTCTATTTTATCTCTCATATTGATTTATCGCTTGCACCGTTAGCCTAATAAACACATTTCTTTCTATAACGATAATTTGTTTATTTGGCCAGAGTGAAGTAAATTATTTCGTTTTACTAAAACACATCAGCTGTCAACACAGTGAATTTAAGGTAACGGAAAATACAAAATAAAACTCAAGTCAGTCTGTAAAACATGTAATTACGGCATCAACCCAATACCGGCCTGAGCATCTAGTTAATAATTTATTAACTCACTAACCAACCCACTCATCAGCCTACTAACCAACCCACTAACCAACCCACTAACCAACCTACTTACAAACCCATTAACCAACCCTAACCAACCCACTTACCAGCCTACTAACAAACCCACTAACCAGCCCTCTGACTAAACCACTAATCAACCCACTAACCAGCCCACTAACAATCCCACTAATCAGCCCACTAACCAGCCCTCTGACTAAACCACTAATCAACCCACAAACCAACCCACTAACCAACCCACTAACCAACCCACTAACCAACTCACTAACCAGCCCACTAACAATCCCACTAATCAGCCCACTAACCAACCCACTAACTAGCCCACTAACCAACCCACTAACCAACCCACTAACCAACCCACTAATCAACCCACTAACCAACCCACTAACCAGCCCACTAACCCAACCCACTAACCAACCCATTAACCAGTCAACTAACCAATTGACTAATCAGCCCACTGACCAGCCGTCTGACCAGCCTATTAACCAGCCCACTGACCATAACACAAACTAGCCCACTAACCAGCCAACTAACCAACTCACTAACCAGCCCACTAACCAGCCCGCTAACCAGCCCACTGACCAATACACAAACTAGCCCACTAACCAGCCCACTGACCAGCCCACTGACCATTACACAAACTAGCCCACTAACCAGCCCACTAACCAGCCCACTGACCATTACACAAACCACCCCACTAACCAGCCCACTGACCAGCCCACTGACCATTACACAAACCACCCCACTAACCAGCCCACTAACCAGCCCACTGACCAGCCCACTGACCATTACACAAACCACCCCACTAACCAGCCCACTGACCAGCCCACTGACCATTACACAAACCACCCCACTAACCAGCCCACTAACCAGCCCACTGACCAGCCCACTGACCATTACACAAACCACCCCACTAACCAGCCCACTAACCAGCCCACTGACCAGCCCACTGACCATAACACAAACCACCCCACTAACCAGCCCACTAACCAGCCCACTAACCATAACACAAACCACCCCACTAACCAGCCAACTAATCAGCCAACTGACCTTGGCAAATCTGGTTCGGACCATTCCAACGCGTTCCAAAATGAGATAAACAGTTTCAGGAATACGCAGAACACACAAATCGTAACAAATGCTCTACAACTCTCATTTTTTGAAAAAACCTGAAAAATTAAATTACTATTTATTGGTATTAACTAAATTCTTTGACTTTTTTGGTAACAAAGAGTAAATTGATTTTCTAAAAACAATACACTCAGCATTACCCAAATCAACCAACGTCATAAAAAAATGCAGCTTTATTTAAGCCATACATCAGCTAATGCTGCATCCAAATGTAACAATTAACAAAAGCAATTACATCACGTTTTGTTTCCTTGCGAAATCTTAAATTTCGGTCACTCGTTATATTTTCCATAGACCGGCTTTACTTTATTCACTTTTCATTTTTCCATTAATAAATTAAAACTCAATTATTAAAAATAGATGCTTTTAGTATTCACGCAACTCTTAATGCATTAAATGCTAACTAAATGTGTAAACTTTCGTTTATGTTTTTGTTTTTTTTAAATAGAAACGAACATTAATTTCGAAAGATAAAGTTCCAATTTTACTCACCTCAAGATTGCCAAACATCAACATGAATGAACAAGAAAAGATAGTTGCCGGTATGGCTCTAAACATCATGTTTTGTAATGAAAACGTCAGGACTGTATCAATTTCCTTGAACAACCTGTCTAGGGAGGAGGCCTCGGGTGGTTGGCAGGATAACCTTGACACGTGGTCTGTACATGTGTCTGCAACGAGAAATGCGTTAGTGTTGGTGAGATGTGAGGGATTTGCAGAAGCAGTGGTGTTGTGTGTGTGGGGGGGGGGGGGGTAAATTTTGGCGGAGGCTAGAGAGAGTTGTAAAGTCTATCAATGATACGAGTCTTTCTATTTATTCTCCACAAGCCTATGGTATAACCTGAAGTTTCAGTAAGACAAATATTGATTGGCTGTACAGAAACCCCCACTTAAAATGTTATCGATAAGATTTTAAAATATTTTTTTAAGCCACACGACCTAGTTCTGCCATTTTTCTTTACATTTTCTGTGATAAAATTAAAATAACCTAATTGTTTTTGGCTATTAAAATTCTTTAGTTACCGAAAATACAGAAAACACCAAATACATCTAATCTTGAGAAAAGTCCGACAAAATCATCACAATTAAGTTAGTTTTTAGAACTACGTTTTTTAAATAACACCCCAAATAATTTTTTAAATATTTTATACACTATTCGAAATAAAGCGATAGTGATCCCCGCTAAACCTTCTCGTATATTATTAGTAAGGGTCATGGCAATTTCAGTACAATTTCAGGCAATGGAAATGCTTTTTTTTAAAACACTTATTTTTAAACAAAAATAGAATAGAATCGTGTAAGAAAACAATCGCGCAGAAAATGAACGTAAACATTTTGTGCATAATTTAGCGGAAAATTCGTGCTAAACAACGGAAATTTCGATTAATTTTTAAAAAGTTTATTGAACATTTAATTAGTCACCTTGTAGGTGACAGGGTATTGTCGTCGAGTCTTGACCTACGTGAAAATTTTGAAACAAATCGGACCGGTAGAAGGGAATTTTTTTTATAAATCTGAACTACGTTAAAGTACTACTTCCGTTCACCTGAAAGCACTTCAAAGTTGAAAGAATAAAGAAAATTAGACTTTATACCTATGTATACAATTTTGTTCATCTAACTGAAACGGTCTATGGCTCGGGGACTTGGAGGGTTACGAAGACAAATACTGATAAGCTACAGGCATTCGTAAACAAAAGCTTACGACATATACTTAAAATAAGATGGGCAGACACAGGGGCGTAGCGAGGGGGGTGCGGGGGTGCGGACCGCACCGGGTGACACCATTTAGGGGGGTGACACCAAGGCAAAAAATAGCAAAATATATACAGAAAAACTTGAGGGGGGGGGTGCAAATCGAAAACTTGAGGGGGGGGGGGGGGTGCAAATCGAAAGTTTGAGGGGGGGGGGGGTGCAAATCGAAAACTTGAAAGTTTGTCCCGGGAAGGGTCGCTACGCCTCTGGGGGGTGACACCATTAAGTGCCGCACCGGGTGACACCCGACCTCGCTACGCCACTGGGCAGACAAAATATCAAACAAAGACATGTGGCGAACTTTAAAGCAACAGCCAATAGAGGTAGCTATCAAGTCCCGTACATAGGGTGGATCGGACACACATTAAGAAAAGAAAAAGAAAACATCGCAAAACATTCTTTGGAATGGAATCCCAAGGGAAAAAGGAGGGTGGGCCGGCCAAGGAAGACATGGAGAAGAACGGTTATAGAAGAGGCGAAAACATCTGGACTCTCATGGGCACAGATAAAGGGGGCAGCCCAAAACCGAGTCCGATGGAGATGTGTGGTTGCAGCCCTTTGCTCCCCAGGGGCAACAAAGGAATGATGATAATGATGATGAACTGAAACGGTACTTAGGTTATCTATATTTTACAAAAAGGGAATACAATAAATTACAACTTCCGGAATTCTGAAGTCACTCAAAATTTGAGAATTATTTAAGTATAAAATGTTATACACTGAATCAGTACTTAACTTATCTTGTTTCTAGAGAAATAGAGTTAAGTACCACTTCCAGTTACCGTAAATCGTTCAAAAGTTGATAAAACCTACACATATAATCTAATACTAGTATTTGAAATTTGTCTTCCTAGCTTTAATGGTAATCAAACATCAGCTTTTGAGAGACCAGAAGTAGATTACGCTTATAATTACCGGAAATCGCTCAAAAGCTGAAAGAAAACTATATATTGGATATAATTTTTATATAGGAAACGGTGCTCAAGTTATCGTGTACACATATATACACAATAGACAGATTAGGTGGCAAAACTAAACTTCTACAATAATTTTTCTATATTCTGTATACCAGAAAGTATACATTCGAGACTATTCACGGCTGCGTCTATTATTGACTAGACAATAAAATAGTCTGTCAATGTTAATTTAAAGATGGGTGTATTCACTAACAATGGGAACATAGATTAAGTAGTGATCCCTAGTTAGGTCAGGTGATCTGGTTTTCAAAAATGTTTTCAAATCGTAAAACCGAAAGGGCCATTAAATATTTTCAAAATCGTGCAAAGCGTAGTAATGATTAATATGGTTATAAAATCCTGTCTGTTTTTTTGTTCGGACTTTATTAAAGATTTAACGTATTCGATGTTTTTGATATTTTCGGTAACTAAATACAAACTTTAAAAAAAAGGGAAAAATAATTTGGTTTTCACGTGTAATGGCGACATAAACAATGGTATCCTGCTATTCGAAAGCCTAGCATAAAGTTTATTGTAAACAAAAAAATGGCACAACTAGGTAATGTAGTTTAAATTTGCATTGTTATTTAAAAACTTGATCTGCAAAGTTTTGTAAACAAAAAACCTATAAAGTGGGGCTGTCAGAAATCGATCACGGAGTTCCTGTACAGCCAATCAATGTTTGTCTTACGAAAGTGAAACATCGGGTTATAACTTAGGCTTGATGAAAATAAATAGAAATGTAGCCTTAAACTCAACACATTATTTTTAGGTTCACTGGATATGCAACTTTAAAACATTGATTTTAAAAATATTAAATTTCTGAGTAATTTTTAGGCTTAAGTTTTATTTTTTATTATTTTTACGGTAGCTTTGATTGCAAAATCTAAAAAAATGCACGTTTTTAATCCATGTCAACAATATGATGGAAGGATTATCATCAACTCAGTCGCCACTATTGGCAGATAAATCATAGGGTTTTAAATCAGACTTTTTTGTCGTTAGATGCATTTTTTAAAACTTAGATCTAGATTATAGATCTAGATTCTAGATCTAGACCTAAAATATATATACATTTTTCACAATTTCTAGAGATCTAGTCTATTAGCATAAGAAAATAATTCTAAAACAGCGAAGAGGACTCGTACTTTTCTTTATCTGTGTCTCCATTTCTTAAAGCAGAGATCACATCGAAAGTTGAGTGAGCGTCAGCTGATGTCAACAAACATTCTAAAGGTTGAAATCAAGGACGCGCAATTGCGTGCGCTCTATATCGCACAACAATTTTCAAACCGTACTCTTAAGCGGGTGTGCTTAATATGGTGTGCACCTTTCAGTGGTGGAAAAAAGATTGGGATAAAGCTTTTTTGGCTTAAACTTACACCGCAGCCGATCAGAACTGGAAGAGCTCACTGTTTTTAAAAACGAATGTAACATCCAATGCCTAAAAAAAATGTGGCATACAATTAACTAAAAAAACGTTAATCGTCTTAGGTACTACAAGCAAGTTACTAAACACACAAAATGATGTGAAAGTTATTTTTGTTGTCATGGAAACCGGATTGAATTTTTGTCAATTTAAAATTTTATCATTTGTTTAGTACAAATCTATGTGTTAGTTTTGCTGTGGTTTTATTTTTTTAGGCACCATGAGGGACATGAGAGCTGTTTTATCTTGGTCAACAAACTTGACTGGTTGATCTAAAAACAAATTTAACAGCTCAGTTTCTCTGCTGGCTGACTGGAGGATTTTCCAGACCAATGCCAGTTTAGATTAGAATCTAGATCTACTGTATCTAGATTAGATCTAGAAATCTAGTAGATCTAGATCTATAACGTTTTTGTAAAGCTAAAATAAATTAGACCTTTACTTTTCTGTTTACATGCTTCCATCATCAGATTTATTACTGAACGTTGTGGTGTGCTTGAGTTTGAAGGTAAACGAGCTGTAAGATTTTTATATTGAGCCTAAATCACAGCTTCAAGGGAAACGCATTTTTTACCGTTATTTTTTTCTTTTTTCTTCTCTGACTGTGTGAGTACATTGAAATACAAATCTGACTTTTTTCTCAAAACATTCCAGTCGGTATTATTTAAAGGAAGAGATAAGAACACAGACGCATTATTAAATTAAGGATGGTTTATTCATTTTTAATTTCATCCTATTCAGCCACAACAAACGGCCTAGATAATTATATAATTAGTAAAAATATAAACTAAGATCAAATTAAAACAGATAAATGTATACATTAGTAGATTTGTGTGCTGGTGTTTTAACAACCCTACCATGACTTACAGTACCACATAGACTACACGTACGACTCCTGTGTAAGAATGAATACATGTGTAGCTAATTGACAACAAAGAAGGAACTGGCGTTCGTGTCTTCTTCTGTGTGACCGACGAGCGTCTTGTCCATGTTGTTGTCTCCATTAGTAGTGGACTCGTCCATGGACAATGGACTGTTCTTGATGTCCAGTTTCTGTTCTGACCAGCCGAGGCAGACCATAGAGCCCCGGGTGATGATCTGGGGGTGGTAGGTCACGTGCTCGACGCCATCTTTGTCCAGCCACTTCTTCTCAATCAACTCCACAAACGGCTGAAGGGGGAGGAGGTGGCAGTAAGAAAAAAAAATCTCAATATCATTAGTTCATCTCTGTTGAAGTGTGTGTCTATTATCATAACAAAATAATTGTACTGATATTTTGTCAATATCAATTGTTCTTTGTAACATCGATGTGTATGTGTTATAGAGTCTAGACAGAGAAATAACAAAGACAACATAGTGTTTGATGGGTATTTTATGGTTGTATTGTATAATTGGGATTTACGGCAATGCAAAACAAAGATTTCCTTCAATAAAACCAAAACAAAACAAAAAACAAAAAAAAAACAACCAAAAAAAAAACAACAACAAAACAACTCACTCTTTCTTCGGGTTGAAGAACTCCGCCTGCTTCCTCAAGATGAAAAGCCTCGAGTAAATTGTCAAGGTACACGACATGTACAGTGTTTCTACTCTCAAATTTGAAGGTAACGGCGAACACACCTGTAAAAATACAAAGTAATCAATAACCAATGTTGCGAGCTAGAGCATCTTTGTATACAGAACATGTATTAAAACATTTCGACATACAACAACTTCTTTCTTTTTACAACTAGAAAGTTGGATTTGACCTTTAGGGTTGGACAAAGTGGTTCCAATCTCAAACTCCACGACAGAGCACTCTTGTCTCGCTAACAGCTGAGCATGGGCTCGAGACGATGGCTCAACTTCAACCTGCACAAAAATTAGTTCGGTCACAAAACGCAGGTCAATGTACTCACTGTTTACACGACGTAATGGGACATAATGGCTGAGGGGAAATTTGAAAACATACCTGAGAGTTAACCTCCCATGTGTGAGTCTCAAGGAAAAATCTTGGGTTGTCCATTTTTAGATTAAGGTTATTGTCTTTGGCCATTGGTAAAAGCGGCATTAGGACTGCAGAAAGGTTTAACTTAATACACACCTGAATGAATGTATATATATATATATATATATATATATATATATATATATATATATATATATATATATATATATATATATATATATATATATATATTAGTGTTTACCAATAAACAAAATATAAAAAAGACTAAAAAAAAAAGACTAAACAGATCGAATTTTAAAAAAATATGAGTTTTTAAAAAGTTGATCTTTTAATAAAGAAAATAAATTTCTTTTGCTCTATAGCGACGCACTAGAAATAATTAACTCAACATTATCGAAATATCTACATCTAATCACTTACATTGACTATCATGTCATTTAAGTTACACTTCGCTTATCTTGTATCATGTTGTATCATGCTGTTATGTTAAATATTTTTTACCGTATATCAAGTCTGAACTTAAGATGTGAATTGTCTCCATTTATAAGTATGTCATCTCCTTATAATATTTGGCTTGAACAATTTAGAGTGTTGAAAATACAATAACAAAATACAAAATCTCTCGATGTTTTATAAGTAGTATATGACATGTCAGGGTTTAATTTTATTGACAACTAGCAAAAAGTGATTACTACATTGAGTTACGCATACACATACAGACATAACTCCTGTACCAAACACTACCATACATTAAGATACATTCTACACCTAGCCACTACCTGCTTGTTGACAGTGTAACACTGTTCAAGGTCCACGTCCACCCACGATGCTGTTTTACGGGATCCTTTAAAAGGGTGACATTGTTTACTGCCGGCTTTGTTGTCATAGTAACATGACAAAAGCGTCACCCATTTGGTGCCTGCATGAACACATGTATATTAGTCATTAGAATGAACGCATGCATATTAGTCATTAGAATGAATACATCTGCGCATTAGTCTTAAAAATAAATACGCGTTGGCCTTGAAAATGTCTAAATTTATTGCAATAAAAACGTTGTACTGAGTGATTAGGAATAGGACTCTATAACATTTGATTCTCTATAATGGCACCACTCTACTGATATAGCCGTCTCCAAAATTTATTATCCCGGAGAAGTTTAAACGGTAAAATAATTTCATCAATAACGAATTGTATGCAGCAGAAGCGTTACAAGAAAAGAATTCTCGCATATATATATATTGTGGTTGTGTTGTGGTTGTGGTTGTGTTGTGGTTGTGTTGTGGTTGTGGTTGTGTTGTGGTTGTGTTTGTGTTTGTGTTTGTGTTTGTGTTGTGGTTGTGTTGTGTTGTGTTGTGGTTGTGTTGTGGTTGTATTGTAGATGTGTTGTGGTTGTGTTGTGGTTGTATTGTGGTTGTGTTGTGGTTGTGTTGTGGTTGTGTTGTGATTGTGTTGTGGATGTGTTGTGGTTGTGGTTGTGTTTTGTTTCTGTTTGTGTTGTTTTTGTTTGTTTTGTTCTGTTCCAAAGTTGGTACATTTAAAAAAGAGCGGAGCACGGGATGCAGCTAGTATATATATATATATATATATATATATATATATATATATATATATATATATATATATACATATATGTATACATATATATGTATATATGTATATGTATATATATATATATACATACATACATACATACATGTATATAATATAGATCAGCTGTTGTACCGATGTGAACACATGTATATAATATAGATCAGCTGTTGTACCGACGCGAACACATCACCTGGTTTTACATCTCCTCGGCGGGTTTTGATCACACTCCCGTCCTTCACCTTGGTGATAAACTTGGGGACGCCGTGCTCAATGGTTAACGCCTTCCAGTTGATGTAACAGGTGAGGCGGTTCTGATGCATCAACAGATAGTCTCTCTCGTATTCCGGGGATTTTCTAAATCAAGTTAGCCCTAATTGTTAAGGTATCACAATAATTGAAATTTGTGAAACTATAATATTAGTTTAGATATAGACGCAGTCAATGTCTTTTTTAATACAGCGTTAGTTGTGTTGGTGATTTCATACAAAGGAGATACTTAAGGAAGATTTATGCACATAGTAAACTCAAGATGTTGAGATTTTTCATAGAAAAGATAAAAAATTTCATTAATGCACAATATAAAAAAAGTCAACTTGAATACTTAAAGAAAATACTTCTAAGTTGTTTTTTTTTAATTGCTTTGACGAAAACCGAGAGTGACATATTTGTATTTCCATTTCCCGTATTTGTTTTGTGCCCTCACCAAATCCAACAACAAAAATAAGTGTTTTGTTAAAGATTGTCATAAGTGCAAAACTATTTTTGAAAATATATTTTAAAATGTATTTTTGGACGGGTCCAGATGATATCAGAGGAATGGCGCTAAACTGGACTTCTCAAGGAAAAAGAAAACTGACAATGCCAAGGGAGACGAGAAGGCGTGATGAATCAAGTTAAACAAAAGCTCGAGGAATCAAGTTAAACAAAAGCTTGCACAAAAAGGCTGTGTTTAAAGTACTCACTCTAGCAGCTTCTGCCAGGCATAACGCCGAATGACGTCATCCAGTTTAAGGGTAGGAATATCGTTTAAGCTTGTAGCTGTTATTGATATATATATATATATATATATATATATATATATATATATATATATATATATATATATATATATGAACGTCTCGATAGATGTTGTTAATTGTTGTATTGTGCTTACATAGTATATATTTTGTATATAAAAGTAAATATTTTCTACATAAATCCAATTTCGTTCGGGGGGTGCGTTAGATTTCTTCGAAAAAAAAATTAACAGAAAGAAGCACACAAACATTTAGTAAATAACGTCACTCACTCTCCTGCAAACATTTTACTTCCGTATTTTCACCAATATCCACACCTTATTTATCATCACACCCGGCCCGCTCACCCCTCGACTCGAACTTCCATCTACTTCTGCATATATCGCCAACAGCCCGAAGACGTAAATGTGAACCAGTTTATACCAAAAGAGAAAATAGCCCCCTTTAGACTTAACCTTAAGCTTATGTGTTGGATTATAAGTATGTTTGGTTTGTTTAAGGTCGCTCGGTTAGAATTTTGCGTTACGTTAAAGTGTGACTGTCACACGCCTTGCGGATGGGAATGTGTGTGTTAAGACTTTTGTAACGATGTGCTCCGGAAGTAGATATGTTTATATTTGTGAGTGTATGTATATATATGTGTGGGTGTGTTTGTGTGTGTGTGTGTGTGGAACAATGTTAATTGGAATAATGGTATTTGTGGGGGGGGGGGGGTTGAGGAAGCGAGGTCTTAGCACATCTGGCGTAGCCAACACTTTTGTTTGGTGAAAATGAAACAGTTTTCTTGTTTACAACGCTTCGCTTACCCAGGTCCTTTCTCAAGTCTCTAATACTCCTTGTATCCTTGCCCATTGTGACTATTACGAACAGTCTAAGGATTAAATAATTTCAAAATGTTATGCCATCAGATAAATAAATAGTACCAAGTATAAACGAGCATTGACTAATAAAAAACCAATTTGTTGGTTTCAGTAAACAAGAATGATCATCTAAAAGATTCAAAGACCAACCGTTTAACCAGTCCCTAACCCGTACCAAAGATCAACCCTCTGGTTAGTACATTGATCAGCTAACAGACAGATCCACTGACCAGCATACAGACCAACTAACTGACCAGCATAAAGACCAACTAACTGACCAGAATACAGACCAACTAACTGACCAGCATACAGACCAACTAACTGACCAGAATACAGACCAACTAACTGACAAGCATACAGACCAACTAACTGACCAGCATACAGACCAACTAACTGACCAGCATACAGACCAACTAACTGACCAGCATACAGACCAACTAACTGACCAGAATACAGACCAACTAACTGACCAGCATACAGACAAACTAACTGACCAGAATACAGACCAACTAACTGACCAGCTTACAGACCAACTAACTGACTAGCATACAGACCAACTAACTGACCAGCATACAGACCAACTAACTGACCAGAATACAGACCAACTAACTGACCAGCATACAGACCAACTAACTGACCAGCATACAGACCAACTAACTGACCAGAATACAGACCAACTAACTGACCAGAATACAGACCAACTAACTGACCAGCATACAGACCAACTAACTGACCAGCATACAGACCAACTAACTGACCAGCATACAGACCAACTAACTGACCAGAATACAGACCAACTAACTGACCAGCATACAGACCAACTAACTGACCAGCATACAGACCAACTAACTGACCAGCATACAGACCAACTAACTGACCAGCATACAGACCAACTAACTGACCAGAATACAGACCAACTAACTGACCAGCATACAGACCAACTAACTGACCAGCATACAGACCAACTAACTGACCAGCATACAGACCAACTAACTGACCAGAATACAGACCAACTAACTGACCAGCTTACAGACCAACTAACTGACCAGAATACAGACCAACTAACTGACCAGCATACAGACCAACTAACTGACCAGAATACAGACCAACTAACTGACCAGCATACAGACCAACTAACTGACCAGCTTACAGACCAACTAACTGACCAGCATACAGACCAACTTACTGACCAGCTTACAGACCAACTAACTGACCAGCATACAGACCAACTAACTGACCAGCCTTGGATCTCCACAATGACAAATCCATAGACCAGCCCACTGACCAACAACTGACCTACCACTGACCATCTCACTGACAATCTCCATACCAACCCACATCGAACCAGACTAACCCACAGACGAACCAACTGATACGTAAACTAACAAAGCCAATGATATCCTCAACCCACCAATATACAGGAAGATCAACAAACTAACCCTATAACATATTTAACCTTTAACTAACTGACCAGCTCAGTGACCATTACTGGTGCTAATATTTTCTAACCTTCGAACCAGTCGTGTGATTTTCTTAACCAGTGCCAAGTGTGCGACAATTGAGAGCAGGCCCAGAATAGTCTTCGTAATCCAGACATTTTCGGTGAGATTAAAGAGCTGAAACAAATACAAGTTTTCATTTTTTAAAACCCAATAAATTAACTTCTTGTGCTTTTACATGATAACTTTTTTGAAATTGTGTACGTTTATAATTTACTAGTTTAAAAAGAAGCGTTCATTATTCTGGCAACTCTAAGTTAATTAAATCATCAGTGGTTGTGTAAGCTATAGACCAAATTAATTATTTATTATATAAAACAAAAGGGATATTGTAAGGTTGTTGATACATTCCAACACCCTTAAAACGGCTATGTCTAAGTAAATGTTAGAGACTGATTTTTTTCGACAGCTCCGGGCTACTAAAAACCATGTCTAAAACTATCGTCATCATGATCTTCAGCAGTAGCAGCATCAGTATGATCGTCATCATCATCATCATCATCATCATCATCATCATCATCCTCATCCTCACCACCACCACCACCACCTTCACCATCACCATCACCATCACCATCACCATCACCATCACCATCACCATCACCATCACCATCACAATCACAATCACAATCACAATCACAATCACAATCACAATCACAATCACAATCACAATCACAATCATAATCATAATCATAATCATAATCATAATCATATTCATAATCATAATCATCATCATCATCATCATCATCATCATCATCATCATCATCATCATCATCATCATCATCAACAGCAGCAGCATCGGCATCAGCATCATCAGCATTATCATCATCATAATCAGCATCAGCATCATCAGCATCAGAATCATTAGCATCACCATCAACATCAACATCAACAACATAATCACTACCCTTCACCCCTGATAGGGTATGAGCCATTAACCTAAGATCTCCAGAGCCCTCTGTCCTGTGCCATTTTCTCAACCTGTCTCCGTGTGCAACCCATCTTTGTGTTTTCATTCTCAAGGTCCCATCGCCAGGTGGTTCTTGGCCGATCTCTTTTGCGTTTTCTTTGAGATTTCCAACTCGTTGCCTGTCTGATGGTGTTGGTTCGCGGTCTGCTGAGCGTGCGTCATATCCAACCAAAGTCCATGTGGTAAAGTTGTTTCTACTGAATTAACCGAATTCCATTTCTATGTTCTTTGGTTGCTGTTTTCATTACCCAGTCGATGATAAGAAGGAAAAGGAGAGGCAACAGCAGTCAGTATCGACTGACTCCAGTTCGCAACTTTTGTAAGTTGGCCTACATGGACGTCTACTTTAAAGCGTTTTTATCAAGCTTTACAATTTTCATTGGAATGCCGTAGTGGCATAAGAGCTTCAATAGGTAATAAAACGTGTATCGATCCCCCCCCCCCCCCACCCTTCTCCGTTATTCTTTTACACACAAAGTGAGGAAATATAAACATATTTAGATAAAACGTTATATTTTAGACTAGATTCTATACTTTTTTTTAAATAGACCCAAACAAATAATGTCGCACTGCTAATAATTTTCTCATTTTGGTTGTTGTTAAGTAATTGTTGATACAGGCTTTGTTTAAAGCAGAATTCCTAGGTTAGGTATTTGTTGCAAATGTAAAATGTTTATGCTGACAAATGTTTAGGATCAGGATAGCGTGTAGTCGTTGCTTTTTTCTTTAGCGTAGCTGTATGCATGTAGCGATTGCTTCGATGCTCAGATTTGTAGTTTAATAAACTCGTGCATGTTAGAATTAGCACCTATTAACTATTGACAAATTTTACTCACCTTATATGTTTTAAAATACTCGACAAACAAGGTACTATCCACAACTGCTAAAATCACTAAGAAACATGCAAATATCGTATGGTCAAGGGCGCTCTCTGTCGCTATGAGAAAACTTTCGAGGCTTGTGACCTCTGTCGGTTGGCAGTGTGGAACTGACATCTTCTGGTCTGCAGGGAATGTAAAGAATGTAAAGAATATAAATAATGTAGAGAATGTAAAGAATGTAAAGAAAGTAAAGAAAGTAAAGGATGTAAAGAATGTAAAGAATGTAAAGAATGTAGAGAATATAAAGAATGTAAAGAATGTAAAGAATGTAGAGAATGTCAAGAATGTAAAGAAAGTAAAGAATATAAAGAATGTAAAGAAAGTAAAGAATGTAAAGAAAGTAAAGAAAGTAAAGAATGTAAAGAATGTAAAGAATGTAAGGAATGTAAAGAATGTAAAGAATGTAAACATAGTAAAGAAAGTAAATAATGTAAAGTAAAGAAAGTAAAGAATGTAAAGAATGTAAGGAATGTAAAGAAATTAACAAAGCTTCCCTGAAAATTTCAGCGCGCTAGCTAACTGGGAAGTGCCAGAAATTTCGATCGCAAGATTTGATTGGAAAGACAGAGACGAAAGCAAGTTAAAGAAAACGTGGGAAAAAATGAAAAAAATGTAAAGAATATAAAGAATGTAAAGAATGTAAAGAATGTAAAGGATGTAAAGAATGTAAAGGATGTAAAGAATGTAAAGAATGTAAAGAATGTAAAGAATGTAAAGAATGTAAAGAATGTAAAGAATGTAAAGAATGTAAAGAATGTAAAGAATGTAGAGAATGTCAAGAATGTCAAGAATGTAAAAAATGTAAAGAATGTAAAGAATGTAAAGAATGTAAAAAATGAGTAGAATGTAAAGAATGTCAAGAATGTAAAGAATGTCAAGAACGTCTCGAATGTAAAGATTGTAAAAATGTAAAGAATGTAAAGAACGTAAAGAATGTAAAAAATGTAAAGAATGTAAAGAATGTAAAGAATGTAAAGAATATAAAAAATGTAAAGAATGTAATGAATGTAAAAAATGTAAAGAATGTCAAGAATGTAAAAAATGTAAAGAATGTAATGAATGTAAAGAATGTAAAGAGAGTCGGATGTTAAAGTGGGTGAGGTGTAAAGGAGAAAGGGTAGTGTGTGTGCGTGTAACTGGGAGTGTGTAATTATGTGTGTTTGTGTAAAGGTGTAAGTGTGTAGATTTTGGTAGGCCGGGAGATGTATGGAACTATCTGTAAAGATGTCTGATAACGCGAACATACCCCCTTATCTTACTTGTACTGATACTATCTCAAAACTAAAAGACTTTAGTTTTGCTTACAATTTGCATTTCTAAAATTCTAATAACCAAAGTAAAAAGATAGTTACAAACCTTTATAATAACACGCTTTTCAACTCACTAAATATGTGAATTTTTTTTTAAACCTTGTTTTTTTAGTAAAACGCGTTGACTGTTAAAACGTCTCTGTAACAAACCTTTGAGCGCATTTTTGGTATACATAGACCTAGATCTATATCTTTTTGTTTAGATCTGGATCTAGATCTACTAACTGTATACTTTTTTTTCTTTTTATAAATTTAAGTATCCAAAATATTGTTTTAAAGAAAGACGTAGTCCCAAAACGTGCTGAAAATGTATACAGAATGCCTACGATAGCCACCTACTTTTTATTAATAAGCTAGATCTACGTGCTGAGGAAATTGTAAATATTTTAACCTGTGCTGTGCGAACTCTCCGGGCCGATACTATTTTATTATCTACCTCATAACTTAAAAAAGTAAACAACCAAGCTAAAAAACAACAACAAAAATCAAATTGAACAGGACTTTTACTTGTTTTAAGCATTCTCTTGGCCTGGGTCATGACTTCCGTCGTTTAGCGAGCGTCAACTAGATTCTAAATCAAGATAATTTTTCCAACATGTCCGCCGTGTCCTTGTTGTAAAAAGTAACAGGTAAATACATGGTGATATCATTGGCGCGCTTTTACGTGCGCACTGTCTTGCACTGTGTTGACGGGAGTTAAAAATAAAGTTTTTACTCGCTCGAATGAAGAGTAGGCCTATATTGGAAGTGTTGTAATCTCTAATAAACCGGGAGTGATCTCCCATAAACTTTCTCAATTATTTTTTCGTAAGGCCTAGATGTGAATGATAAAGTTGATTATCGGGACCTCGCGGGGCACTGGGCAGGTGAAGTAGAGTTCACCTGTTTCTATGTTCTCAGCATATGAGCGAAATTGGGATTTTTAACACAAATGTTAAGGCAGTGCTGCTCTATGGCTCGGAGACTTGGAGGGTTACGAAGACAAAAAACTGATAAGCTACAGGCATTCGTAAACAAATGCTTACGACACATACTTAAAATAAGATGGCCAGACAAAATATCAAACAAAGACCTGTGGCGAACTTTAAAGCAACAGCCAATAGAGGTAGCTATCAAGGCCCGTAAATGGGGATGGATCGGACACATTAAGAAAAGAAAAAGAAAACATCTCAAAGCACGCTTTGGACTGGAATCCCCAGGGAAAAAGGAGGGTGGGCCGGCCAAGGAAGACATGGCGAAGAACGGGTGAAGAAGAGGCGAAAACAGCTGGGCTCACATGGGCACAGATGATGGAGCAGCCCAAAACCGAGTCCGCTGGAGATGTGTGGTTGCAGCCCTTTACTCCCCAGGGGCCACAAAGGAATGATGATGAGTACTATTACAGATAGATAAATGAAATTTCACATGTAAGTAAAATATGGTCAGTGACTAGTCTGTTGGTTAAAGTTTAAATAATATGTTATGGGTTTAGTCTGTTGATTTCCCTGTATGTTGGTAGTGGATTATGTCATTGGCATGGTTGGTTTATTGTCGGTTGGTTAGTGGGCTTGTCCGTGGGTTGGTCTGTGGACGGGCCAGTGGGTTGGTCTGTGGGTTGGGCAGCGGTAGTGGCGGTTTGTGTGTTGGCGTGGTTGGTCGGTGGCTTGGTCTGTAGGTTGGTCTGTTGGTTGGTCTGTAGGGTGGTCAGTGGGTTGGTCTGTGGGTAGGTCAGGTGTAGTGGCGGTTTGTGTGTTGGCGTGGTTGGTCAGTGGCTAGGTCTGTAGGTTGGTCTGTAGGTTGGTCTGTTGGTTGGTCTGTAGGGTGGTCAGTGGGTTGGTCTGTGGGTAGGTCAGGGGGTGGTCAGTGGGTTGGACTGTGGGTAGGTCAGGGGGTGGTCAGTGGGTTGGTCTGTGGGTAGGTCAGGGGGTGGTCAGTGGTCTGTGGGTAGGTCAGTGTTTTGTTTGTTGGTTGGTTCGTGGATATGTATATTACGTAATGTTTATACTGGTCAGAGAGTTGGTCTTTGGTTCGGGCTCTATTATTCAACGCTTGTTTTACTTGGTACTATTTATTTATTAAATGGCATAACACTTTGTAATTATTCTATCCTAGGGTTTTCTTAGAAGATACATTAGTCAATGATGTAAGGCGCATCGCAGACTTAAGAGAGCACCGAAGTAAGGAAACGTTATGAGCTACCTTTTTTTTTTCATTTTTACCAACAACAAAGTGGGCCCATATTCTAGGTCAGATGTGTTAAGACCATAATCCTCAATCTCTTTCCCACTAATACCTTCCTCCCGAAGAGCATCGCCCCGCCCCCTAAAGCACACACACACATACACACATACACACAAACACTCACACACACACACAACCACACACACGTACACCCAATTACAACTTCCCGAGCAGTACATCGTTACAGAAGTTTTTACACCCTCCCTCCCCAAGGTGTGTGACGACATTCACGGACGAGCTTTAAGGAGTCGAAAACTCAACACAAACCCATGTCTAACAATAACCCAACACAAACCCACGCGTAACAATAACCCAACACAAACCCATGTCTAACAATAACCCAACACAAACACATGGCCAACAATAACCCAACACAAACCCAAAAAATGTCTAACAATAACCCAACACAAACCCATGTCTAACAATAACCCAACACAAACCCATGTCTAACAATAACCCAACACAAACACATGACCAACAATAACCCAACACAAACACATGACCAACAATAACCCAACACAAACACATGGCCAACAATAACCCAACACAAACCCATGTCTAACAATAACCCAACACAAACCTACGTCTAACAATAACCCAACACAAACCCACGTCTAACACAGAGGCGTAGCGATGGGGGGGGGGGGGCAGGGGGGGTACTTATGTCCCCGGGCGCCGACCTTAGGGGGCGCCAAAATGGGTTGTAAAAACAAATTAAATTGATATTTTAGCTGCATTTTTGCATTATAAATAGTTTGAGGGGTGGGAGGGGGGGGGGGGGTGCAAATCGAAAGTTTGAGGGGGGGGGGGGGTGCAAATCGAAAATTTGCTCCCGAGGGGGCGCTAAATTGAAAGTTTGTCCCCGGGCGCCGGGAAGGGTCGCTACGCCTATGGTCTAACAGTAACCCAACAATAACCCACGTCTAACAATAACCCAAACACCTAAGCCTAAGTTTAAATATAGAGTGGCAATTTTTCTATTTCGGGCTTTACTAGTCCACATTTTCGCCGACCGTTGGTTTGTGAGTTATTCAGAAGGGAAGGTGGGAGACAGATTCAGGGATGGGTTTGGGTGGGTGGGACGATGAATATGTCGGGAATAGCGCTGACAAGGCAGATGTAAGATGTTTGCAGATTGTAGTGTTATTTAGCAAATGTTAATTTTACTTTTTCGATAGCGCTATCTGGGGTATTTGACAAGGGTATTTATGTAAAACGTGGGGCTGCGATTGTGTTCAAGGCGGTGGCGTAGCTAGGATTTTCGGGCCCCTATGCAAAAATTATTATTGGGCCCCTACGTTAATCTGTAAATGTGTATTTTATACGTCCATAATTGTGTATTTATACGGTGTGATTATGTAGTACCTCGTAGCGTAAAATACCTTTGATTTTATATCACTTTTATGAAAAAACAAACTAACAAATTAACTGTAAGACTGTAACCTTTAAGTAACCTAACATAGTAGCTTCACGAGGCGGGGGTCTCACAATTTAGGCGTGACACCATGACGAAAACTCGTGAAAGTCCATTTTAACTGCTCCTGTATGTTCGATACTTAGGATGGCCAAATTACTGACCCAAAGGGCATATCTACAACTTGTTTCATAACATCATTATAATGGAGAGACTCGGGGCGCCTAATTGGCCTAATCATATACTAATGCCGAGGCGGCTAGAGGACACCCTTTATTTTCTTTAGCAATTGATTATAGTAGCATTCCGTATCCCTAGAGCATGGCGTTCATTAAAACAAGTGTATGCGCCGTAGCGCTCGCTAGGGGAGCCCGGGGCTCCGGCTGATGCACCTGTGCAGTTTGACCGTTAAATTAAGCAGTAACCCTGACCCCTTGTGCAGTACAGCCAATCCACTGACCCCATGTTCTAAGAAAGTGTGGGGGCCTTTTTTGGAACTTTTGATTTTTCTACAGTAGAAAAGAAAATTATTTTTGATAATACAAATATTAAACTTCCAATGTAAAAGTTAAAAAGAATTTAAAGCGGGAAAAGGGCCCCTATGTGTATTGAGCACCTATGCCCTGCTTACTCTAGCTTTACCGTATCTACGCCACTGGTTCAAGGGGGTGGGGGCTCAAATATTTCCTACTTAAATGAGCCTTTTATTATTATATATCATTATTTCACATTGAAGCTGTTTATTTATGCAAAAGATTGTTTAGTCCATCTACTATTCCAGTATCTTATATTAAGCAAATATTTTAACACATCAATTGATATTTATGTTACATTATTCCACATCACACCTTACTCAATATAACAAAATGATACATCATCTAGACTTTCTTGTTATATAATAGATATCTTCCCATAACAGCCACCAACTTAAAAGATATTCTGACCCTTAAACTGGATGAAGTCATTCGGCGTTATGCCTGGCAGAAGCTGCTAGAGTGAGTACTTTAAACACAGCCTTTTTGTACAAGCTTTTGTTTAACTTAATTCCTCGAGCTTTTGTTTAACTTGATTCCTCGAGCTTTTGTTTAACTTGATTCCTCAAGCTTTTGTTTAACTTGATTCCTCGAGTTTTTGTTTAACTTGATTCCTCAAGCTTTTGTTTAACTTGATTCCTCGAGCTTTTGTTTAACTTGATTCCTCGAGCTTTTGTTTAACTTGATTCCTCGAGCTTTTGTTTAACTTGATTCCTCGAGCTTTTGTTTAACTTGATTCCTCGAGCTTTTGTTTAACTTGATTCCTCAAGCTTTTGTTTAACTTGATTCCTCAAGCTTTTGTTTAACTTGATTCCTCAAGATTTTGTAATATTTACTTATTAATTTGACCACATCTACTTTACCGATAACAAGACGCTGTGACAATGCAATTTGTCATAAACATGTGATTTAACTTTTTGTAATTTATTTATTTAAAATGTAATTACAATTTTCTATATAAAGTAAAAATTTCCCGTGCTATTGCTCACTTAAGCTCTATTGAATTTGCTGAATGCACAAAACAAATACAGAAAATGGAAACATTAATACGTGACAAGTTTTGCCCTAGGTCTTCTTTAAAAGAATAAAAACATCACCTCAAAAATACTTTTTTTATGTATTTTAGTTGAACATTTATTATTATGTGGATTAATGTAACTTTCTTTTATTTTTTGTAAACATTAACAGTTTGTTGTGTGCATAAAATTGCCAGTACATCTCTACCTGTATTACGAAAATACATTTACTGCGTCATTATATAAACTTAATGCATCACAGATTTCATTTACTACGGTGTTATAAAAATTAATTTCATTTAGGACATCCACGGAACCCGTGAAAGACTTTCTGCTGATGCATCAGAACCGCATCGCCAGAGTTTCTTCCAGGCATCTCTTCGGGGGGGCGAAGCCCCCCCGAAAAATTTTTACCGCCCCCCCGAACGATATGAAATTTATATAATTTATATAGAAAATATATACTTTTAACAGTGTCCGCCCCCCCGAAGAAAGTTTACCGCCCCCCCGAAGATTTCAAGTGCCCCCCCGGAGAAAAAAGTCTGGAAGAAACACTGCGCATCGCCTGTTATGTCGACTGGAATACGTTGACCTTTGAGCATGGGGTCCCCTTGTTTTTTCCCAAGGTGAAGGACGGGAGTGTGATCAAAACCCGTCGAAGAGACATACAAACAGGTGATGTGTTAGCGTCGGTACAACAGCTGAGTTTTAAGTCCGAGGGATAGGTGTGTGGGTGGGGGAGGGGGGGGAGGTTATGTGGAAATCATAACACTTTTTTTACTACCCCTAATTGCTTCTAATTTAGCTTTTATTAATACATATATATATATATATATATATATATATATATATATATATATATATATATATATATATATAGAGAGAGAGAGAGAGAGAGAGAGAGAGAGAGAGACGCGGCTATAATATTATTGGTTGCAGGGTGGAGTATTGTTTTCTAGTAACGATTATGTTGGACAAACTACATTGTTCGTAAATTTACTCTGAGGTTTAACCATTTTTCAGAATATAATTTTAGATACGGCTAAGTCATTAGAAAAAGCATATTTGGTGCCATTATAGAGAAACAAATTTAAATCAAATAATGAAAGAAGTCCTTCTCTCAGTTAACTTTAACTCAGTATAAATAATTTATAGCAAATAAGGTAGACATTTTAAAGACAAATGCGCATGTGTTCATTCCAGGCAACCAATGGATCACGCTCTTGTCAGGATTCTATGATAACAAAACCGAAAATAAACAGAGTCACTCTTTCGAAGGATCACGTGACACAACATCGTACGTGGACGTGGACCTAAAACAGTAATACACGGTCAACAAGCAGGTAGTGTTCAGCAGTAGAAAATGTATCCTAGTGTCTGGTAGTATGTGGTAGTATGTGATTTGTCTATGTGGATGTGTGCGCATGCCTCAATGACGCAATCACATTTGCTTATTTTTAGAAATTATACCATTTCCTGTCCCTCTTGCCGCATAGCTATATACCATTAATAGAACTTCAAATCATCCAACATTATATTATTGTTAATTATCCAACACTCTGGATAATTAGAGTCGAAATATTGTGTATACGGTTATATTTCACATATTTAGTTACAATTTGATGTCTGGGAAAGAATTAAAATAAAATAACCGGATAATACAAGATAAGTTAATTGAGATACAAAATGCAGATATTTCGTTCATATTCGGAGACTGTTAAGTTCACAATATCTATTGTATCACAACAGAGGAAATGCTTTTTTCTGTTCATTTTCAGTTTAAACTTTCTTTTTAATTTACAAGTTTCTAAGCTTTTATAGTGTGAATAGACTTTGTTTACTGCTTCATACACACACACACACACATATATATATATATATATGTGTGTGTATCTATACATTCAGATGTGTGTAAATTTAGATCTCTCTGAAATGCATATCCCGGTTGGATTACAATTAAACAAAGATAATAACCTCAATCTAAAAAAGGACAACAACAGAGTTCTTGGGGAAACTCGCACCTGGAAGGTTAACTCTCAGGTATTTCTCCAAGTTTTCCATATGCCATGTTGTCACCTTACGTTGTGTAAATAATGTATATCTTGAAATACATTTTTAACCGAGAAATGTATTTGCAGGTTGAAGTGGAGCCATCGTATCGCGCCCATGCTCAGCTGCTAGCAAGACAAGAGTGCTCTGTCGTGGAGTTTGAGATTCGAACCACTTTGTCAATTCCTAAAGGTAAAACTCAACTTTTAGTTGTAAAAAATAAGATTTTACATGCAGAAATATGATGAATTTTCTGCATACAAACATTTTCCTAGCTCATAAAATTAATTAATTATATTGCATATTTTAAACAGGTGCCTTCGAGGTTACCTTCAGATTTGAGAGTAGAGATAGACAATGGGAGGTGGACATTGAAAACATTCTCGAGGTTTTCCGCCTTGAGGAAGTAGGCAGTGTTCTACAACCTGAAGAAAAGGTGAGTTGTTTCCCTTTGATATAGGGCTTTAGAGAGTGTAGGCCTATAAAGTGCATTGTAATCGTGCACAAGAGTTAAATACAATTTTGACAGTTTTCGGCGTTTTCGTGGTAGACAAAATTGTATATATAGATATAAGATTATATACTTGGATTACTTTTAAAGTTGGAGTGACCGCCGATATCCGGACATCCGGTACTTTACTCTGTTTCCGCTTTTTAAAACACAGATAACACAAGTACCGTTTTAGTTAGGAACATGTAATGTTATGCATAGATATAACATTTTTTTCTTTTGATATGTGAAATATTGAGTGGTTTCCGGGGACTGTTATTAGTTACTAGTAGTATTTTCTCAAAAAATGTTTATTTGTTAGCGTAATTATTTTTCTACTCGATTATATTCTATTTTTAAAAATCCAGGTATTAAAAACAATTAATACAAAACATTTCTATAGCCCAATTACACCGAAAGTGCCATTACAGAAATGTTCATTTTGCAGTATTATCATTAGTAGGCCTACTTGAGCGAAGTGTATTACCTTCTGTATCATTATAACATATACACATCTACATCCGCGACAAAAGTGCTCATTTATCGTGTCAACATACACACGAAAAACTATTTGCACTGCGTCTGTACATGTATGTATTTTATTTGATTCAGTCTGCAATTGTTGCTTTACCCTTCCTAATTACTAGCTTGGCTACCCGAAATGCACAAAATTTGAAAATCCACTCCACACAAAATGTTGTCATTACAACCCCATTTGAATACTATAAAATACACACCCTTGACAAATTGTGTCTTTGTTGTTTCTTTGTCTTGAGTTTGTAATTATTTTAATATATATATATATATATATATATATATATATATATATATATATATATATATATATATATATATATATATATTAAAAGAAATATTCTAGATTAAAATTAAACAGATTTAACTATTTTTAATAACATATTAATAATAGACACAAATTTCATGAGAGATAAACAAATGTTACTGATATTTTGTCCTCACTACACCCCCACCCCCACCCTCAGATGTTTGTGGAGTTGATTGAGGAGAAGTGGCTGGACAAAGATGGCGTGGAGCACTCGACCTCCTACCCCCAGATCATCACCCGGGGCACCTGTGTCTGCATTAACTGGACTGACCAGAAAGTGGACATCAAGACCAGTCCATTGTCAATGGACGAGTCCACCTCTGATGGAGACCACAGCATCAACAAGATGTCAAGGGACAGAAGTATTGAAGACTCGGGCCTCAATTCATTTGTTGTCGTCAATTAGTTATACATAGTTCAATCAATATTTAATCATGTTTCTAAATTTTAAAATCAAAGTTTAAAAAAAATGTGTTTACTTAATTTCAGGCACAACCAATTACTTTTAAACGATAATTTTTCTTTTTTTTGAGTACATTAAAACTTGTTATTAAAAAAAAAATTCTACTTGTTTTTTTTTCTCTGGCTTTAGTATTTATGAAATTTGACAATTAAAACAGCCTGTCGATAGTCCTAGTAAGTTTTTTAAAAAAATTAGTAAGTCTTTTTAAATTGATTTTTATTATGTTCCTTCTTTTAAGCAAGAACACTTAAGACCCGTCTATATCTACTGTAATATAAGTAACTAATTTTTAAATATATAAACGTTTATATATACGTTTTCCCGTTGTATTGTAAGGTGTAAACGCTGTATTTATTTTTTAGTTGTTAGTTTATCTGTGTTAGTTAAGTGTGTAAAAACTATCGGCATTTGTATCAGTGAAAAATTGGATAGATACCTTGTGGAGTACAGAAAACAACGAAATATGCAATACAAAACTACACAAAACTAAACAAAACACTACCGACAACAAAACAAGTTCCATATTTTTACAGCCTAGACAATATCAACACTCAAAATTTGACAGAAGGCAGATAATTAGATCCTTTACTTATATGTGAAATTTCATTTATCTATCTGAAACAGTACTCAATTTATAGGCTTTTGAAAAACTAAAAGTCCCGCTTCCATTTATCGGAAATCGCTGAGAAGTAAATTAAAGTTACATTTCAGACTAGTATAACTATCGCAATGAGTAACTTTCTAGGTGATGTTTTTCAACTTTCGTCTTGTGTTATTTAAAACTCGATTCTCCGTATGATTTTTTTTACCCTTTGGTTATAAAGAATAGAGATATTGTGTGTCCAGCATAATGCTAAGCCATTAGTTTTTTCACGGATTCACACCAGGTACCAACTACAGCTGTGTGTACTCAGGGGAATCTTAAAGAATCAAGCCTGGCAATTAAACCCAATGCTGTCAATAGCTCTGTTAAACGCTTTTCCTCTTAATGTTTCAAACGAACACCCCTGTCTTACTGTAGATCTTTCAACATAACAGTATAAAACCAGGCTACCACCGAGTCACACCGCGGCAACTAAACAAAGTGAGAAATTTGGCTGGAGCAGGTCGGTGTGGTCAAGTCGATGGAGCGTTAACAAAACTGCTGTGGTCGAGGCAGAGGCGTAGCGAGGGGGGGGGAACTTGTGTCCCCGGGCGCCGACCTTACGGGGGGGGGGCGCCAAATTGAAAGTTTGAGGGGGGGGGTGGAAATGAACAGTTCGAGGGGGTGGGTGCAAATCGAAAGTTTGAGGATCGAAACTTTGTCCCCGGGCGCCGGGAAGGGTCGCTACGTCTCTGGGTCGAGGTTGTGTCAAGTTTAGTTTTTTTTATACTCCCTGGTTGTTTGAGTCCATAGCTATCCAGACCTGACATTTTCTGTTTCTCTAAATGTTCCAGTAACCATTATTTGCAAATTGTTTGAGTCCATAGCTATCCAGACCTGACATTTTCTGTTTCTCTAAATGTTCCAGTAACCATTATTTGCAAAAATTGGTAATCACGCCTAATTCTTAATATTTAAGTATCATAGACTGCTGACACACAATGCGACTTGAAAAAATGGAATTAAATAATTAGTAATTAACGTTTAGATTAGCTTAATCCCAATTCAGGTTATACATTGACCCCTGTATGATTAGTGTTATTATGTTAAGAGTATATTTAGTATTTATACTATTTGTATATTATTATATACCTCTAGCTAATCAACCATAACAAAATCATTTTCGTTCACATTTTACACGAACATAACGGTCTCAATGTCTCGCTTTCATATTTTCGTCTTGGTGACAAACCCATTATATCAGGTCGTATCAGCCCGTGTTTAATGATGTCTTTGATTACATTCAATTAATTATTTCACTGGAAAGGACAATATTGTCTTTGTAAATTTAGTTTTCTCCTTGTTACAAAGTCTATGAAGCGTGAACAAAATAGCTACCCAGATCAGAAATGTCTATCTGACATTTTTTACTTCTTTACGTAGCTATTATTTAAAGTAGAAGATGATAACAAAAACACTCATTTTATTGTTTAATTAATGAAGTTTTTTTTATTTCTAAACTACTGATACAATCCAACTGTTGATGTTATACATTTTTTTGTAAAAAGAAATTAAATATTAGAAAATAGTATGCATACAATGCAATGTTTTTGATTATGCTAATGTTTTAAAAGCATTTATGACATTTAAAACAGTTGAAACTAGATTTAAGAAAAAAATCTTTCATAAATAGACTTGCCTAATTACGTAAATAAATATGGCTCTTGTTAAAAATGTTGCACCAATTAGAGCAATGATAAAATATCTGGCTAATCGACGACAACAAAGGAGTCGACGCCTGGGTCTTCTTCGGTGTAACAGACGGGCGTCTTGTTCATGTTGTGGTCCCCATCACAAGTGGACTCGTCCATTGACAATGGACTGGTCTTGATGTCCACTTTCTGGTCAGTCCAGCTGAGACAGACACAGGTGCCCCGGGTGATGATCTGGGGGTAGGTGGTCGAGCGCTCCACGCCATCTTTGTCCAGCCACTTCTCCTCCACCAACTCCACACAAGCCTTAGAGGAGAGGGAATGAGAAAATATTCTCTTTAACCTGTTTGATAACATGTTGTAATTGTAGCTTTGACCACTAAGGGCTTTATTAGTGGTGCAAGGTTGTGCTTTGAGTCTATCTCGGGGGTTCCTCAGTAAATGGAACACACGTTAGTCCGAAGGCCAGCTTCCCGAAGGCCTGTTTGTTCTAAGTCATTTTTCTCTAATACATTGTCAGATTGAGACATATTCGCGAAAGCCGTTTGCCCGAAAAAAAAAAACACATTATATTATTTTTTATGAAGTAAATGTTGTAAGTGAATTTATATTTAACATTTTGAAAATTAACACAATTTAAAGTATAATCAAACGTTGTTCTTATTAAATAAATTTAGCTTTTAATTTTCATCATTAAAAAAATAACGTTACTGCTGTGTGGTGATCATTTTACTAAAGAATTTGTCGTGGTCTATGTGCAGAGTTTAGAAATGGAATATAGTCCATATATTTTAAGTTCTATGCAAAGCACTTCATTAAGACAACTGGTCTAAGCGATTACCTGATAAAGCAATTGACTGACACCAAAAATCTAACATAAAATGGTATTTGATACACTTTTTCTATTCAAAACTTTCTTTGAATATAAAAAAAAAACCGCATTTTAAAAATTTAAATAACAATTTTAAGCAAAAGTTTGAATTCATACAATGGACATTACCGAGCTGAGGAGAATCATTTCACTATTATTGTTGCCATGTGTTTTTTTTAAAATATATTTTGCAAGCGATTTGAATTGCGAAATCTTAAGATAAAACACGTAAAAAAAAACAAATATTAAAATAATAAGCCTGAAAATATTTAAGAAATTAAATATTTTTAGAATCAATGTTATAGCAATTGCAAACCCGTAGAAATTCAAAATAATGTTTCGAGTTTAAGACTACATTTCTATTTATTTCCATCAAGCCTAAAATATAACCGGATGTTTCACTTTCCTAAGAGAAACATTGATTGGCTGTAAAGGAACTCCGAGATCGATTTCTGACAGCACCACCTATCATAGTTATTTGTTTACGAATTTGCCAATAAAAAATAAATTTGAATAAAATTATGCTACTTTAAACCACAATTTTGCCATTGTTGTTTACATGGTGTAAGATGAAATTTGTGCTAACCAATCGAATAGCTTATGTCTCCGTTACCACGTGAAAAGCAAATTGCTTTTGCCTTTTTTTAAAATTGTGTTTAAATACCGAAAATACTAAAACGTCAAATACATCCGATTTTTATAAAAGTCCGACTAAAACCAAACAGTCAGGTTTTTGTAACCATACTTATTCCAATAACACCATGCATGATTAATGGGCTTCTCGAAAAATTTCGAGATTATTCTCATATATTTTTGGGCTATTTTGCGGTCGACATGTACAATGTTTGTACAATGACGCTTAAGTTTGTATATTGACGGAAACAAAAACAACTAAGGGAGACAACTCACTTTTTCTTCTGGTTTGAGAACACCTCCGTCTTCGAAAAGCTGGAAACCTTTATGTAAGTCTTTAATACCCAAAGCATACATGATGGCTTCCAAAGGAAATTTAACGTGAACATTTCCTGTAGAATGGCGCAACAAATATTTCATGTGCTAGAACGCTGTACGTTTCTTTAAAAAATTAAGAAAATATTGAACAACTTCTATAAATGCTTATTTTTATTTTAAAACTAGAAAGTTGGTTTGACCTTTAGGACTCGACAAAGTGGTTCGAATCTCAAACTCAAACACAGAGCACTCTTGTCTCGCTAACAGCTGAGCATGGGCTCGAGACGATGGCTCAACTTCAACCTGCAAAACATTAACTCGGTCAAAAAAACTCCGATTAGGTTCTTCGCTACGTAAACACCGTGACAAGTCAAACTTTGGGGAAAAACTAAAAACATACCTGCATGTTTACTTGCCGCATTTGAATCTCTTCGAAAACTCGGCCTTTAAGCTTATTGAGGCTGAGTGTTATGACTTTGTCCATCGGAAAATGAGGGATTTGCGGAAGTTTTACTTCGATACACACCTAAATGTATATATATATATATATATATATATATATATATATATATATATATATATATATATATATATATATATATATATATATATATATATATATATATATATATATATATATATATATATATATATATATATATATATATATATATATATACATTTATGTATTATATACATTTATGTATTATATACTAAGTCTTGTACCAAACCTACTATTTACTAGAATACATCAATACATCACAGAGAAAGATAAATTTTCAACACCTAGCCACTACCTGTTTGTTGACCGTGTAATACTGTTCCAGGTCCACGTCCACCCATGTTGTCGTGTCACGTGATCCTCTAAAATGACAGGTTTGTTTGAATTCGGATTCATTATTGAAGTAACTCGATAGCAGCTTTACCCATTTTGTTCCTGATTTAAAAAAAAATAAACACTTGCTCATTTGTTTTAAATATGTCTATCAGGTAAACAATAGCTTTTTGATTCCAATTGTTGGTGCTGAAGAAATCTTCAACGAACGCTTTCTTGTCATTTATCAAATTTTAACTAATTTCATCCCCCTATTCTGCGATTCATCACAACAGTCCTTGAATTTTATGACCGCGCAATTGATAAGGCTCAACCTTTAGACATCGACGTGTGTTTGAGAGACCCTAAATTTCTACATAAACCCCACTAGCTAGATCTTCCCACCCTCACTCCCACACATACATCCCCCGGGACGTGAAGCTCAGCTATGCAGATGTTAATTTTTTTAAAAACAATTACCGGTTTGTATTTCTCCCCGGGGGGTAGCAATCACATTTCCGTCCTTCACCTTTGGAAAAAACTTGGTGACCCTGTGTTCAAAGGTCAGCTCCACCCAATCCACCTCACATTTAAGTGGATGTTCCATCAAATATAAACATTCCCTAAATAAAATATTTTTTTTTAAAGTTACGACACGAAATATAACTCGTGTCGCATTAATTGTGTCTTGTATTGTGACAAAGTAAATATATTTTATCATGCAACCTAAGATGTATATCTGGTTTGATATTATGGGAGAATTTACGCACATAGACAAAATAATAAATATATTAAGTTCTTTAAAAATTCGGTCATGTGTTAGTTTTCCTCATACAGAATTTAGTTTTTTTTCTTTTCTTTCTGCTTTTGTTTAGACAACTCGCAAGAAGAATAAAGGCACTGTATGATACTTATTTATACAGCAACTTCCAAGTTCTGAATGATACTCATTTATACAAAGTCTTCAAGTCACTGTATGATACTTATACAGTATACAGCAACTTCAATGTTCTTTATGATACTTATACAGCAAGTTCCAAATTCTGTATGATACTTATTTATACAGTAACTTCCGGGCACTATAGGATACTTATACAACATCCTCCAGGTTCCGTATGATACTCACTTGTACAACAATTTCAAGCCACAACGTCTGGCGACATCATCCAGATTAAGGGTTGGATTATTCTTGAAGTTCGTGTCTGTTAATAAAACGTGTACACATTACATAACATGAAAGAGTGGATTGGTTTTTATTTTGTTATATTGTAACAAAGGAGTAGAGAGGAATATGGAGTTATCTATGTATATATTCTTTAGGCTTACCAGGCTTAGCGGTTTGAATATTGATAACAGGCCTCACTGTCGATATCGCACAATCTGCAATGTGTATATCGACATTAGAACTATGTAGAGAAAAATGTTCTTTTTTTCATGGATGTACCAAATTTTGGTAAATACCGAAATAAAATTATAAGACTACCTCCATTGTAAAAATACACTGTAACTTCAAAGTCGAAAGGAAGTCGTTTTACTTTACTTTTCTACGCTGGCAGTCCCTATAAATTAATACACGGTATTCATATCAAAGCGATTCATTTACAAATTCTATATTCACTACGAACAAACAGGGCGGTGTCCAGTGTTAATACTAGAAATCTCTACATCAGACAGGCAAAGACTGTGGACCTCTCATTGAGGTGTCGCTGTATTCAGGAGGAGTTGAATGCTAAAAAATAAAAGTACTTGTTTTTTTTAAATACTTAATTATCGACTATTTTATCTATTTTTTACAAGCTTTTATTGAACTCACTTCCTGTCTGTCGTCAGTCGTCAGTCTAGATCGAAACGCAGGAATGAAAATTCGGACACTTCTACTTGACCGATACCATTCACACTTGGCACGTGGGTCAAGACATGAAGACAATGCATTGTGACATTAAATTTGACTTAATTGGATGCCTAATTAATTTTTTATGAATTAATTAAAATTTGGACCGAATTAGTAGGCATGTCTATGGAACCGCACGTCACGCGTCATCACGTTCAATATCTGCGCTATCACGTTTCAATCGGCGCGCAATGGTTTATAGTCATTAAACTCTAGTGTAAATAAAAACATGTAAAGTGCTAAAAAAAATTTCATAAAAAACGTTTTAATAACAAGCTTTTATGTACTAATGCACTAAAAAGTAGAAAATAAATTATAGACTACTATTTAAATAACTAGAAAGAAAAGCGTGGGCCACTTTAGTATCTATTGGATACCTTCACTAATGTTTAGGAAGAGACCCACGCTTTTCTTTATAGTTATTTAAATAGTAGTCTATAATTTATTTTCTACTTTTTAGTGCATTAGTACATAAAAGCTTGTTATTAAAACGTTTTTTATGAATTTTTTTAATTTATTTATTTTTAACTCCTAGAATTTGTAAAAACATAAACTACAGTGCAAATATTGGTATAATAAAAATTATAATTTACGATGAATTTCTTACCCATTCTCCTATTCACATATCCAAACTTTTTCGCTTCCTCGCGCAATTCTTTAACTTCAGCTTGTGTATACTCTCTACATTTATTTAATTAAATGGTTTTAGACCATAAAAAATTAATTAATAGTACCAAGTGAAAATAAATATCATGAACAAATATAAAATGATTCATTCACTAACCCACTAGCCGATCATCCTACTGTTCATCTAACTAAACCATTAACAAGCTAAACCACACACCAACCCACAGACCAACCAACAGATCAACCCACACACCAACCCACACACCAACTCACAGACCATCCAACACAAACCCACACACAAACCTACACACCAACCCACACACCAACCCACACAAAGCCACACACAAACCCATAGATCTACCCACACCAACCAACACACAAACCCACAGACCAACCCACACCAGCGCACACACAAACCCACAGACCAATCCACAGACCAACTCATACACCTACAAACACACCGACCCACAGACCAACCCACAGACCAACCTACAGACCAACCCACAGACCACACCACCAACTAACCCACAGACCAACCCACAGACCAACCCACAGACCAACCCACAGACCAACCCACATACCAACCCAGAGACCAACCCACAAACCAACCCACAGACCAACCCACAGACCAACCCACACACCAACCCACACACCAACCCACAGACCAACCCACACACCAACCCACAGACCAACCCACAAACCAACCCACAGACCACACCACCAACTATCCCACAGACCAACCCACAGACCAACCCACAGACCAAACCACAGACCACACCACCAACTAACCCACAGACCAACCCACACACCAACCCACAGACCAACCCACAGACCAACCCACACACCAACCCACACACCAACCCACACACCAACCCACAGACCACACCACCAACTAACCTACAGACCAACACAGGGACCTATCCACTGTTAAGACTTCTGACCAATTAAATGACAGTTTAAATGACCAAATGACAATTAAATGGACCAATCAAATGACAGTTAAACTGACAAACCTTATGACCAAATCAACAAACTACCCTAATGACCATTCAACCTTTGAACAACTGACCTGCTCACTCACCTGTTCAAGTAGTTTGCACGCCTCATAATGGCGCGAATGATCGTTGCCAACAGCGCAGCGTGTATCCAAATTAATAAAACACAAAGGTATATTCCCCAAATTACTTGGTCGAATAAATCCTTGGATTGAAACCAACAATTAACGTTTTAATCGTTTTTTTTAAAAATCCTAATCCTTAATTAAATGCTTAAAATTTTTTTTAAACATTTTACTATATATATGTAGCTATATGTTAGCCATAAACAGCAATAATATACAGAGACCTTGTTACCGCGTTACCAGTGTTATCAAACGTGTCTTGTAATCCATTGATACACACTGCATGTATTCTACACTGTCGTTGGTTTTTTTTTTTATTTTAGTTTTTATAGTTTGCGTGATCAATAGACCCAAATAAGTATCTAATATACCCTTTCACACTGTAAGATTTTTTAAAATCAAAAACAAAATAATTATATACCTATTTTACTCACCCCAGCAAATTTCAAAATTAATTTTGTCTCATAGAATGGCAGAACAATTAAAATCACGAAAGAACTGAATACGGGCAGCCAAAGCATGGTACAGCGCTCTCTAATCAGTAATTATTAGGCCAGCTAGACGTAAGAAAAATCTGTGTCAATGGTGTTGAGTAGTAAGGGAGTAAGACTGTATGTGTGATGGGGTTGTGTGAGTGTGTAGATAGTGGGGAGACTACAATATCGTCTGTCATGTTGCACAGTGACACACGTCTGCGTCCTCAATACGACAATGAGACGCATATATGGTAGGTGGCGTGACGAACCTACTATCTCCGATTTTGCAAGAACCTACTTTCTCCCATTGAAGGTGTTTGCAAGATCCTATTTTCTCCAATTGTTTGTGTTTGCAAGAACCTACTTTCTCACATTTAAGGTGTTTGAAGGAACCTACTTTCTCTGATTGTCGGTGTTTGCAGGAACCTACTTTCTCCCATTGAAGGTGTTTGAATGAACCTACTTTCTCCAATTGTTTGTGTTTGCAAGAACCTACTTTCTCACATTTAAGGTGTTTGAAGGAACCTACTTTCTCTGATTGTCGGTGTTTGCAAGAACCTACTTTCTCCCATTGAAGGTGTTTGAAGGAACCTACTTTCTCCCATTGTAGGTGTTTGAAGGAACCTACTTTCTCACATTTAAGGTGTTTGAAGGAACCTACTTTCTCCCATTGAAGGTGTTTGAAGAAACCTACTTTCTCCCATTGAAGGTGTTTGCAAGAGCCTACTTTTTCCCATTGAAGGTGTTTGCAAGAGCCTACTTTTTCCCATTGAAGGTGTTTGAAGGACCCTACTTTCTCCCATTGAAGGTGTTTGAAGGAACCTACTTTCTCCCATTGAAGGTGTTTGCAAGAGCCTACTTTTTCCCATTGTTGGTGTTTGCAAGAGCCTACTTTTTCCCATTGAAGGTGTTTGAAGGAACCTACTTTCTCCCATTGAAGGTGTTTGCAAGAACCTGATTTCTCCTATTGAAGGTCAGCCGGGGGTTTCACCAGATCCCTGTTAGCCGGGGGTTTCACCATACACCTGGTGTGGCCTACGTGGCTACGTCACGGCTTAGTAGTAAACCAGCACCCACGTCCAGTAATTTTCATTGGACTTAGTAGGGGGGGGCGGGGAAGGGCTTAGGGTAGGGGTGCTGCATAATCTATCCGAGACTGGACATTAGCGCCACATAACACCAATTACCTGGTGTACCTGGTGTACCTGGTGTAATCAGCACACCTTGTCAAGCTACTACTTAGGTAACAATTGTTAATGTTATTCGGTTGGGGTCGAATCTTACTATATTCAACCCATTACTATGCCTTTACAGTTAAACAGAAATAATTAATTAAGTTCATTATTCAACACATTCTTACTCATTATTCAAGACACACATTGTACTATTTTTTTAAATAAATTTCAAACTTTAAGTTAGTGTTGATTTGAAAAATTTAAACGTGTAAGCCTACGTTTTCTTTTATACAGAAACATGCTTTTTGTCCGTGTCAGCAATATTATTTATAACCTGGTCCCTCTTAACTGTCTGTAAACTGCAGCCAACGCCAATAGATCTAGGGTCTACGCTGTAGATTAAGTGTTAAAAAAAACGAAGGTAAACAGGTATCTTACATGTCTTTTTACTTGTTCTTTCGCTGGGTAATAGATCTAGAATCTAGATCTAAATATTCTAGATGTACGGTCTCATAAGAAACCAATCTCTAAGGCGTGAAAATATAGACTCGCAATTATTAAGTGCACACTGTTTTGCACTTTATTGTCGGGAATTACAGAACCAAACTGTCACGCTGGTGTGTTTAAGGTGTGTACGTGATGGTAGTTTGAGGGGGGGGGAGCTGTGAAATGTTATACGAGCCTCGCATATCCGCTTAAGGCGAAATGCTCTATTTAGTTTCGATTTTCCAACAATACCTTAAAAATAAAATTCTAAAGTCGTTTTGGCAGTGGCGTAGCTAGGAAAGGGGGGGGGGGGGGGAGGGTGACGGATAGACACAATTCAAAAGCTTATTGTAAGCTTTAATGTGGAAATATACACCGTCAAAGTTAAGAAATAAACGGCTAAAAGGCTTTAACTGCTGATTGAACTAATTTTTACCTTGATTGTGTAGAACTAAGTGTAGAGTCTGGTAAAAATCGTTCGTCAGCTTTCTCCAAGAGGTTGGTGGGGGGGGGGGGCGTTTTTTGTTGACTATGTGCGAGAAGACAGAGCTCATCCATGAAATCCAAATCTTTAAGTTGCGTGCCCGGTCGATTCCAGTTTATGTTTTTCCTGGAGTTTGTTCATTATTTGGTCAACCCGTCAACCAAGTGCTCACTCAAATTTTAGACTTTAGCTCTTTCTGATAATTTGCTATTGTGAACATCTTGGAACCATTGGAATACACTAATCTGTAGCTCCACACGACTTAGTGTTTCATAAGTTCCCATACCACTGCTCTGTCTACGCATAAGTTCCCATATGGCTGCTCTGTCTACGCATAAGTTCCCATACCACTGCTCTGTCTACGCATAAGTTCCCATACCACTGCTCTGTCTACGCATAAGTTCCCATACCACTGCTCTGTCTACGCATAAGTTCCCATACCACTGCTCTGTCTACGCATAAGTTCCCATATGGCTGCTCTGTCTACGCATAAGTTCCCATACCACTGCTCTGTCTACGCATAAGTTCCCATACCACTGCTCTGTCTACGCATAAGTTCCCATACCGCTGCTCTGTCTACGCATAAGTTCCAATACCACTGCTCTGTCTACGCATAAGTTCCCATACCACTGCTCTGTCTACGCATAAGTTCCAATACCACTGCTCTGTCTACGCATAAGTTCCCATACCACTGCTCTGTCTACGCATAAGTTCCCATACCACTGCTCTGTCTACGCTACCAACTAAACTTTAACAATATCTATAAAAAGTATATTCTAGGTCTGCTCTGTGAATAGACTTAGTGTTGCTATATGATCTGTGCAGGAATAAAATTACCTTTTTCAAATACGTAAGTCCACGGGGTAGGTGAAATAGAGTTGACCTGTTTCCTTGTCCCCGGCATAGGAAGGGATCGTGTGGTCAACACTATGTCCAGTCGGCTTTTCTTTTCCTGACGTGAGTCAGGTGTAACAGACTGTACCTTGGGAGTATTATATCTATATTGTATTTAGTAGGGTGGTTCACCCCGAATGTTTACAATCGTAGAGCCGGGTCGAATAAGTGACGGGTATTAGGGGCAGATAATTTAGCTTTTAAACGATTTGAAACTATAGGGAGGTAAGAAGTTCTGCTTGATCTTTTTATTGTCGTCTGTAAACTGTCGTCAAGGACGGCTGTTTTCTCGTATTGTTTGTTATCTCAACTCCAAGGTGTACGTATTTTCAGATACATATGATTGGTGTTACTGATAGTCTGTCGTTCTATTGCAATTCTATTATGCTCTATCTCTAGTTTTATTTATTTTTTCTGCTTCTTCTATCTTTTTGTCTGCTTCTTTCTGAAGCTGCAGTTTTTTCCCCCCATGCTCTAACCCTTTTATCTCATTCCTCTTCAGCCTGCCTTTCCTTAGACCTTTACTAAATAGCTACATAGATCTGAATTTTTTTTTATTTCTTTACATATCAAAGCAGAGGCGTAGCGAGCCTTCCCGGCGCCCGGGGACAAACTTTCAATTTGGCGCCCCCCCCCCCCCCCCCCTTGGGAGCAACCTTTCAATTTTTAATTTGCACCCCCTCCCTAAAACTTTCGATTTGCACCCCCCATCCCATATATTTTATTTATATTTATTATGCAAAAATGCAGCAAAAACGAGATTTTAATTTTTTTTTCAAACCCATTTTGGCGCCCCCTAATGTAGGCGTCCGGGGACATATGTACCTCCTGCCCCCCCCCCCCTTCGCTACGCCTCTGTATCAAAGAGGCTATTATTTAAAGTAGAATACGAGAATACAAACAGACACATTATATTATTTTATTAACGACGTTTATTTATTTTAAAATTTCATATACAATCCAACTGTTGATGTCATGAGTAATTTGTAAAAAAAAAATTATATATTGGAAAATTGTATGCATATAATGAATATAGTTGATGTATTTCAAAGTATTTGTTTTCAGTTTTTGAAATTTTATGAAATTTAAAACATTGAAACTAGATTTTAAAAAATATTTCATAAATAGGCATACTTAATTACGTTAATAAATATGGCTCTTGTTAAAATGTAGTTTCAAAATTGCTGGCTAATCGACGACAACAAATGGGTCGACGCCTGGGTCTTCTTCAGTGTCGTTGACCGGCGTCTTGTTCATGTTGTGGTCCCCATCAGAAGTGGACTCGTCCATTGACAATGGACTGGTCTTGATGTCCACTCTCTGGTCAGTCCAGTTAAGACAGACACAGGTGCCCCGGGTGATGATCTGTGGGTGGGAGGTAGATTGCTCCACGCCATCTTTGTCCAGCCACTTCTCCTCAATCAACTCCACACACCTCTGAGGGGTGGGGGTTGGGGGTTAAGACAAACATTGTAAACTGAGTTTACATACATAAATATATATACCTATTATATCTTTATTAAGGCAGTATTACTTTATGGCTAGGAGAACTAAACGGTTACCAAAGCAAATACAGTAGAGACAGGCTACAGTCGACCACAAACATATTTTTACTACAGATCCTAAGGATAAGATAGCCTTATAACATGTCAAAATAGACCTTTGGCAAAACAAAAAGCTTGAACCAATAGACAGGGACGTCTAAGTCTGCAAATGGGGCTGGTTGTGGCATACTTGAGAAAGGAAGAGGGTAATATCGCGAGTATAGCATTAGACTGGAATCCCCGGGGGGGGGGGGGGGGCCGGGGGAGCGGAAAGTTGGCCGGCTAAGAAAATCCTGGAGTGAACATTAGAAGAAGCGGCAAAGGTTGCCGAGCTTACGTAGGCGCAGCCCAAAACCTAGTCCAGTGGGGAGGTGTGGCTCAGGCGTTTTCTCCCAGGGGATATATATATATATATATATATATATATATATATATATATATATATATATATATATATATATATATATATACATTTTTACGCATGTGCATGTTTAGGTTAAAATTGTGCCTATTTGGGTTAACAATAAAATTAGTTGAGACTTTTCTAGACTATCAATTATTTTTTTTTCATTACAAGCTCAAAAGAGTGAAGACATTAATTATGATGTCGATATTTTATTTTATGTTTTGTCCTGGAAATTTAAAACAAAAACATAGTTTTTCCTTACTAAGCAATAAATTAATTTTTTATTGCGATAGTAGAGATCTAGATTTTATATCAACGAAAAAGAAAATTTATGTTTTTCTACTACTATAAGGCAAAAAAATATCTTAAAAATATTTTATAAATGTGTATGCTTTGATCAAAGAAGACGCTCACTTTTTCTTCATGTCTAAGAACTCCGCCCTCGTCTACAAGATGAAAAGCCTCATGTAAGTTTTCAATGTTTAACACAAATGACACGTCTCTGTCTTTGTGTTTAAAGGTAACAGGGACTACACCTGTCGAATGCAATAAATTAAGCAATTTAATTAGCCGGAACACTGTTAAGGGAAAAATAACATTATTGAAATTATGCTTATTATTTATTCTCAGAATTAAAAAATTGGATCTTACCTTTAGGAATCGACAAAGTGGTTCGAATCTCAAACTCCACGACAGAGCACTCTTGTCTCGCTAACAGCTGAGCATGGGCTCGAGACGATGGCTCAACTTCAACCTGCGAAAGATAATTAGGGAAATTACTTTTTTTTTAAAATTACCTGACGATTGAAACAAGGTAAATTGACAACTGTTTTCTGGAACACCTGGAAAAACCTACCTCCGTGTCTATCTCCCAGGCGAGAGTCTCTTGGAACACTTGACCTTTGACCTTGTTGAGACTTACGTTATTTTCGGCGTTAAAAATATATGAGGCTTGATGGAGGTTAAAGTGGACACCCACCTGTAAGTATCATTGTAAGTTAAAAGCATTAGTATAAATAGAAACCACATGACAATCAATTAAAAAAAAATTATAAACGTTTAAATATAATAATTAATTAAAAGGTAAACAAAAATGAACGTTTTCCTTTGAATATATTGTAATGCACCTTCTTACTTTCTCGTATACAGAGTAGGCCTATAGAGAAAGTACTGCAATCGTGGAAAAAAATCACATGAAATTTTGACAGTTTTCACCGTTTTACACCTCAGCAGAGTTTCTTCCAGGCATCTCTTCGGGGGGAGGGGGGGGGGGTTTGCCCCACCGAAATTTTTTTACCGCTCCCCCCCCCCCCCCCCGAACGAAATGAAATTTATATAATTTATATAGAAAATATGTACTTTTAACAGTGTCGTGTCCGCCCCCGAAGAAAGTTTACCGCCCTCCCCTCCCCCGAAAATTTCAAGTGCCCCTGGAGAAAAAAGTCTGGAAGAAACACTGCACCTCAGTCCTTCATCTCATCCGGGGTAAAGAGGACTTATTTTAATCGGGCAAAAATTATAAATCAACATTTATTAAAATGTTGGCGTTTTATGTTTTATGCCTAATGAAGTCGGAAAAACTGGATAGTGTGTATGTGTGTGTAAGTGTGTGTGTGTGTAAACATAATTTAACTTGAGTTCCGTTACAGCTAAGATGATGAAATTTCATATATAAGTTTTATATCAAATTAGTAGATCTGTATCAGCTTTTGAGCGATTTCCGATAACCGAGAAGTGGAATTTTTTCTACTTTCAATTTCTAAAAAGCCTATAACGAGTACTGATTCAGATAGATGAATGAAAATTCACACGCAAGCAAAAGATCTAGTTCTCTGCCTTCTGTCAAATTTTGCACAATTTCCATTGACCGGAAGTAATAATTTACGCTATTTTCGATTTCTCAAAAATGCATGGGAATTTTTAAAGTACTAATAATATGCCGCACCATTATACACATTTTGTTTGGCATTCACTTGGTGCGCAATTCTTCTTCCTACGAGATTTTATTCTATTTTAAAAAGTTAAAGTATTTAAAAATGGATTTACAATCGTGTCTATATCCCAAGTTGCCATCCCCCGTAGTGTTATATAAGATTATTCGAGAAAGTTTAGCGGAGATCACTCCCGGTTTTTTTTTTAAAATAACCATAAAGAAAAGCGTCCATCGCTTTTTAAATTTGAGTGATTCGGGTTTAGAAAGAGAGATTCATTTGGGGTTAAAAAAAATACTTTATAAAGTATGTTCAGTGTAGTAGATGGATGAAGGAACGGATCACACAGTCATTTTTTCGACTAAAGAAATTATACATATATATATATATATATATATATATATATATATATATATATATATATATATATATATATATATATATATATATATATATATATATATATATATGGTGTTATATTTCGTAATAGTATGTACATGATGTGTGAAAGTTACACCTATTGCAAGTGTCCACAAAACTCGACTGCCCTTTGACCTTCCCTTGTCATAGCCCACATGGACGTCATAAAAGATTGTCCCAAATGGGGTCTAAGAACAGGGAGTTTGTGTTGAGCAGTGCAGTCGATAGACCAATTTGCAACGAGAAACTACGTCGTCTAGTTATAACCGGTTGTTTTTAAACCGTTTTTTATCACACGTTTTTAAATACTTTAAAAGTTTTGACACGATTCAACACAAACAATGTATGTGTGATTGCGCGGAAAAGTTTACATTAAATGAGAATTTTTAATTACTTAAAAAAAATTAATTTAGCGTCTAAAAAGTCAAATTTAATGTCCCATTGCATTGTCATCAGGTCTTGACTCCCGTGCAAAGTTTAGAAACAAATCGGCCAGGTAGAAAGTGTCAAAGTTTCACTCACCAGTTCCCACCCAATAGACAACAATAAAAAGACAAATCAAATCGACTAAAATTATCCCAAATACAATAACTATTATGCGTGAGATCTTTTGTCTGAGATCTTTTGTCTATGATCATGACCATGATGTTATTCGTACTGAAATATCTTGCCCCGATTTCATTTTTCCGTGAGGTAATTTTTCTTGAGATAAAAGGTCCGTGAGATATTTTGTTTGAGATATTTTTCTGAGATAATGTGTCCTGATATATTTTGTCTTGGTATCTTTTGTCCTAGAGATCATTTGTCCTTGAGATCATTTGTCCGCGAAATATTTTGTCTTGGATATTTTGTCTGGGACAATTTGTCATATATATATATATATATATATATATATATATATATATATATATATATATATATATATATATATATATATATACCTGTGTTAATAGTTATAGTCAGGCACCAAATACCAACAATTACTATACATAAGAGCAAATAAATTATTTTTTCAACTGCTGGCTACTACCTCTTTGTTGATTGTGTAGCAACGTTCGAGATCCACGTCCATCCAGGATGTCGTGCCTTGTGATCCTCTAAAAATAGGACTTTGCTTGATTTTCGATAGGTTGTCATAACAACTAGACCAAAGCGTCACCCATTTTTTGCCTGTTGTGAATAAATATACGGTTATGTCTGGTCTATCTGTTACACGTAACTTTGTGCACTTAATGCTGAGCACGTGATGTGTGCACCTAATGCTGAGCACGTGATGTGTGCACCTAATGCTGAGCACGTGATGTGTGCACCTAATGCTGAGCACGTGATGTGTGCACCAAATGCTGAGCACGTGATGTGTGCACCTAATACTGAGCACGTGATGTGTGCACCTAATGCTGAGCACGTGATGTGTGCACCTAATGCTGAGCACGTGATGTGTGCACCTAATGCTGAGAGCTACAGTGGACATTTTTTTCTGAAAGCATGACCTCTTTAAAGAATTTATAATTTGCAGTGTTTCTTCCAGACTTTTTTCTCCGGTTGGGGGGGGGGGGGGGCACTTGATATTTATCGAGGGGCGGTCAACAATTTCCTGGGGTGGGGGGGGGACACTGGTAAAAAATATTTTTTCTATATAAGTTCTATGTCGTCTGTGGGGGGGGGGGTAGACTTTCTTGGGGGGGGGTGAGGGGGGGCTGAGCTGCCTGGAAGAAACTCGGATGACGCGTGGGGCTCTATATTGGCATTGAAATAAGTTCAGCCTATGGGCTCAGCCATATCTTTGTACTTTGAGAGAAGCTTTACATCAGCTGTAAATTTCTTTCTAGCATGTTTCTCCCATATTTAATGCACATCTAAGCTGCCGTGTGTTGGTCTTCATCGGGGTGGGAGGGGGGGGGGGAGAAATATCATTGTGTCATATTATTGTATAAAAAAATCACCTGTTTATAAGTCTCCTTGGGAGGTTTTGATCACAGTTCCGTCCTTGACCTTTGGAGAAAACTTGGTGACCTTGTGCTTGAAAGTCACTGATGTCCAGTCCACTATGCAGGTAAAGTCTTTCCTATCCATCTCCAGACAATATCTTTCAAGGTGGCTGGATTGTCTAAATATTTTTTATAGCAAGGTACTAGACGTAGTCAAACGCTAAGTTAATGGCATACATAATATAAAGAATATAGCTGTCCGTGTTTTGATTCTATTTTTAAAGTCAAACAGATATGTAACAACTAGTAATTTAAATAGTTGAGCTTTTCAATTCTCAACCTTACAAACAGTGTTTCTTCCAGACTTTTTTCTCCGGGGGGGGGGGGGGGGGCACTTGAAATCTTCGGGGGGGGGGGGGGGGGTAAACTTTCTTCGGGGGGGCGGACACTGTTAAAAGTATATATTTTCTATATAAACTATATAAATTTCGCCCCCCGAAGAGATGCATGGAAGAAACTCTGCTTACAAACTGAGGAATGACTAAGGAATGAAATATGGTTTGATGTTTAAACTTTGTCTTGTAAAATCTCAAAAGTGAACACTTTAGGGCAGTGGCGTAGCGAGGTCGGGTGTCACCCGGTGCGGCACTTAATGGTGTCACCCCCCCTCCCAGAGGCGTAGCGACTCTTCCCGGGACAAACTTTCAATTTTCGATTTGCATCCCCCCTCAAACTGTCGATTTGCACCCCCCCCCCCCCTCAAACTTTCGATTTGCACCCCCCCTCACATTTTTCTCTATATATTTTACTATTTTTTGCCTTGGTGTCACCCCCCTAAATGGTGTCACCCGGTGCTGTCCGCCCCCCCCCCCCCGCCCCCCCCCCCCCCCCTTCTCGCTACGCCTCTCCTTTAGGGAAAGATTGTGCTAAAATGTACTCACTCTAGCAGCTTCCTCCAGGCATAGTGTCGAATAACGCTATCCAGTTTAAGGTCGAAAGCTGAAAATATTTTGAATTTTTAGTTACTTAAATACATCATGCAACTATTCTGTAACAATAATAGAATGTTCTATTACAATTGAATTGTTTTTTAGGGGGTCGGGGATAGGGCGTTTTGTGGCGTCTTTTAAATGGGGTGGTGTGATTGTGTTTTTTGAGGGACGACGTGCGACGATAAGCCAGGATGGGGTGGGCGACCCCTAAAGGAGTCTGTTTTTGCGCAGGTAAAAATTAATCTTTTCTCATGGTTATTTCCCTTACCTCTTCTTTCGCTGCTTCCATCACATTTAGCTTCATCGTTGTTTGCGTTTAATTCTTTAGTCTTTAAGTTCCTTTTAAAAATGCATCATAAAGAATTATTTAGAATAAAGTTAAGTGGATCGAGGAAAACAAACATTCTCAGATAACCTCGAGGAGGGGGGGGGGGGGTCTCATTGAGGGTGGGGATTACAAGAAGCCCACCAACGACTCCAGAGGTTGTGACTACAGGAAATTACAGTTAGCGTTAAATTGGAAAATTCTTATACGTGTGGGTTTTTTTTTGTTTAAACTACGTCTCCAGGGTTAATATAAATTGTCCATATAGATCCTTGTGCTGGCCTCTCTATTTCATCTCATTTATGGATTTATTGCTTGCACAGTTAACCTAATATACACATTTCTTTGTACAACACTAATTTGTTTATTAGACCAGAGTAAAATAAATTATTTCATTTAACTAAAACACCTCATCTGTAAACACAGTGAACTTTAGGTAACGAAAAATATGAAACCTAGCTTAAGTTAATCCTGTCTGTATAACACGTCATTAAACCATGCTGATATAACTATCCGGCCTGAGCATCTAGTCGGCCTCAAGCACCGGCATACTAGTGCTGTCCCCGGTCAAATATGCTCTGAGACGCAGACCGATCCATTAACCGCTCTACGTGGCATCCATCTGACCGATCCATGAATACATTCACTGATCAATCAACTGTCATATAAACTGACCAAGCGTGTGACCTGATCGACTCACCAATGACCTTGTAAAACAACAAGTAAATCCAATGACGAAATCTAAGTGACCAGCTCACTGATCAGCTCGCTTACTGACCAGCCCACTGACCGGGTCTCTGACCAGCCCACTAACCAGCCCACTGACCAGCCCACTAACTAGCCCAATGACCGACCCACTGACCAGCCAACTAACCAGCCCACTAACTAGCCCAATGACCGACCCACTGACCAGCCCACTAACCAGCCCACTAACTAGCCCAATGACCGACCCACTGACCAACTCACTGACCAGCCCACTGACAAGCCTACTTATCAACCCACTGACCTTGGCAAATATCTTTCCGACCTTTTAATCATGGTTGATAATGAGGCAAATAGTACTAGGTGCACGTAGTACATCATAGAGCACCCCAGAAACATCGTACGTAACATAGCATCCTCATTTTTTGAGTAATACTGAAAAATGAAATTACACTTTTATTGGTATTAACTAAATTCATTGACTTTAAGTGATACTAGACTACCCGTTATCTAGTTAGATAACTGTGTGTTTCGAGGGTCATCCATAAATGACATCACGTCTGTCACTTATCATCACAAAAGAACCAGACCCCACATTCAAAAAGGCGTCACACTCACACCTCAGACGTTTTTGTCTGTTGAAAACACTGATTTCGTCTGAGCATGCGTCTGACAACATAATCTCTTCATATGCTGAGGTCACAAAAACAGGTTAACTCTACTTCACCTGCCAACTCAGACATGTTTTTGTCTTTGAAAACACAGATTTTGGCTGAGCATGGGTCTGACCACACTATCTCTTCATATTCTGACGTCACAGGTGAACTTTACGCCTACCCAACACTACTTCACCTGCCCAGTGTTCCGCCAAGTCTCAGACAACATGTTTTATCTTTAAAAAAATTATTCCGGCCGAGCACGGCTCTGACCTTACTATCCACGTTATATACTGAGGACAAAGAAACAGGTGAACTCTACTTTACCTGCCCTGTATCCCGCTAAGTTCCAATAGGCAAATGCAACTTTATCATTCACAACAAAAAACAAACAAAAAAAATAAATAAATAAATAAAAATATTCACAATTCCATGTCTCTAACCAGTGCCACCAGCATTGTATCCTAATATGCTAACCTCTTAGCTATCTAGGCTCGTATTTTGCAGTAGGTAATAACTTATATATTTTACTTTTAGTCTGCGTAAGAATCTACGCAAATCGGCCCTAGAATTAGATCTAGAATTATTTCAAATTAAATTTTATCTTAAATTAGCCAATTGTATAGCTAAACAAACAAAGAGGTATATAAAATAATTAAGGCCTGAAATAGATTCTAGATGTAGAATTTACATAAGTCTAGTGACCTAGACCTAGATCTAGATGTAGACTTCTAGATCTAGATCTAGATATCTAGATCTAGATTCATAACTTTTTCTTCCTTCGACAGCTGATCTGTAGATCTAGAGAAATTTATTGTTAAACTAAATGAAAAAGACAGTTGAACATTGATATAAGTGTTAAAACGTAATAAATACAGCAAACGGACGTATTGTTACAGTTATAGCCGACGGAAAATTAGCTTTAGAACGCGTTAAACATTGGAATGGTAACACAATCTTCTTCGATAGAATTGTACTAAAACGTAAACAAATCATCTGACGTCATTATTCACTCAAAGTAAAGTCGTTTTTCTAAACTTTTAAAATTAATTAAACTCAGCCTTACTCAAATTAATCAACTTCATCGAAAAGTCAGCTTCACTTAATTAAGAGATACATCGTCTAACGTTGCATACATCCAAATGTACCTATTAACACAGGCAATTACATCACGTTTTTTTTCCTTTAGCCAAATCTAAAAATTCCGTCACTCATTCCATACTTGAAGCATAAGACCGGCTTTACTTTATTTCATTTTCACGTGTAGGGTAACCCGGGGTAATTCCATACACTACTTTTTAAAAAAAATTGTAAAAAATCTAAAATTAACACTACCACAATATAATATTGAGGGTATAACTAGACATGCATTACTTATATGATGGCAAACAAATATAGAGATAATTCACAAAATAAAATACAATTTTTAAATATTTCACTTTTATTCCAAAAACATGGCAAGTGGGGCAATTCCACACACATTATGAAAATTTTAAAATTAATGTATTTAAAAATGTGTAAAAAACATTTTTCCCCTTGGAAACAATTTTGCATGGGAGCAACCACTCTTCATCAATGGATGAAGAGAAAGCCTCTATTTCTTCCTCCTGAATTCTGCTCTCATCAGTCATAGGCCGAAGTTATTCCTTTATAATTGTGGACCATTCTGAAATAAATACAAAATTAAATGTTAGAAAGTCTAATTAATAATGTGCGTATGGGGATGTTTAGCTCTAAATATTGCATAAATTATAATAAATAATGTAGGTACAGTAAAAATAATAATAGATAAAGAAATAAAAGAAGTCTGTGGCAATTTTACTTAACTTTAATAGCAGAGTCTTTTTAAAAATAAATAGTACTAGATCTAGTACTATTTAAGTATTTTTTAAGATTAAATCATGAGTTGTGAATTACAGAATTAGCCACAACCAGTTAAAATGGTTTAAAATAATAGCTAAACCCTCTAAAAAGTATAAAAAGCAACATGGGACATTCTAAACAATAGTGTATGGAATTGCCCCACACCATGTGTGTGGAATTGCCCCACACCTACTATTGAAAAAAATATGCTTTCCTGTTCTAAATTAAAGGCTGAATCTAGCATCATTAACTGTTACTATTAACAAAAATGATTAAGCTTTCATAAAATCAATAAATAATTGACAACAATTAAAAATAAGACCAAAAAAATTTTTTTTTTAAAAGTGCAGGGGTTGTACTTACCTAAGGATGTTTGAAGATAGATGCAGATAAAATTAAAATTCTTGCTCTTATTGTAGATGAACGCTTCTCTAACAGTATCAGAAAGTACAAGAAATGACCTCTTAGAAACAGGGAATAGTAACTTTTAATTAAACTTTACTCCCATTAAAAATAGAGAGTATCCAGTATATAGTGTGTGGAATTACCCCGTGTGTGGAATTACCCCACCTTACCCTATAATATTATAACTCACTTATTAAAAATAGAGGCTTTTAGTATTCGCGCAATTCTCAGTGCATTAAATGCTAAACTACATGCTTTAACTATCGACCATAATAGTTATGCTTTGTTAATAGAGGCGAACTTTAATTTTGAAAGATATGGAAGTTCCAATTTTACTCACCTCACTATCCTTATCCAAGACTGCAAAAGAAACGAGAAATGCCAAAGTGGCACTACATACTTTTTTTAAAACAGTTAGATCGAATGAAAACGCCAGGACTGTTTCTATCCCCATGTACAGCCTGAGCAGGAGGGGGGCCTCGCATGGTTGGCAGGATGACCTTGACACCTGCTCTGTACAGGTGATGTAACAAGACATGCTTTAGTGTTGGCAAGATGTGGGGGAGTTGTAGAAGCAGTGGTGGTGTGTATGTTGGGGTGGGGGGGGGGGTTTGGCGGAGGCTGGAGAGAGTTGTAAAGTCTTTAAAAGGACACAAGTCTTCCACACTCACGCGGAGACTCGCATGGGCTCCCATGTAATGTGTCGTACACACAAACCACGCTATCGTGGGTGTCAAAACGTGTGTACCGCTACCAATGTAATGTTGTTATACCAGCCTACACCTTCACATTGGGGACCTGTCAAGATGTTATGTCCAGATGTATCTGTAGAGATAGAAGATGTTTGTGTGGAAATCTAGAGAAGAGTTGCAGCTATCAGCTTAGCCCTGTAAAGCCTAGAGACTTGGCTTTCACATGTTAGGGGGCGACCTACTCCCTCCAACGGTGACACCAAACAATATAATTTTTTTAAGTTTTACCATCTCAGAATGTCTGTCTCATTATCTCTGTGTGAAGGTTTGTGTACAATCAAATATTGTAGCTGAATTTGATCAATTTCTAATAGATCAATTTCTTTCAAACTTTCTCCTGTAACATTTTAATAGAGGCGTCCGAGATTGCCCAGTTGGGTTAGATCATAATTGTTGGCTTGGATAAAAACGTGTTTAAAAAAAAGATTTTGCCATCAAAATAGCAGAAAAAAAAACTATTAAAAGAACTTTAGCCTAAAAACAATTCAGAAATTTAATATTTTTAGAATCAATGTTATAAAAGTTGCAAATCCAGAAAACTTAAAAATAATTGTTTGAATTTAAGCTGCATTTCTATTTATTTTCCTCAAGCGTTTGGTATAACCTAAAGTTTCAGTAAGACAAATATTGATTGGCTGTACAGAAACCCCCACTTAAAATATTGTCGATAAGATTTTAAAATGTTTTTTTAAAACCGCACGACCTAGTTCTGCCATTTCCCTTTATATTTTCTGTTTTTGGCTTATAAAAAATTGGTTTAGTTACCGAAAATACCAAAACACCAAATACATCTAATCTTTAGAAAAGTCTGACAAAATCATCACAATTTAGTATTCATAACTATCTTTGTTTTTTATAACAATGGAAAGGATAATTTTTAAATATTTTATACACCATTCGAAATAAATCGTTAGTAATCTCCGCTATACCTTCTCGTATATTCTTTTATAACAGTAAGGGGTATAGCAATTTCAATACAATTCCAGGCACTGGAAATGGTTTTATTTAAATACTTAATTTTTTTTAAAATAGAATAGAATCAAGTAGAAAAAGAACCGCGCACAAAATGAACGAAAACGTTTTGTGCATAATTTAGCGAAATATTAGTGCTAAATAAAGATGAGGCTCGTTACAAACAACTGCTGTCTTGTAGTTTGTTCTTGGCTGGACAAAGGCTATGGAAGCAAATCCAAAAAAAAGCAGGCTGAAATCGGAGTCAATGGCCTCAATGGCGCATAACCAGTTAACCCTTCCAACACTAAAATTAAGAACGAAGAAGAAGTGCTTATTAAAGGAAACTTTGATTAATTTTTAAAAGTTTATTGAACATTTAATAAGTCTTGTCCTAATAGTTAGTTCAAAAGTTGATAAAAATCTACGCAAATAAGCTAATACTAGTATTTGAAATTTGTCTTCCTAGCTTTAATGGTACTCAAATATCAGCTTTTGATATTACGCCATATAGATCTAGTTGATTACGCTATAGTAACCGGAAATCGCTCAAAAGTTGAAAAAAAAACCTATATTTTTTATATAATTTTTATATATGCAATTTGTTCAACATCAATGAAACGGTGCTCAAGTTATCGTCGTGTTCACAGATATACACACAGCAGACAGATAGGATAAGGATGGCAAAACTAAATTTTTACAATAATTTCTCTATTTTCTGTATACCAGACAGTATAAATTCGAGACTATTCAGGGCTGCGTTCATCATTTTTTTAAACAAAAATATCTAGACTAGATTCTAGATCTAATCTAGACTAGATTCTAGATCTAGATCTAATCTAGATTAGATCTAGATTCTAGTGATCTAGTCTAAAATATATAGATCTAGATCTAGATCTAGATCTAGATCCATAATTTTTTACGATGCCTAGAGATCTAGTCTTTCTGCATAAGAAAATAAATCTAGAACAGCGAAGAGGACTCGTACTTTCCTTTATCTGTGTCTCCATTTCTCAAAGCAGAAATTTTATCGAAAGTTGAGCAGCGTCAGCTGATGTTAACAAATATTCTTAAGGTTGAAATCAAGGACGCGCAATTGCGTGCGCGCTATATCGCACGACAATTCTCAAACTAAACTCTTAAGCAGGTGTGCTTAATATGGTGTGCACCTTTCAGTTACTAAACACACAAAATGATGTGAAAGTTATTTTGGTTGTCATGGATACCGGATTGAATATTTGTCAATTTTCAAAATATTTTGGCTTTCAAAAAGAATAAAATCATACCGACCATATTTTACATGCTTATTACTTGTCTTCTTATTAAGAATATTATTAACGAGCCGACCCGCAGCGTATCATACGCCGCTATTTAGTTGTTTTATTTTCTACTTTTCAGTAATTCATAATTTGTGAATTCGACAGTACCAATGCTGCCACTGAAAATATATTTGCTTTAAAACACTTACCCCCCCCTTTCCCCTAACCCCGACCCTACCCCCCCCCCCCCCCCCCCCGTGAAAGCAACCTCCTCTTAGTTATTTCTTAGTTACCTCCTGTAAGTTTAAAATCGAACTAAATTATCTGCCCCTAATAGAAACCCGGCTCTACGGCTCTACGATTTGTAAACATTTAGCTTTGTAAACATTTAGCGTGACCACAGCTCACCACACAATGTGGGGGTGGGGTGGGGGTGGTAGTGATAGTGATAGAGAGAAAGAGAGGGGACTGCAAGGAGGCGCTTGCAGCTTGTTTTCTAACGGCTCCCAGAAGAGAATTATATATATATAGATACTACAAGGCCGCTGATATGATCCTGTAAAGACTAACAATAAGCTTGGGTCGGGGAGGGGGATATAATAACATAAGCCTATTAAATTTGTTTTTTTAAATTACTTAAGTAATTCGATATCGTCGTTAACAAATTTTCGATTGGTGTGCTTTGTAAAAGGTGTGTAAATACAGTGAGATTGCTTGTGAAAATACATTGAGATTACTTGTGAAAATACATTGAGATTACTTGTGAAAGAAAATACATTGAGATTACTTGTGAAAATACATTGAGATTACTAAACCCTTTAACTGTGAACGCTTTCGAACAGACATTGCAGCTAACCACCCATCTAAACACTTTCATTACCCCCTCATACAGTCTCACTGTCCACTCCTGCAGTCTCACTACCCCCTCATAGTCTCACTACCCCTCATACAGTCTCACTACCCCCTTATACAGTCTCACTACCCCCTCATAGTCTCACTACCCCCTTATACAGTCTCACTACCCCCTCATAGTCTCACTACCCCCTCATACAGTCTCACTACCCCCTCATACACTCACTACCCCCTCATACAGTCTCACTACCCCCTCATACAGTCTCACTACCCCCTTATACAGTCTCACTACCCCCTCATAGTCTCACTACCCCCTCATACAGTCTCACTACCCCTTCATAGTCTAACTACCCACTCATACAGTCTCACTTCCCCCTCATACAGTCTCACTACCCCCTCAGTCTCACTACCCCCTCATAGTCTCACTACCCCCTCAAACAGTCTCACTACCCACTCATACAGTCTCACTTCCCCCTCATACAGTCTAACTACCCCCTCATAGTCTCACTACCCCTCATACAGTCTCACTACCCCCTTATACAGTCTCACTACCCCCTCATAGTCTCACTACCCCCTCATACAGTCTCACTACCCCCTCATACAGTCTCACTACCCCCTCATACAGTCTCACTACCCCCTCATAGTCTCACTACCCCCTCATACAGTCTCACTACCCCCTCATACAGTCTCACTACCCCCTCATAGTCTCACTACCCCCTCAAACAGTCTCACTACCCCCGCATACAGTCTCACTACCCCCTCATACAGTCTCACTACCCCCTCATACAGTCTCACTACCCACTCATACAGTCTCACTACCCCCTCATAGTCTCACTACCCCCTCAAACAGTCTCACTACCCCCTCATACAGTCTCACTACCCACTCATACAGTCTCACTACCCCCTCATAGTCTCACTACCCCCTCAAACAGTCTCACTACCCCCGCATACAGTCTCACTACCCCTCATACAGTTTCACTACCCCCTCATACAGTTTCACTACCCCCGCATAGTCTCACTACCCCCTCATAAAGTCTCACTACCCCCTCATAGTCTCACTACCCCCTCAAACAGTCTCACTACCCCCCTCATACAGTCTCACTACCCCCTCAAACAGTCTCACTACCCCCGCATAGTCTCACTACCCCCTCATATAGTCTCACAACCACCTTACTTAAATAGTCCCTTTTTGATCCATTGAATGTTATACTTATTAGTCCAAACCAAGCCAGTCTTCCCCTGAGTTTCTACTCGCCTAGAGAGATTGGATACCACACATTTAGATCATTAGTTTATAGGCGGTACCATATGATAATAATAATATACACAATATACACAACCTGTTAATAATTTGTAAATAAGCTTTTATTCAATATTCTTATTAGAGGAATGTAAAAAACACATTTTTAAAAATAATTTTAAAACTTTATAATAGTTGAAAATCACTGAGATACTTATTTTAAAAAAAAGTAAATTAGCTCAGGTCGATAAGCCTTGCTCATGATACGTGAATAGCCTGCTTTGTTCTTAAGGCTTAGGTTTCATTAGGTTACACACAGTGCTGTAGTTGGGTTGGGTTATGAGTTCATTTAGTTTCGCCACTAGCTGAAATATGATCATCGCCACTAGCTGAAATATGATCATCGCCACTAGCTGAATTATGATCATCGCCACTAGCTGAAATATGATCCGCCATTAACGTCTTGGTTCATCAGGTTGCCGGCCGATTTGTTGTCGCTGACGTCACCATCAGATATGTAGTCGTCGAGTGAGATTTGACTGGTCTTGATGTCCACTCTCTGGTCAGTCCAGCTGAGACAGACACAGGTGCCCCGGGTGATGATCTGAGGGTAGGTAGTCGAGTGCTCCACGCCATCTTCGTCCAGCCACTTCTCCACCATCATGTCCACACATGCCTTAGAGGGGACAAGAAAAAAAATTCCTTTTAACTTATGACTATTTGTGAGTTCATTTGTGAGAAGATGCATTTGTTACGAACACCTTACCTCAAAACCTATTTTAGGTACTTAACTAATGTAGATTACACCCAGTGACTTTTAACGTTTTCATAAAAAGCGGATAAATTAAACAAATGTTATCTCAAAGAAAACATAGTTTGATATGTTATGAATACAAAGGTCTTTATTAGTTGAGCAAGTACGTGGTCTCAGTCCAACACTAAATGGCTAAGTAACGGGAACAGGCTGTTTGTCCGAAAGACATTTGACCTAATGTCATTTGACCGAAAGACATTTGACCGAATGTCATTTGCTCAAAGGCCGGATTCCTGGAGGCTGGTTTGCCCGATAGGGGTCGTCCATAAATGACGTCATACTCGTAAGGGGGAAGGGTCTGTAATTTTGTGACGGTGTGTGATGGGGGGGGGGGGGGGGTGACGTCACACTTTTGCATTAAAAAAAAGCAATGTTAGAAATCGCGTTTTAGAAAACTATTTTAATATATTGTAATAGGAATTGATTAAAATACTCTTTTTGAAAGTTCAGACAAGATTTTAGAAAAATATCGAAGTTTAAAAAAAAAATTCATCTGCAATTTTGAGGGGGGGGGGGCTGTAGGCTGAGGTGTGACGTCATTTTAGGGGGAGGGGAGGTCTGGCTTTTTGTGACGACGTATGACGGAGGGGAGGGGGGAGGTAAAAATCGTCAAAAAAGCGTGACGTCATTTATGGATGACCCCATGCTGCTTGTCCGAAGTCCGTTTTAACAGAAAGACGTTTGCCCGGATGGGACAAATGGCAGTTTGTCAGAACAACAGTATAATATAGGCCTACATTATAAAGTACAACTTCTAAGCGAATTCGTATTTGCCACTTTGATAAATTACATAATTTAAAGCCCACAAAAACGTTAGTATTTTTAACATTTAGCTTTTATTTTTAATAATTAAGAAACTGATGTAATAATGCTCAGAGGCGTTGCGACGGGGGGCGGGGGGTGCGGATCGCACCGGGTGACACCATGTAGGGGGGTGACACCAAGGCAAAAAATAGCGGGGGGGGGTGCAAATCGAAAGTTTGAGGGGAGGGGTGCAAATCGAAAGTTTGAGGGGGTGCAAATCGAAAATGTGTCCCCGGGAAGGGTCACTACGCCTCTGGGGGGTGACACCATTAAGTGCCGCACCGGGTGACACCCGACCTCGCTACGCCAATGATAATGCTATGTTGGATTCATTTTACAAAAGAATGCGGCCCTGTCTATGCAGCGACTTTAGACTGGAATACAGTCCTCATATTTTAATTTCTATTCAACGCATTTGATTTAGACAATAGGTTTCAGTGATTACCTAATGAAGTTATTAATTTGTATATAATATCTAACTTAAATGGTATTTCTTTTTTTGGTTTTTTTTTTGCCTCAGACATGTAATTTACAGCGTCAGTTTGCCTTGAATTCGCTTTAGTATTACAGTTTTCATCATCGGCTTGTAAGGACTGTTACAGATTTACTTTTGACTTCTTAGTTTGCTCCATCTTCACTGTGTAGCCAGGATAAATGGTATTTCTTTTGTTTCAAATACCTTTTTTTTACTTTCTCGTATATACAAAGTATAGAGAAAGTCTTATAAACGTGCAAAAAAAGAATTTGAGATTTGGACGTTTTACAGCCCACTGAGTCGGAAAAACATAGTTTTGCAATCTTGTCCGTATGTCTGTGTATGTGTGTGTGTGTGTGTGTGTCTGTAAACACAATAACTTGAGTGCCGTTACAGCTAGGTTGATGAAATTTCATATATAAGTGTCTTATCAAATCAGTATATCCGTATCATTCCTTTGAGCCCATTGGGGCGAACGGCCTTAGGGCATTTGGCTTTAAGCTAGTTGTTACTTTCGGGCATTTGGCTTTAAGCTAGTTGTTACTTTCGGGCATTTGGCTTTAAGCTAGTTGTTATTTTCGGGCATTTGGCTTTAAGCTAGTTGTTACTTTCGGGTATTTGGCTTTAAGCTAGTTGTTATTTTCGGGCATTTGGCTTTAAGCTAGTTGTTACTTTCGGGTATTTAGCTTTAAGCTAGTTGTTACTTTCGGGCATTTGGCTTTAAGCTAGTTGTTACTTTCGGGCATTTGACTTTAAGCTAGTTGTTACTTTCGGGTATTTGGCTTTAAGCTAGTTGTTACTTTCAAGTATTTGGCTTTAAGCTAGTTGTTAGTTTTGGGTATTTGGCTTTAAGCTAGTTTTTACTTTCGGGTATTTGGCTTTAAGCTAGTTGTTACTTTTGGGTATTTGGCTTAAAGCTAGTTGTTACTTTCGAGTATTTGTCGCATTCAAAAAAGCATTGATTCAGGTTAACAGTGTTCGGGCTAGCGTCTTAGTCTTAAGGCCCCTGTCGCGGAAGTCTAAATAAAGTTACTAACATTTAAAATACAACTGCACTACAACAGAGACAAGTTGTTAAACATTGTTTATTGTGTTAGCCTAAATATATGACTTAAAATAGAATGCGTTTCGTTAGTTGACAAAAACCAAATAATCAAGAGGGACAACTCACTTTTTCTTCTGGCTTAAGAACTCCGCCATCTTCGACAAGTTGAAAAACCTCATGTAAGTTTTCAATATCCACACTTTGCCTGTGTGTATAAAGTCCTTTAAAGTCAACACGGACTTTTCCTATCGGAAGGAGAAATGTATGTGTGTTGCTGGTTCAAAGAGCAGAAGCATGTTTTTCTTTAAATTAAAAAAAAACTTTATTGTACAAATAAATGCATATTTTTTATTATTAAGCTAGAAAGTTGTGTCTGACCTGCCGGGTTCGACAAAGTGGTTCGAATCTCAAACTCAAATGCAAAGCACTCTTGTCTCGCTAACAGCTGAGCATGGGCTCGAGACAGTGGCTCAACTTCAACCTGTGAAAAATTAGCTCGGTGAAAAACGTCTTCAATGGTGTTCGCTTTGTAAACATCGTAAAATAGCAGGTTGAACTTTCTGGAAAACCTAAAACATACCTGTGTGTTGACTCGCCAGGTGCGAATCTCTTCGAAAACACGGCCTTTGATCTCATTCAGACAGAGCTGTATGTCTTTGTCCATCGGAAAATGAGGGATTTGAGGGAGGTTTATTTGGACACACACCTACAATGTATTATACATACATAAATAAATAAATAAATAAATAAATAAATAAATATATATATATATATATATATATATATATATATATATATATATATATATATATATATATATATATATGTATATATTTATATTTAAATATAAAGCCATACATACACACACTCACATATATATATATATATATATATATATATATATATATATATATATATATATATATATATATATATATAATTGCTTCTTAATTAACAAGGGTGTACGAGAAATTCTTTTTTTTCTCAAAACATTGATTGACTTAGCAGGTCTTGCGGGGCTCCCAAGATATATATACATAAAATTATATATATATATATATATATATATATATATATATATATATATATATATATATATATATATATATATATATATATATATATATATATATATATATCACTTACCAAAACTACCATTCACTATTTTCTATTTCTGGCTCTTGCCTGTTTGTCGACCGTGTAACATTGTTCCAGGTACACCTCCATCCATGTTGTTGTGTCACGTGATCCTCTGAAAGTATTGCTCTGTTTGATGTCGGATTCATTGTCCAGGTAACACGACACGAGCGTCACCCATTTTGTTCCTGATGTGAAATAAAAACACTTGCTCATTTGTTTTGACAAAGTCGACATAAGTTAGCAATAACATTTTGTACCGACTTATATACGTAAATCGTTTCCCCAGAACCAGACTACTGAGTTGATTTTTAAATGATGTTCACAACATGTCTTTTAAGTTTTCGTTTACTTAACATTCTTTTATCATAAATCAGTTTAGTTTTAAATCATGTTTTAAGCGATTGCTAGTTCTTTTAATCGACGTGCATCACCCCCCCCCCCCCTACACGTTCCATTAAAATTTTGTCGACCAATTTAGTATGAGGTTTAATTTGATAATTATGCCGGTCCTTTATTAATGACTAGCCATCGGTACCCGTTTCACATGAATTATAGGCCTATATATTTTTAATGTTATACTTGTTTGAAACAATTATTTTATAAAATAGTTACTGATCAAAGCGCAATGTGCTTTACTACACGTTGAACAATATTATTGACAAAGCAAAGATTAGCCTAAAATTCCGACTCAATTAAAATAACATAGACTACCAATACCTATTAGAAAAATTAAAACCAAATTATATACGTATTAGTCGACACATATCAAATCCACACACTGATTAAAAGACTTAAATGATTCCGTTAAAAATTCGGCTGTTCAATGGTATTTATGTTGTTTTTTAAAGTTATTTGTATTATTTTGGCCGAGAAAATTGTATACATTTCATAGCTCACGTTTTGATATAGATCTAATGGGTCATCCATAAATGACGTCACGCTTTTTAAGACGATTTTTACCTCCCCCCCTCCCCTCCGCCACACGTCGTCACAAAAAGCCAGACCCCCCCCCCCTTAAATGACGTCACACCTCAGCCTACAACCCCCTAAAAATTGCAGTTGATTTTTTTTGAAACATCGATATTTTTTCCAAAATCTTGTCTGAAAGATGTCAAAATAGAGTATTTTAATCAATTCCTATTACAATTTATTAAAACTGTTTTCTAAAACGCAAAATAAAGTCTACAATTCGTTTTGTAACATTTCTTTTCTATAAAGCAAAAGTGTGACGTCGCACCATCTGAACCCCCCCCCCCCCCTCCCCCTCATCACACATCGTCACAAAATTACCGACCCCCCCTCCCCCCTACGAGTGTGACGTCATTTATGGATGACCCCTAAATCAAATTTGAATGAAATAGTTCATTTCTTTATATTTCTAAAATGGAAGATGACGTCATTAGTTTTGTTTAGTTTAAACATGTGACGTGTGACGTCATTGTTTTTAGCGTTCTTGTCAAAACAATAAACACTTTTCTGGTTGCATAATTAAAAATTAGTTTCTTCATTTGAATATGCCTTTATTTTTATTTACCTTTTTTAAATAAAATTTAGTTTATACATTTAAAACATCCAACATATTATTTTCAACAAAAGTTCGTATTTTTTAAAGTTCTCCATATATCGCTGAACATACTGATCACATAGCCTCAATAATGTTGGGGACAGATAGATAGATAGATAGATAGAGAGAGAGAGAGAGAGAGAGACGTGTACACATGGGCTTTTATATATTAGGATCCAAAGATGTGACACGGGTAATTCAAGTCACCAAAAATGTTGTTAGATTTTCTGGAAAGTTGTTTTTAACATGATGTCATTTTTTATATACAATAAAAATTGTATTAGTTCAATACATTAAAACTGCATCATTCGTCTTTGATTTAAATGTGTGTGAGCACTTTGGGCCCTAAGTGAGTCAGCCCCTCCCCAACTCCTAACACAATTTCGCTGTTCGATCTCATTGTAGTTTTTCGCAGGCATTTTAATTTCAACTCCATATTCTGCGATTTAAAGAAATTTCATAGAAGTAGACTATACTTAGATATATGATTAATTTATTTTAACCAATCACCTGCTTGTATTCCCCCCCGGGTGGTTTCAAACACAGTTCCGTCCTTGACCATGATGGGAATAAACTTGGTGACCTTGTGCTCAAAGGTCAGTGCCGCCCAGTCCACCTGACAGGTGTAACTTTTCTGGTACTTGATCATATTGTCTTCCATAATATATGCTTCCCTAAATGAAATTAATTTTTAAAAGTAACGCCATGAAGTATTAACTATGATTTAGTAAATATGTTTTGTATAGTGATGCAGTAAATACATTTGTATCATGCCACCTTAGATGTATAAATAGTTTTATACAAAAGAAGAAGCTAATAGTAGATGTATGCACATACACATAGCAATGAACCTAGTATATTATTTTGAAATTCTGTAGTTAGTTTTGAATCTTTTCTTAAAAACACTTTTGTAATCGAAACGTATTTTTTTCATGTTATCCATTCTGCTTTTGCTTTTTGAAAACTCTCAAGATTGCATAGTTGGAAAATAATGCATAAAAATGATTTTATAACAAGCTTTATGCAATAATGCACTAAAAAGATAAAATAAATAAATAATAGTGAATTGCTGATTAAAATAACTGAAGAAGAAAAGCGTTGGTCGGTGTATTATGTATTAAATATCTTTACTAGAATTTAAGAAGCGACCCACGCTTTTATTTTTAGTAACTTAAATAGTAGTTCTTTTTTAAATATTCACAGAAAACCATAGTAGGCCCCTATTTTATTATATATAAAAACAAATCGCACTAAATTAACAAGAAAAATGTGCTTATAATAGCGCGGTAAATATTACTTTGTATTGGAAATATTAATTATTTCTTTAAAAATTAATTAAGAATCCAATTAAGTCAAATTTGATTTCAGATAGCATTGTCATTGGGTCTTGACTAACGTGGCAATTTTCAGAGAATTGGGCAGTTAGAAGTGGTCGAAATTTGGCCAGCCAGTTTCGATCCATGACGCCAGACAGACAGGGGAAGTAAGTTAAATGAAAGCTTGTAATAACGCTCTTATGATACTCTGTATACTCTGTATGATACTCTGTATGATACTCTGTATGATACTCTATATGATACTCTGTATGATACTCTGTATGATACTCTGTATGATACTCTGTATGATACTCTGTATGATACTCTGTATGATACTCTGTATGATACTCTGTATGATACTCTATATGATACTCTGTATGATACTCTGTATGATACTCTGTATGATACTCTGTATGATACTCTGTATGATACTCTGTATGATGCTCTGTATGATGCTCTGTATGATACTAATACTCACTTATACAGAATTATCCATGCGTAACGCCGGATGACATCATCCAGATTAAGGATTGGACTCTTCTTTAAGTTCTTATCTATTAAGAGAGCGTGTAGACATTATATAACATGAAAGACTTGGTGGGTTTTGATTTTTTTTAATCGTTGCGAATAGAGTGATATAAAGTAATCTATGTATATTTTATTAAGGCTCACCGGGCTTAGAGGTTTCAATATGGACAACAGGCCTCACCGTCGAAATCTCAGAATCTGCAATATGTTTAACATCAACATGTAGATGTTTGTAGAGAACAATGTTCTTGATATAATACATGTATAAACCAATTTTTTTACGACTATCTCGAATGTAAAAATACAGCATAAAAATTCAAATGGGGTAGTTTCGCCTAACTTTTTCTATGCTTGTAGGAAGCAGTCAACATAAATTAAAACATGGCATTCATATAAATGATGATTAGTTTAAAATTACTCAATTCATTAACAAATAAGGAGATCTAAGGTGTAATTACTAGCAATTCTTAGATCTGCCTGATCTGTTTTTATGACTTAAAGCTTACGACAGAAGTTATAATGGGACAGTTAATAGTCTTTTTAATATTGCAATCTATGATGGAATTGTAAGGTTAATATGTTAGTTATAAGTAGTTTTGACTGCATTAAAAATTAGAGGAGTGCGAAAAATAGTATTTTATTTATTTAAAATAAAACAGAACAAATATTGAATTTGTTATAGTAAAAAACTTAATGGCAATGGCCTTCTTCTCATACCATATAACTTCTTCGCCCGCCCAAGACGTATCGCTTCCATGTGCATTTCTTTAAGTTGCTCTTCTGTATAAGCTCTAGAATTTTATCATTACATGGGTTTAGACCATCAAGGGCGGATTAAACTTCACCTGCCCCCCCCCCCTCACCCCTTGGTGGAAATATTTTGAGAACCCCTAATTTATATATATATATATATATATATATATATATATATATATATATATATATATATATATATATATATATATATATATATATGTGTGTGTGTGTGTGTGTGTTTGAATGTGTGTGTGATTGTGATTGTGTGTGTGTGTGTGTTAAATTATAAACAGTTTAACAATGAGTAAACAAAGGCTGATGAAAATACGCAAGTATTCCAAGAAGATAGGAAATAAAATGTACACTGCTGGAGGATTTAGCAGAAGAATTTATACACGCTTAAGTTTTTATTCACTTCTCTCTCTTAGTAATATCTATACGACTGAAGGTTGGATACCCGCACAAACGTGTGGGGAAAAAACTACTTTGAATCCATCAGGAAACAAAGAAATGATTTGGTCTATATTGAACATGCAATTAAAACAGACCATACATGAATGTTTGAAAAGCCCTTGTGTCGTGGACAGCATACAAAAGAAAGCAAATGTTATCTTAAACCACCCTACGAGAAACAAGCATGGATATTTCCAGGATATTTAAACACTAGCAATAGATCGCGTTGACTGACAAAAAAGCTCAATTAGTGTAGCGACGCTGCTGTCTAATTGTTTACTGAGACTCAAACATATTTAGGTTGTGATTGTAAAATTGCTTGAAGAAAATAAAAAAATTAGACAGGAGGATAATATTAAAGTACAACTTCTGTTACTTGACGATTATGAAGCATGGATAAACTTGTTACTCCTGATATTACAACTACAGTGTTTTAAATTCGTGTTTGATTATTAAAAAATCGTAACTATACAAAAATTTGATTCAGATAACAAAATTTTAAAACATCTCTGCTTACCTTTTCTAAATAGGCCTACTGTTGTAAATATGTTAGAATTATAGTGTTCGTTGTTTAGATCCAATGGAAGAGGCACAGGATTATATAATAGACTTTGTAATATTTTAGTATGTGTTCTGAGTCCTTTAAACATTAGCAGATATGACAAAGTAAGTTAGCCTGTTATATAGGTTAAGTGAGACAAATCAAAAACACATTTTTTTAAAAGTGAGACTAGCTCACTCACCTGTGCAAGTAGTTCGAAGATCGTATACTGTCACGCACTATAGCGATTACTAGCTTTGTGTGTAGCAGCATTAGTATAAAGAAAAGGGGTGTCCCACACATTGCTTTGTAAAAAAAATTCTTGGGCTAAAATTTAAAAAAAAAACATGTCAATATATTTTAACCCAAATCCTTCACTATCCTGCTTAAACGTAATTATTTTTTAAACTCTCGGTTTTGTCTGTCATTCAAAAGTCAGGTATATTTCAACCACTGAGCTTTGTTTTAACAATGAGCGTTATTTTAACCACAAACTAAGATTTCACCGAACTGCATTGATTGTAAGATGCTCTGCTATCAAGAGTTTTTATTCCAGAGCTGTCTAAAATGTCCATTAATCCATTGTTGCAGTTTTCAATTTTTTCCCCTTACTTTACATTCTTTGTGTGTTCAATAGACCCAAATAATTAATCTAACACACCATTTGAGAGCTTAATAAAAATAAATGTGTTCCAACTTTACTCACCCCAACAGATTCCAAAATCAAGTTGACCTCAAAGCACGGTAGCGCAATTAAAAAAACCGCTCCCACGACAGAGAATCCATGCAGCGAAAACATCTTCACCTCAACGCTCTCTAACCATGAGCTTACAGGCCAGCTAGTCGTCAGAAGAATCCGGAGTTAAGTGTAGGTGAGGACTCAGGGAGTAGGACTGTGTGTGTGTGAGGGAGGGGGTTGGTGTGTAAATGCTGGGGAGGCTATATGGAAGTATAGTGAAGCCATATCGTCTGTCTGTGATGTAGTTTATTGACACACGTCTGCGTCCTCTACATAGTAATTGGTGACTCGAATTTACTTTCTCCCATTGTAGGTGATTACAAAAGCATGCCTTCCCTCATTGCTGTTGTTGACACGAACCTACTTTCTCTCATGGTAGGTAGTGACACGAACCTACTTTCTCCCATGGTAGGTAGTGACACGAACCTACTTTCTCCCATGGTAGGTGGTGACATGAACCTACTTTCTCCCATGGTAGGTAGTGACACGAACCTACTTTCTCCCATGGTAGGTGGTGACACGAACCTACTTTCTCCCATGGTAGGTGGTGACACGAACCTACTTTCTCCCATGGTAGGTGGTGAGACGAACCTACTTTCTCTCATGGTAGGTGGTGACACGAACCTACTTTCTCCAATGGTAGGTGGTGACATGAACCTACTTTCTCCCATGGTAGGTGGTGAGACGAACCTACTTTCTCTCATGGTAGGTGGTGACACGAACCTACTTTTTCTCATGGTAGGTGGTGACACGAACCTACTTTCTCCCATGGTGGGCGGTGACACGAACCTACTTTCTCTCATGGTAGGTGCTGACACGAACCTACTTTCTCCCTTGGTACGTGTTAACGAACATCTGCTCTTGGGTGTCATGATTGTGTCACCAGACCCTGTTAGCCAGGGGTCTCATCAGATCCCTGTTAGCCGGGGGTTTCACCACATGCATGTGGTGGTCTACTACGTCGCCGTTTTTGTGGTACAACAGCACCATGCTTCACCACTGTATGTAATTGATTGTTCTAGGAAAATGGGGGGGGGGGGGGGGGAGAGGCTTAGGGTTGGGATGCTGTACAATCAGAGACTGTACAATATCGCCGCATAACACCATTGTGTTATCAAACACGACAGACAAGAGGAAGCAAGTTAAATAAAAGCTTGTAAAAAAAAAAATGCTTTTTGTCAATGTCAACAATAATGATCGAGTCCCTTTCGACTGTCAGCATTCAACAGCCAAAGTCAATAGAGCTGGGTCTACGCTACAGTCAAGATTTAAAAGAAAAGTGAAGGAAGAACAAGCCTCTTACGTGTCTTATTCAATCTATTTGTTTCCTTCGTTTAGCAAGAAGTCAATGTACACGCAATAGATGTGGACTCTGGAAAGAAACGAATATATAAGGGTGTAATCATCGACGCGCAATAACGTGCATACTGTTTTGCACTTTGTTGACGGGAATTCCCGTACCAAACTGTCAAGTTGGTGTGTTTAATTTGGTGTGTATGTGTTTGGCGTTGGGGTGGGGGGGGGGGGGGGAGCTGTGAAAATGTATGCAAACCTCGTATGTCCGCTTAAGGCGAAATGCTCTATTTTGTTACTGTTTTCCATTAATACATTAAACAAACTTCTAAATCCGACTTTAGTGGCATGATAGAAGTACTAAGCACGATAAAAATTTATTTTTAAAAAATAATTATATCTGACGTCATGAAACCTGAAAGTACGATTCATTTAGATTGGGCTCAAGCGAGAATAATCTCGAAATTATTCAAAAGGCTCATTAAATATTTAAAAAATCAAACACGATGTTATTTAAATTAAAAAAAAATTAAAACTCTGTTTGATATTTGTTGGACTTTACTAAATATTTGATACATTTGATGTTTTTAGCATTTTGTAACTAAGGAAACTTAAAAACTTTATCGGCAAAGTTTTGAGAAAAAATTAACATGCAGTTGAGTTTTCAGAATACTAATCACTGATTGCATGTACAGCTAATTAATGTTTGTCTAACGAAAGTGAAACTTCAGTTCTGACATTGGTTAGATGAAAATAAAAAAAAATATAGCCTTAAATTCAAAGAAAACATGTTTAAGTTTTCTGCATTTGCAACTTTTATAACATTCATTATAAAAATATTAAATTTGTGAATCATTTTCAGACTTGCAATTTTTAAAATATGTTTATGCTACTTTAATTGCAAAACGAAAAAAACACGTTTTTTAAAATTCATTTCAACAATAATAATGGAATTATTATTGTTGACTCGCGTATGTCTATTGATGTCAATTTGAGCTATCCTGGTACTTTTAAAATTTGTCAAATTTGTCATTACAACCACCATATTTAACAGACTAGTAATGGAATATTTATTGATTGTTAACATTTGAGTTGGGGGCTAATGATATTTTAAAGTTGTTTTTTCTTTAAAGAATTTCTATAACAATGTAACATAACTAATATTTCTGAAATTAGTAGGATGTCCCACTACTACTATTCAGCAATCTTATACGCGCATTATCATGTTCATTTGGTGCGCCATAGTTTTTAATCATGAAACTCTATTGTATTAAAAAATGTTAAAGTACTGAAAAAATATGCATAAATAAATCAGGAGTGATCTCCACTTACCTATCTCCAATATTCTTATATAACAATACGGAGGTGGCAACTCGAAATATAGACATGCTTTTTAATCCATTTTTACAAACGTTTAAAAATAGAATAGAATCTTGTAGAAAAAAAGAATTGCGCACCAAGTGAAAAGCGTAAAGTGTGAGTATAATTCATGTGTTTTTTGAGAAATCGGATACAGCGTTAAGTACTACTACCGGTCAACGGAAATTACTCAAAATTTGACAGGAAACAAAGAATTCGATAATTTACGTATGTATGAAAAAATCTAATATAGGCCTATCTATTAGACAGGGCATTCAAGTTATAGGCTTTTCAAAAACCAAGGAGAATAAGTTCCACTTCCGGTTACTGGAAATCGCTGAGACGTTGATGCAGAACTACATAAATATGACATTTCATCAACCAAGCTGTAACGGTACTCAAGTTATCGTGTTTACAGACACACACACTGACGTACGGACAATATTGCAAAATTAAGCTTTTCTGATTCGATGACGCGTAATGTGCGAAGATTTTGATAAATCTGGATTTAGAATTTTTGCCCGATTAAAATATTACCCCTATACTCGTTTTTGATGAAGTACTGAGGTGTAAAACGGTAAAAACTATCAAAATTTCATGTGATTTTCGTGAACGATTACAATACTTCCACTATACTCTGTTTTAATAACAAACTTTTTTTTTAAATAATGCACTAAAATGAAAAAAAAAATAAAGGATTTTCTGTAAATATATATTACACTACTATTTAAATAACTAAAAAAAGCGTGTGTTGGTGCTTTAATTCTAGGAAAGGTATTCAATACATAATATAGCGAGCCACACTTTCCTTCTTAGTAATTTTTTCTTCGTTGCTTTAGAAGCATTAAAATGAATGTGAATTGTAAAAATCACAAGATGAAAGAAAACTGTCGTAGGCTAAGTGTAAGAAAATTATCTTTCCTTTACATTATACACAAACATAAGTGTCTCAATGTTTTGCTCTATATTTTCGTCTTGGTGTCATCCCCATCATATCGGGCGAGACACCCTGTCGCCAATGATGTGTTTAATTATAGTGAATTAATTATCTCACTGGAAAAGACAAAGTTTTCTTGGTAAATTGAGTTTTGTTCTTGTTACTCAGTCCATGAAACTTAAACAATATTACTATCCAGATCTGAAATATCGATGTCATATTAACTGTTTCTTTACATATCTGAATACCTAATATTTAAAGTAAAAAATTATTGCACAGACACGTTTTATTATTTAATGAACGCAATTTATTTTTTAATTATTATTAACTTAGAATACAATCCAATTATTGATGTAATTAAATAGGGAACAAAATATATTTTCAAATATAAAAAATAGTATGCACACAAATACTATTTTGTTTATCCACGTTAAATTTTTTTAAATTTTAAAACAGCTATAACTAGATTTGGTACTAATTAGAAATTTTTTTTTTCTATAAACAATATTAAATGGTGTAAATTGAGTGATTAGAGTAAGGCTAGAGCCTAATTACGATAACAAATAGATTGGGGAAGGGAGTTTAATTTCTTTAAAATGTAGCATCAATAACAGCATTTATTTTAAACCATGTCTGGCTGATCGACGAAAACAAATGAGTCGACGCTTGGGTCTTCTTCAGTGTGACAGAGGGGCGTCTTGTTCATGTTGTGGTCCCCATCAGAAGTGGACTCGTCCATCGACAATGGACTGGTCTTGATGTCCACTCTCTGGTCAGTCCATCTAAGGCAGATACACGTGCCCCGGGTGATGATCTGGGGGTGGTAGGTCATATGCCCCACGCCATCTTTGTCCAGCCACTTCTTCTCAATCAGCTCCACACACCTCTGAAAGGGGGGGGGGATAAAAAATAGTAAAGTGAGTTTTTATGGAGAGCGTAGAGTGATGAACGCACACACACACACACACACACACACATATATATATATATATCTTCTTCTTCGTTCTTAATTTTTAGTGTTGGAAGGGATCGAGCCTTATCTGCCAGAGGGTTTTAACCCGTGACTTTTTTTTTAATCAACCATGAGCTTTTTTTGCCGACTCGACCACGCCTCCATCACAATCAAGGATACGTGTCAACTGGTTTTGCGCCATTGAAGCCATTGACTCCAATTTCAGCCTGTTTTTCTTTTTGGATTTGCTTCCATAGCCTTTGTCCAACCAAGAACAAACTACAAGGCAGCAGTTGTTTGATTTTGGAGTTGTCTCTCCTAGAAGAGTCGCTGTCCCCAGCTAACGAGCCTCATCTACCCGGGGGTTCGGACTCGAGACTTTTCGGTTTAGCAACCATGAGCTTTACCGACTCGACCACGCCGACCCCTCATTGTTAAGGGGTGAAATCGTTGTCCCAAATCTCACCACTCTCCTCTGAAGCATTAATCAAGGTAGACAAATCACCTTTTCTTCCGGTTTAAGTACTCCGCCGTCTTCCACAAGCTGAAAAGCCTTATCTACGTCTTCGACGTTTAACGCGAATGAGACATTTCTGGTCTTGTGTTTAAAGATTACCGGTACTGCACCTGTTGAATACAATCAATTTAGTGATTTAATTAGCTGGAACACATTTTATTAACACACTGTATTAACTCAAACTTAATTTTTTGAATTTCTAATGATTGTTGATTTTCAGAACTGGAGAGTTTCAGTTTTACCTTTAGGAATCGACAAAGTGGTTCGAATCTCAAACTCCACGACAGAGCACTCTTGTCTCGCTAACAGCTGAGCATGGGCTCGAGACGATGGCTTCACTTCAATCTGTGAAAAATAGTTCGGTTAAAACAACTTTTAATGCCCTTATGTAGTAAACAATGCGTTTACAGAAAAACATGGATACGCACCTCCGAGTTGATCTCCCAGGTGTGAACCTCATGGAACATTTCACCTTTGACCTTGTTGAGACTGACGGTACTTTCGGCGCTAAAATAATGTGGGATTTGGTGGAGGTTAAAGTGGACATGCACCTGTAGGTAAATATCAATGTAAGTAAAAAGCATTAACAAAAGTTACGTGTACATGAGTAAATGAAAAAGGGTGCATACGTGAGTGTGGGTTATGGGCATGTGCATGAGAAGGAGTTTATATATATATATATATATATATATATATATATATATATATATATATATATATATATATATATATATATATATATATATATATATATATGTATATATGTATAATTTTTTTACTAATTAAGATGTCATGTACCAAAGACTAAAATACACCATAGCAAATTACTTAGGATGATATATTTTGAATTGTTGGCCACTACCTCTTTGTTGACCGTGTAACATCGTTCTAGGTCCACGTCCACCCACGTTGTCGTGCCTCGTGATCCTCTAAAAATGTGACTTTGTTTCATTTTCGATGCGTTGTCATAACAACTGGACCAAAGCGTCACCCATTTTTGACCTGTTGTGAATACATGTGTCTTGAAGATGTATTCCACACATGTTTTTAATGTGTACACTAGCTGCTAAGACAATGCTGCCTGGCATGTCTTGCCTAGCATATAGATGAGCCAGTATTTCTGACGTGTGGTGCTCTATCATCATCATTTCCCGTTTGTGGGGCTCTATATTGGCACCGAAATTTGTTCCGGCTACAGGTTTAGCCCTAACTTTATACTTTTAATAAGGAAATACGTGAAATAGTAAAGGAGATTATGTTAAGAAACAGAGTAGACGAAGATTTGTATATTTTTGTCGCAAAAACTATATATCAGTAGTAGTTTTTTTTTCACAAATGACGCTATCCCCCCACTCCTGCCCCCCCCCCCCTCCCCCCAATTATGCATATCTAGGTTGTCGCGTAGGGGTTGGTCTTCATCCGGGGGCATAATATTCTGCCACGTTATAAACCTGGAGCTAAACCGAAGTGTAAATAAGATAAACACCCCAATGAATATAATAATGTCAAGCTGGCTAAATTGACAGTAAGACGCCCCCACCACCCCACACCTGTTGTGGTAAAGTTAAATAAAATCACCTGTTTGTAAGTCTCCTCGGGAGGTTTTGATCACAGTTCCGTCCTTGACCTTTGGAGAAAACTTGGTGACCTCGTGCTTGAATGTGAGGGCCGTCCAGTCCACAATGCAAGTAAAGTCTTTCCTGTCAATCTCCAGACAATATCTTTCGAGCGGGCTAGAGTGTCTAAATATTTTAATAGCAAGGTACTAAACGTAATTTTTAACAGTGTGAGTTAATACTACGTTAAATAAAGAGAAGGGTCTGTTAAATTTTATGTTGCAAGCAAAATTTATGAAAAATATTGAAATAGCTGATCTTCTAATCCTCATCCATACCCTGAGGAATAAAACACTATTCGATGTTACAATTGATCGGTGTTTGTTTTGAAAACTCTCTAAATTTAACAACAGAAAGAAAGGTTTTGTTTAGTACTCACTCTAGAAGCTTCCTCCAGGCATAACGACGAATAACGCTATCCAGTTTAAAGTTGAAAGCTGAAAATGTTTTTAAAAAAAGATCAGTTGATAGAACATGCGTCTTTTATGTAAAAATTTTCATTAGTTACAATTCTAGTGTGTGTGTTCTGAAGGGGTGTGGGTGCGCTTGTTTGTGGCGTTATTTGAAAAGGATAAAGTCAGTGGCGTAGGCAGGGGGGGGGGTGGGGGGTAGGGGGTCATAACCTCCCCCTTAGACCACTCGGTATATATATAAAGTATGAGGGGGGGTGCAAATCAAAAGTCTGAGGGGGGATACAAATCGAAAGTTTGTCCCCGGGTAAAAATTGGAACCCCCCCCCCCTCTTGAGACGATCCTGGCTACGCCACTGGGTAAAGTGTCTGCTATTTTTGTGTGACCACGAGAGACGATAAGGTGTGCGACCGCTTGATGAGTCTAGTTTGGCGCGTGTGCAAATTTTTTTTTTTTAATTTCTTTTACCTCTTCTTTTTACGTCTCCAAGGAATTTATCTGGCACGTTCTCTGTGTTCATTTCTTTACTCAAGTCCCTTTTAGAATGACATCATTGAAAATATTTAGAGCATGCTTTAAGTTAAGTGGATCAAGAACAAACATTTGCTTGAAAATAATGGGCGGCTTCTATGTGCGGCGTTTTTTTAGCGTGTGGATCTAAGTCCCAGCTCTTGGGGTCTTGCTCTAGAAGGATTTCCGCGACAAACACATAGGTTGTCCTTATGAATATGTCTGCTCTAAAAACATATTCTGCGTTAAATTTAAAAAATTCATAAAAAACGTTTGTTTTAATAACAAGCTTTTATGTAATGATGCACTAAAAAGTAGAAAATAAATTATAGACTACTATTTAAATAACTATAAAGAAAAGCGTGGGTCACTTTAGTATCTATTGGATACCTTTACTAATGTTATGGAAGACACCCACGCTTTTCTTTATAGTTATTTAAATAGTAGTCTATAATTTATTTTCTACTTTTTAGTGCATCATTACATAAAAGCTTGTTATTAAAACAAACGTTTTTTATGAATTTTTTTTTCAGTACTTTACATGTTTTATCTACAATAGAGTTACATGACTAAAAACCATTGCGCGCCTACTGAATATCACGTTCAGTAGGCGCGCAATGGTTTTTGAACGCAGCCATTACGTGGTCGTGATGGCGCAGCTATTGATGACGCGTGTGGTGTGGTTGGCTAGACATGCCTACTAATTCGGTCCAAATTTTAATTAATTCATAAAAAATCAATTAGGCATCCAATTAAGTCAAATTTAGTTTCAGATTGCATTGTCTTCATGTCTTGACCCACGTGCCAACTGTGAATCGTGTCGGTCAAGTAGAACTGTCCGAATTTTCACTCATGCGTTTCCGTCTGGACTGACGACAGAGGAAGTGAGTTAAATAAAAGCTTGTAAAAAAAATTGTATGTGTTGTTTTTTTTAAGCTTTGTTCGTTGGTGGTAAAATGTCCTTATAGGTCCTAGTAATTACAGCTCTGTTAAATATCTCATATTGATTTATTCCTAGCCTGTCAACAAACTAAGCTGTTTATTAGACCAGAGTAAGGTAAATTATTTCTTTGGAACAACCACAATAAAATACAAAACTCGAGAGCTTAAGTTGATTCACTCGAGAGCTTAAGTTGATCCACTCGAGAGCTTAAGTTGATCCACTCGAGAGCTTAAGTTGATCCACTCGAGAGCTCAAGTTGATCCACTCGAGAGCTTAAGTTGATCCACTCGAGAGCTCAAGTTGATCCACTCGAGAGCTTAAGTTGATCCACTCGAGAGCTTAAGTTGATCCACTCGAGAGCTCAAGTTGATCCACTCGAGAGCTCAAGTTGATCCACTCGAGAGCTTAAGTTGATCCACTCGAGAGCTCAAGTTGATCCACTCGAGAGCTTAAGTTGATCCACTCGAGAGCTCAAGTTGATCCACTCGAGAGCTCAAGTTGATCCACTCGAGAGCTCAAGTTGATCCACTCGAGAGCTCAAGTTGATCCACTCGAGAGCTCAAGTTGATCCACTCGAGAGCTCAAGTTGATCATCTCGAGAGCTCAAGTTGATCCACTCGAGAGCTCAAGTTGATCCACTCGAGAGCTCAAGTTGATCCACTCGAGAGCTCAAGTTGATCCACTCGAGAGCTTAAGTTGATCCACTCGAGAGCTCAAGTTGATCCACTCGAGAGCTCAAGTTGATCCACTCGAGAGCTCAAGTTGATCCACTCGAGAGCTCAAGTTGATCCACTCGAGAGCTCAAGTTGATCCACTCGAGAGCTCAAGTTGATCCACTCGAGAGCTCAAGTTGACTCTGCTACAATACTTGTTCAGGGCACGATACACTCAGGGCCTGTTCATACGATTGGCCACTGGTCCAGCTTAGTAATAAAAAACTGACTCGGATGTTCAAACTTGTGGTGGTCGAGATTTTGATGGCGTAAATACATGTTGCTACTTGGATCACATTCTTTTCCTAGTTGGATCCTTTTGTTCAAAGTGTCGGGTGCTCACTGTCGTTCTGTCCACTAGTAAATGTACACTGGGACTCAGAGACCGTTCCACTGACCGATCTACAGATAGACCCAATGACCGATTCACTGATCACTCTACTGACAAGTAAACTGACCAAGAAAAAATCCACCCGTCAAGACACTTGCAAAACAACAGACAAATCCAATGACAAATTCAAGTTTCATCTTACTAACAGTCCATTGACCAGCCCACTGACTAATCCACTGACCAGCCTACTGACAAGCCCACTGACCAGCCCACTGACCAGACCACTAACCAGCCCACTGACCAGACCACTAACCAGCCCACTGACCAGCCCACTGACCAGCCCACTGACCAGCCCACTAACCAGCCCACTGACCAGCCCACTGACCAGCCCACTGACCAGCACACTAACCAGCCCACTAACCAGCCCACTGACCAGCCCACTGACCAGCCCACTAACCAGCCCACTGATCAGCTTACGAATCATTACCTTGGCAAATAGTTTTCCTACCTGTTATACATGAGCGATACTTTGGCAAACAGTGCCATGTGTACGCACATAGTCAGAAAAAATAAAAAATGCTTCCAACTTGCTTCATACAACATTCTACCCTCTTCTGTTTTAAAAACAAACTGAAATTTAAAAAACAAAACTTGTTCATTATTTTTAACAAACTTCATTAATTTTTTTTTGTATTATAATACATTGACTTTTTAATAATTAAAATCTCTACAAACAAAGAACTTCATCCGAAAGTTATATTTGCTTTGTTCACAGAAAAAAAAATATTTTTAAAAGATATGAAGGTTCCGATTTTGCTCACCTCAAAATAGCCAAAGACCCACGTGATTTCATAATAATTGAGAGTTCCTAAAATGGCGCTAAAGCAGAACATACAAAAGAGAAAAAACCCTTGAAAAGTCGCGAAGGTGTCGCAATCATTGAACAACCTGGATAGCAGGATATCGATCTCAATGACCAACCTGTCCATGGGCCAGACCTCACCTGGCTGGCTAGATAGACTTGACTTCTGTTCTGTGAAGGTGACGTAACGGGACATGCGTTAGTCTTGGTTAAGATTAAGAGAGTAGAGGAAGCTGTGTGTGTGTGTGGGGGGGGGTGAACTTGTAGATTTCGTAGAGGCTGGAGAGATTTGTTAAGTCATACGGTGACTCGAGTCTACACCCTCCCATGTTACTTGGTGACTTCCCCTCTCTCCCATAGTACTTGGTGACTCCGTCTCCCTCCCATGTTACTCGGTGACTCCCTCTCCCTCCCATGTTACTTGGTGACTCCGTCTCTCTCCCATGGTACTTGGTGACTCCGTCTCTCTCCCATGGTACTTGGTGACTCCGTCTCTCTCCCATGGTACTTGGTGACTCCCTCTCTCTCCCATGTTACTTGGTGACTCCGTCTCTCTCCCATGTTACTTGGTGACTCCCTCTCCCTCCCATGTTACTTGGTGACTCCCTCTCCCTCCCATGTTACTTGGTGACTCCCTCTCCCTCCCATGTTACTTGGTGACTCCCTCTCCCTCCCATGTTACTTGGTGACTCCGTCTCTCTCCCATGTTACTTGGTGACTCCCTCTCCCTCCCATGTTACTTGGTGACTCCGTCTCTCTCCCATGTTACTTGGTGACTCCGTCTCTCTCCCATGTTACTTGGTGACTCCCCCTCCCTCCCATGTTACTTGGTGACTCCCTCTCCCTCCAATGTTACTTGGTGACTCCCCCTCCCTCCCATGTTACTTGGTGACTCCCTCTCTCTCCCATGTTACTTGGTGACCGTCTCTCTCCCATGTTACTTGGTGACTCCCTCTCCCTCCCATGTTACTTGGTGACTCCGTCTCTCTCCCTAGTTACTTGGTGACTCCCCCTCTCTCCCATGGTACTTGGTGACGCCGTCTCTCTCCCATATTACACATTTAAACAACTTCCAATAGTATGTGTCTCACATGCACCAGCCAGTGTATTTTTGTAGCGAAACGAGTCTACAATGCTATCAAGTTGTCAAATCCAGGTGTATGTGTAGAAAAATGGGAGTCTTTAGATGTTGGGAAGAAAATCTAGAGAAGAGGTGTCACTATCTAACCTTATGATGACCAGATATTATGCCCTCCCATGGTAAGTCATGATACAAACCTACTCTAAGGTACGTAATAACACAAACATACTCCCTCCCAAGGTACGTAATAACACAAACCTACTCACTCCCAAGGTACGTAATAACACAAACCTACTCTAAGGTATGTAATAACACAAACCTACTCTAAGGTACGTAATAACACAAACCTACTCTAAGGTACGTAATAACACAAACCTAGTCCCTCCTGTATTACGTGGTGACACGAACCTACTACCTGTCGTGGTACTTTGTGACACGAACCTACTACCTATCGTGGTAATTTGTGACACAAACCTACTACCTGCCGTGGTACTTTGTGACACAAACCTACTCCCTCCCAAGGTACGTAATAACACAAACCTACTCCCTCCTGTATTACGTGGTGACACGAACCTACTACCTGTCGTGGTACTTTGTGACACGAACCTACTACCTGTCGTGGTAATTTGTGACACAAACCTACTACCTGCCGTGGTACTTTGTGACACAAACCTACTACCTGCCGTGGTACTTTGCGACACGAACCTACTACCTGCCGTGGTACTTTGTGACAAGAAACTTTGTGACACAAACCTACTACCTGCCGTGGTACTTTGTGACAAGAAACTTTGTGACACGAACCTACTACCTGCCGTGGTACTTTGAGACACGAACCTACTACCTGCCGTTGTACTTTGTGACAAGAAACTTTGTGACACGAACCTACTACCTGCCGTTGTACTTTGTGACAAGAAACTTTGTGACACGAACCTACTACCTGCCGTTGTACTTTGTGACAAGAAACTTTGTGACACGAACCTACTACCTGCCGTTGTACTTTGTGACAAGAAACTTTGTGACACGAACCTACTACCTGCCGTGGTATGGGGTGAAGAAGAGAGTGGTGTTTGGTATCAACATACCACCCTTTACACGCTTTACTTAGCTCGCAATGTCTATTTGTTTGTTTAAAAATAGTACCTCAATTTGATCAGTTTTTAATGAATCATTTCATTTCAAATTTTCCATTACATCATTCTGCTGCGACAACAGCTAATAGACTGTATTTTTTTAATTCTAATTATTCATTAAGCTAGTCTTCAAAAGTAAATTTTTCAACCACTGTGCCTGATAACAAAATGAAAGACAGTTGCGATCACACTTTGGGGCAGTTGAATTTGTGGTCACGAATTGTTTTTCAAATCAAGTCAAGAGGGAAGCTTATAAGAGTAGATAAATGATCGGGTTTACAAGGAATTAATTTGTTTTAAACTTTAAGGTTTATTTAAAACCGAGTTACATTATATATTTAAAATTCCTGGATACAAAATGGTGAAAATAAACAATGTATAATAACAACGGTAAAACCTTAGTTTAGCGTCGGAAATTATCGGGTAATGTTTGTTGAGTTTCGGTAACTAGAGTTACGGTAAACCATGGATTATTTGACCATTGAAATATAAATAAATTGAAAGTCGATTGTAGTAAATTAATGTTTTGATTTTTTAAGTTTATTCGATAAAAGGAAACAAGAATAAATATAATAGTAGATTTAAATTAGTAGATCTAAAAATTAAAAAAAAACATATATTAATATAAATATAAATAATGAAGTCAAATGTAATAATTTAATGTTTTTGGCTTGCAGCGGATTTGCGACCATTAATTATTTTTTAATTAATTAGATCTAGATCTAGCTAGCTGCTAGGCCAAGTTAAAAAATCTAGATTACGAAAATAGTAAAAATGATTACAAAATTTAAAAATGATTACAAAAAATAAATCTATCCAAATTTTAAACATTCTGTATAAAAATAAAAGATGACGCCAAATAAAGTATGGTTTACAGTACTTCCGGTGAATTCCGGAAGTGTATGACAGACTATGGCATTGTTTTACTGTTTTTTACTGCTATACGATTCCGTATATAAAACTAAGGTTTTACCAAAACAACTTTAAAATAAATAAAAAAACTACCAGCTTTAAAAGTTTGCTCATGTAGATCTAGATCTAGATCTAGTTTTTTTTTTCTGTGCTACATTTTGTGTTCGTTTCTGTAGAATAGCAAAAAAAAATTCTTTTTTTGTGGTCGGACTTTGCGCACGTCCACCCACCCCCAACCCGAGCCCAGTATTACTGTTAGTTCCGCTCCATTTTATGACGCAAAAATAAAAGTTAGACAAGATCTACACTCTGCCCAAGTGCTTAGAAAATAAAAAAAGTCAAAAGATACAATCCTTAAATCGAGATCTAGACTATCTAGAAAATTTTTTTAATCAAAGAACAATTTTCGACAAAATAAAACTAATAAGGCGACTCTTACGTTTTTTTGTCTTAGATCTAGTTTCCATTTTAAAAAAAATTGATTTTTAATTAGATCTAGCAAATTCAAGGTCTTTCCTTCATTATTTTGCAATGTTTTCACTGTGGGGTAAAATAATGCTTCTCTAAAGGCCAAAATCAAGGTCGCGCAATTGCGTGCGCACTTTCTAGCAGTGAGTTACAAGGAACTAAACTGTCAACCTGGTGTGCTTAACATGGTGTGTACGTTTTAGTGGGGAGAAAAGCTTTTCGCCTTTAACTTACCTCCGCAGACCCGATAAAAGGAAGGCGCTCAATTATCGTTTTTATACTTTAACATCAAATGCTTTTAAAAATTGTTAATTCCGTAAGTAAAAAAAAAAAGTTTCCATTTCAAACCTGACGGTCTATGGGGCAAGTGAAGTAGAGTTCACTTGTTACTGTGACCTCGGCATATGAAGAGATAGTGTGGTCAGCACTATGCCCAGCCGCCTTTACTCTCCCTAACGTGAGTTAGATACCCATCAGGGTTGGGTGGACTCAGTGACAGTCTACTGACTTGAACCCGGATTCGAACTCGAGACTGAATTAGCAGTCCAGCTCTCTACCGCTAGACCACTCCGTCCCCTAATTCCTTAAGAAAAACAATCAAATTACTAAACACAAACTGATGTGAAAATTATTTGTGTTGTCATAGAAAACGGATTAAATTTTTTGTCTTCTTTCAAAACAAAATGGCTTTTTTAACAATCTTTTCCCCAGACAAATATGAACAATGAAACAGCTCATCTGTTACGATGAACTCGGCATAAAGGGGGATAATGTGGTTAGCACTATGCCCAGGCGCCTTCTACTGACTCAAACCCGGATTCGAACTCGAGACTTGCTGGTTAAGCTCTCTAATATAAATATATAATAATGAACTACTATTTAAATAACTAAAAAGAAAAGCGTGGGTCGCTATGTAATGTATCTGATTCCTATACTAGAATTTAAAAAGCGATCCAAGCTTTTATTTTTAGTTATTTTAATAGTAATTCAGTATTATATATTTAAAGCAAATCATTTATTTTCTCCTTTTAGTGCATTATTACATAAAAGCTAGTTTTTATGCATTTTAAAAATGCATTATTTTTTAAATACTAAATTTTGTGTAATGCAATAAAATTTATGCGTATAATAGCGAGGTAAATATATATAGGAAACTAATTAATTTATTTACAAAAATTAGGCAAACAATTAAGTTAAATTTTAAGTCATTTTGCATTGTCACCCGATCTTACCTTGCTTGTCAAGTTTCAAAGAAATTGGTCAGTTAGAAGTAGTAGAAATTCCGCTCGTCAGGTTCGATCCATGACGTCAAAAGCACGACAGACAGACAGAGGAAGCAAGTTAAATAAAAGCTTGTAAAAATCATAACGACCATATTGATAACTATTGTAGGCCTATCACATTTTTTTAAATGTGTTATTCTATAGCGCTGTTAACAATATTTTATTACTGTGCCTTTTTAACGATATAAAAATACATTAAGATTACGCTTTGAAATATTTTTTTAAGTTACATAAGCAATTTTAAAATGGGCCTATTTGACCTGTAATTATTTCATTCTCATCTTCATTTTTCGACATTGTAAACAATGAAAGCCATCATTTAATAAAAAAAGGTGAAATATCTTACATGTTTAGCTATATTTGGAACGTGCAATGAATTAGCTTATTATTAAAACTACCATACTCATAATAAACATTTACAAGCTACAAGATGTAAAAGCAGTTTATCAAAGGTAACTTATAGCTAGTAAGCTAAATGGTCCTTATAGCCGTAAGTAAATCGTTTGTCTTCAGACTATGTTACCCAGATGTAAGAAAACTTTTTATAAAACTAAGACGCTTAGTATTAGAAAATCAAACTTCACCCCTCCCCCCACCCCTCCCACCCCCACCCCCATCACGTTTTTCTTAACAGAACTTGTCTAGATACATTTTCTCACTTTCGTTCATTTTCAAATCGTCCGTGTCGTTATGCTTTTATTTGATTTTCATTTTGGCTCATTATTTAAACGAAGCGAAAATGTATTGATTTTTCAGTTATTTTATCCTTGCGACGACACTGTTGATTCCAGAGCTTCTGATCCATCAAAAGTTTTGTTACTAGTCCCAATATGTTCAACTTTCCCCTGAGTTCTTGCCTTCAGAGAATGGGTAATATTCACTTTGCAGATGTTACAGCGAGGTATCGAGCACGATTTTAAAATATTTTACGCAATATACACAACGTGTAAGTAATTGGTAAATAAGTTTTTATTCAACATTCTTATTATAGAAATGTAAAAAACAGATTTTAAAAATAATTTTTAAACTTTAGAATAGTTGAAAGTCACTGAGATACTGATTTAAAAAAAAATAGAATGGCTCCGGTTGATAAGCCTTGCTCGCACCTTCGTTACGCGTGATTAACCTGATTTGCTCTTAAGGCTTGGGCTTCATTAGGTTACACACAGGGCTGTAGTTAGTGGTAAGGTTAGGTTATGAGTTCATTTAGTTTCGCCACTAGCTGAAATATGATCCGCCATTCGCGTCTTGGTTCATCAGGTTGCCGGCCGATTTGTTGTCGCTGACGTCACCATCAGATATGTAGTCGTCGAGTGAGATTTGACTGGTCTTGATGTCCACTCTCTGGTCAGTCCAGCTGAGACAGACACAGGTGCCCCGGGTGATGATCTGGGGGTGGGAGGTCGAGTGCTCCACGCCATCTTTGTCCAGCCACTTCTCCACTACCAACTCCACACAGGCCTAGGAGAGGGATAAAAAAAACAATACGGACAACGATAAAGTCACGTGTTTATATGTTGATGTTTTTGTGGTTTGTCTTTCTTTGTGGCAAGCGTCATTTAGAAAAAAAGTCTCATTTGTTGCCAATCTTAATTTTTTTTACATTTTCAAAAAATCCTTATCGATTGGGTGTTTGTTCATATAACATACGACTTTAACTACTTACATGTAATTTGATATGCTTAATCGAGGAAAATTTTGTTTTCGTGCACACTAAGTAAAGCTGTATTAAGTCATAGTTAAATGATAACACTGGAACATCTATGGGGGGGGGGGGCGCATTCCACAAGGGTGACAACTCACCTTTTCTTCTGGTTTTAGAACTCCGCCCTCTTCAGCCAGCAGAAAAACGTCAGCCAAGTTCTTGATGTTTAAAGCACAGACCACTTTCTTGTCTCGCTGTCTGACAAATCTAATAGGGACAACTCCTGGAAAATACATTAGTCGATTTAAATAATCAGGTGAAGGAGGACAAGTAGTAAATCGAATTTTGTACTTAAGAAACTCGATCAAGAAATGACGTTTTTACAGACTGAATTTAGAACTGTAAAAGTTGAGTTTGACCTTTAGGGTTGGACAAAGTGGTTCGAATCTCAAAGTCGAATGCAGAGCACTCTTGTCTCACCAACAGCTGAGCGTGGGCTCGAGACGATGGCTCAACTTCAACCTGCAAAAATGTGTCTTTGTGACAAACGTCTTACAAAGTTTCATCATTTTATAACTACAACATGTCTCGGTGCTAGGCCACCCCCACCATCACCCCCACATGGTTATAGCGCATCCTAACTAATTTCTATTTCCTGGCATCCACTGAAACCTACCTGTGACTTGACCTCCCACGTGAGAACCTCTTTATGCACCTGACCTTTGACCTTGTTTAATACGAGGGTATTCTCTTTGCCGATTCGAGCATTTTGGGGGAGGTTTAATTGGACACACGGCTGAAGGAATATGTGTTTCATATATATATATATATATATATATATATATATATATATATATATATATATATATATATATATATATATATATATATATATATATATATATATATATATATATATATATATATATATATATATATATATTTATTTATTTATTTATTTATTTATTTATTTTAATATCAACTGCTGGCACTACCTCTTTGTTGACCGTGTAACATTGTTCTAGGTCCACGTCCACCCATGTTATCGTATCGCGTGCTCCGCTGAAAGCGTGACTTTGTTTACATTCGGCTTTGTTGTCGAAGTCACATGACCAGAGCGTGACCCATTTTGATCCTGGAGTTAAAATAGTACGCACACGTCACAAAAATGTATAGGAATAGCTGCATGAAGATCTTGTATAGAGTTAATATTGAGCTTTTTCTAGCTGTTAACTATTGTAGCAGATACACAGTAAAATCTTGGTGAAAAAGTTAAATTTTGAAACTAAATATTTCAGTGTTGATTTTAGAGAAAGTTCGGGAAAATATTGATAAAGGATATAATCTTTTTCTGTTGACAATTTTCTGCTCATAGCTAAGAAAAAGTCATTATTAATACACATCGACGTTTTAAAGTACAAAAGGAACCGACGGAAAAAAATATCCACCGTCTATTAAATAATAATAAATTGGGGTTTGTAAAGGGGAGTCTCACACCCCTCTCCTCCACTAGTCTACCCCCCCCCCCACCCTCGGCTATTTTCACACTTACCGCCGCTACGGAAAGTGAAAAAAAAATCACCTGTTTGCATTTCTCCCCTCTGAGATTCAATCACTGTTCCGTCCTTGACATTGGGAGAAAACTTGATGACCTTGTGCTCGAAGGTCAGTGCTGTCCAGTCCACCTGACATGTGTAGACCTCATCCTCAACTTCCAGAAACTGTCTGCTGAGTAAGTCTTGGCGCCTAGCAGACGATCAGATCACTTAACTCGGGTTTCAATGGGTTTTATGGGTAGTCTTTATAGTGGTACATCAAGTTAGTTTTATGGGTAAAGTCTTTATAGTGGTACAGTAAGTTAGTTTTATGGGTATAGCCTTTATGGTGATGCAATAAGTTAGATATTTACAAAAGATACAAAAATAATAATTTTTATAATACATATGGAGATGTTTAGATTTGAAAATGTTACTTCAGTATGTGAAGATAGCGTTAAAAACATTAGTTCATCAATGTGTTTAATGATTTTATCTCTCTCACACTCTCTATCTCTCACTAACTCTCTTTCTCTCTTTCTGTTTATTTTGAAAACTTAAAGTTCAGCACTAGAGAGAAAAGTTGTGTTCAATGTACTCACTTGAGAAGCATCTGCCAGGCATAACGCCGAATGAGAACATCGAGTTCTAGAATATTCTTCAAATTCTTGACCTCTGTGGGATCATGAACATCCTAATTTTATTATTTAACTCAAACAGCAGTCTGTCCTACCAACAGTATTTTCAACAAACGCACAACAAAAACACAACAAAAACACAACAAAAACACAACAAAAACAACAATACTCAAAAAAAAAAAAAAAAAAAAAAAAAAAAAACCAATACAGCGAGAAAAAACAATACGCGAAACTGTACGATAAATACACAGTACAACGCGAGCTGATGCGAAAAATACAATATTAATACTAAACAAAAATAATACTATACGGTACTAAATAATACTATATTATTTCTAATACTGTTAATATTTTTTCTGTAATACACATAAAAAATTTGTTTTACACGTGTTTGGACGTGATGTGAAACTTGTAATGAAAGAGAAACAAAAGGATTTACAGCGTCGTGTACAGGATGTGATCTATATTAAAATATTAAAATGTATCGACTCAACAGTTGTAGGACCTACCAATCGACTGCGGTCTGATTATAGATCTACTATTAAAAGACATTATTTAGGGTCCTTTTTTTTACTTTATGTATCGATTGATCAATAATGCTTAGTTAACTTTAAAGGGTAGTCCGTAAGTAATGGAACACAATCGAATTAATATTATTTTTAATGGGGGAGGGGGGATAAGGTTTAAAAACGTCTGCAGCTATGCATTATGTAAGAATTTGGTCTGTTGAGGGTGTGGGGGTGAGGGGGGGGGACTTATTTATGTGGGTTGGCGTATATTTTGTTCATCGCCATATGGTACAGGAGATAAAAGACAGGATAATTTGAAGTTAAAATGTTGGTTAGGTCGGTTGGTAATATGAAAGCTTGTGACGTCTTTCATTTGTCGACATATGACCATGGAAGGAATAGGGTTGGGAGAAATCAGTTCGCTACTTTTGTTCTGACATTTATTGTTACTGTGCTCTCATGTTTTTTATGTGGTGAACAATGCTTGTTATTTCCCTTACCATCATGGGCTTGCTCGTCAACACCGCCGCCATCTTGGTTGGTTTCGTTTCCGTCTTCTTCCTGCTTGACGAATTCTCTGAAATATTATAATTTGAAAGTTAAAATTGCGATAAACACACGACCCTCTTTTTTTTAAAACAAAAGGATAAGAAGAAAACTTCCAAACGTGTGCAGAAAGTTTCGTTAAAATAAAGCACAAGTTGAAAAATATTGACTCTGGCGTCCTCAGCCTACCCCAATCCAAGCCATTGACCAACCCACTGACCAACCCTCTCAAAAAAGAACGCTCCAAAAAACAATCCACTAACCAACCAGCTTGCCAACCCATTAACAACTCACCGGTCAGTCTACCGACCAACCTACCGACCGAACAACCAACCAACCTACAAACCAACCTACCTACCAACCAACAAACCTACCAACCAACCTTGTAACCAACGGACCAACCTACCGACCAACCTACCGATCAACTCATTAACAACCTACCGACCAACCAACCGACCAACCCACCGACCAACCCATCGACCAACCTACCTACCTACCAACCTACCTACCTACCAACCTACCTACCTACCAACCTATCGACCAACCAACCTACCTACCAACCTACCGACCAACACACCTGGACAAATCTTTTTTCAAGGCTCTCAACATTTTCTTGATCGCATAAACCACGTAGATGTCCAACCAAACAGCTGCCAGCACCTCCGCCAAAAACAAATATCTACCGTCACCGTCATATTTCTGAACCTACAGAAACGAAACAAAAAAAAAATTCTTATCCTAATTACTTAATTTAATTGAATTAAGAACCCAGCCTCACAAAAGACGTATAGGCCTCATCTACCTACTTAAAGCAATATACCGCTATACACTTTATCAATAATCATAAGTAAAAAAAATATAACTAGGCATATTCTCTGTTATTCATTTTAAAACCGACGTTAAATAAAAATATTTACTTTTTTAATTGAAAAATAAATAAGACGACGCACATTCTTAATTCTTTTTCAATGCATCAGAGATTTTATCCTTTTTCTCTTTAACTTCTCATAGCATCATCAACCCTCTCCGCATGACAAACCAAAGGCAGTCATTAACACAACAGCAGCCAATTCATTAAAATCATTTAGTCTCTATATAAACTATAAACAGTTATTTTAAAAAAAGAATTTAATAATGTGAAGACTGCGCACAGGAAGATTTACGACACGTGACACAATTCCACTCACAAGAAGACTTACGACAAGGGACACAATTCCACTCACAAGAAGACTTACGACAAGGGACATAATTCCACTTACAAGAAGACTTACGATAAGGGACACAATTCCACTCACCGGAAGATTTACGACAAGGAACACATTTCCACTCACCGGAAAACCGAGGCAATAGTTATGGAAGAATAGGACCTCGAAGACGGCACCGATGGATACGATGACGCCGATGAGGAAGATGGTGAATGCCAGGGACGGCTTCTCCAGCACGGTTGTCATGGCAACGATCCAGCGGGCGATTAATGAGGACTTGTGCGATTGGCGCCCTGGGTATGAGGTCTTTCTTTATTTTTTGGAGGGGTGAGGGATAGTGGGGGGGGGGAGGGGGGAGGGGGGGAGTGGGTGATGTGGGTGAGGGGGGAGTGGGTGAGGTGGGTGAGGGGGGAGTGGGTGAGGTGGGTGAGGGGGGAGTGGGTGAGGTGGGAGTGGGTGAGGTGGGAGTGTGTGAGGTTAGAGTGTGTGAGGGTGAGGGGGGAATGGGTGAGGGGGGAGTGGGTGAGGGGGGAGTGGGAGTGTGTGAGGGTGAGGGGGGAGTGGGTGAGGTGGGAGTGCGTGAGGGGGGAGTGCGTGCGGGTGAGGGGGGAGTGGGTGAGGTGGGAGTGGGTGAGGCGGGAGTGAGTGAGGGGGGAGTGGGTGAGGGGGGAGTGGGAGTGTGTGAGGGTGAGGGGGGAGTGGGTGAGGTGGTAGTGGGTGAGGTGAGTGTGGGTGAGGTGGGTGTGGGTGAGGGGAGAGTGGGTGAGGTGGTAGTGGGTGAGGGGGGAGTGGGTGAGGGGGGAGTGGTCAAACGTTATCTGCTATTTGTCTTTATTATAATATGACAAAAGCCTATTATATATATTATTATTATTATTATTTATCGTCTAATGTATATCCGGTATTATATATTTATTGTATAACACGTGACTCATATTGTGTAGTATGAGAGTTTCTATACAAACCTTTAGCAAGCATATTTAAGGCCCCATTCAGAAACCTAACTGTGCACACTTATATTATACTTATGTAGATATGGTTAACTATCAACACCCTAACTGTCTATTATACTTATGTAGATATGGTTAACTATCAACACCCTAACTGCCTATTATAATTATACTTATGTAGATATAGTTAACTATCAACACCCTAACTGTCTATTATACTCATGTAGACAATTAACTAATAACTAGCTGAACATTAGCTTAACCACAAGACTATAGAGTTTAACCACCTGGAAAATAGCTGAATCTTTTTATGATATGTACTACATTACATCATTGGACAATACCTAGCCTATCATAACGTTTAAACCTCTCTCTAACAAAGAAAACAGGAAAGATTAACAATTAACATGTCTCTTACTTTTCTTTTTACAAATTGCCATTCTTTCACTCATACTGAAAATTAAAATGAAATTCACTAAGACCCTGTCGACTAGAAGTTTCTAAGAAACCAAAAGATGGACGCACGCTTAAAGACACACTGTTTTGCACTGACTTTACGGGAATTCCCGTACCAAATTATCAATCATATGTGGGAGATATCGTTCACGTTACTTGCACACACAAAAATGCTGCAACTTTGTTCATCTATACGGAATATTAGAATTGTGAACAATATCTAATGTTATATTTACGTGTTGGGACGGAGTGGTTTAGCGGTAGAGAGCTGGACTGCTAACCCGTAAGTCTCGAACTCGAATCCGGGTTCAAGTCAGTAGACCGTCCCTGAGTCCACCCAACTCTGATGGGTACCTAACTCACGTTAGGGAGAGTAAAGGCGCCTGGGCATAGTGCTGACCACACTATCTCTTCATATGCCGAGGTCACAGAAACAAGTGAACTCTACTTCACCTGCCCCATAGACCGTCAGGTTTGAAAGGGAAACTTTACTTTTATATTTACGTGTGGAAGTATGGTTATGGTTATATTCGGTTTAGGTATTGATACAAAAGTCTTTTTGTTTTGTTTTTTATTTCGGACGAGTAGAAAAGGAACTGTGTTTTTCTTGGTTATTTCCCTTACCTTGCATCGTTGTTCTGGCGTATTCAGGACTTGCCTCTTGTGTGTTTTTCCCGGCGGGTTCAGCGTTTGCCTCTTGTGTGTTTTTCCCGGCGGGTTCAGCGTTTGTCTCTTGTGTGTTTTTCCCGGTGGGTTCAGCGTTTGTCTCTTGTGTGTTTTTCCCGGCGGGTTCAGCGTTTGCCTCTTGTGTGTTTTTCCCGGCGGGTTCAGCGTTTGCCTCTTGTGTGTTTTTCCCGGCGGGTTCAGCGTTTGTCTCTTGTGTGTTTTTCCCGGCGGGTTCAGCGTTTGTCTCTTGTGTGTTTTTCCCGGCGGGTTCAGCGTTTGTCTCTTCCTCGTGTAGTTCGAACTCGAACTCCTGGGTTTTGGCGTTTTTTCTGACAACATTTATTTGTGTTATCCATTATCGTTTAATAAAAGATAGACGTTTAACTAATTAATTAATTTTTTTTTAAATACCAGACAACTGAATTACAAACCACCGACCGATCAAATGAAAAATTCAGGGACTAATCCACTGATCAATAATTGACAAATCCACTGACAATCCACTGGCCAACCCACTGACTGACCTTCTTAACAACCCGCTGAGAAATTCACTGACCAAACCAAATTACTGAACAACCCATTGAAAAACACACTGACAAATTTAATGACCAGCCCATCTACCAACCCACTGACCAACCCACTAACCAACCCACTGACCAACCCACTGACCAACCCACTAACCAACCACTGATAAATCTACTGACAAACCCTCTAATCTCCCTACTAACCATTACATACAGAAATATGGAAACACGCTCTCCACAAGCATTTGACCCTTATAATCACGCCAGTGGCGTAGCGAGGTCGGGTGTCACCCGGTGCGGCACTTAATGGTGTCATTCCCCCCCCCCCACAGAGGCGTAGCGACCCTTCCCGGGAACAAACTTTCGAATTTTCGATTTGCACCCCCCCCCTTAAACTTTCGATTTGCACCCCCCCTCAAACAAACTTCCAATTTGCACCCCCCCCCACTCAAATTTTTGCTATTTTTTGCCTTGGTGTCACCCCCCTAAATGGTGTCATCCGGTGCGAACCGCACCCCCCCCCCGCCCCCCCCCCCCTCGCTACGCCTCTGAAGCACGCCTCTCTTCACCCTAATACCTGTGCCACTTGTTCACAGACCAGACGACACATTGCTTGACCTTCCTCACTATGACCAAGTCTATCCAAAGATAGAACCAGAAGAAAGGCAGCAGGAAGATAAGTAACACCCAGCGCATTGTTAGTTCTAACTGTAAAAAATACAACCGAAATGTTACCTTACTCGAACCACACAAAAATAGCACTTTCACCTCACCGAATTTTTTTTATTATGAATAAAAGCAGGTTAGGATTTATTCATTGAAAATGAGAAACTATTAATCGCAAAGCTGCATGGTGCATGCACAAAATTTATGCTAAGCTGTAAATCGGCAATAATTGAAATGTATTTAATAATTTTTGTCTGCTGAGTAGACTAAAGGATCTGACTCAAATCTGTTGATGAGATAGAACCTGTAATGATTATATCTTTTAATTACGAGCTATCATCCTGTCTCTGTATTCTATCGTCACAAACAGTTACATAATATATGATCGATATAACAAAATAAATGTTTAACTTTTGAAAGTTTTACTTACCTTAAACAAATCTATTAAAAGTAAAATTGTAGCCATGATTTGTGTCATGGCCAACAAAATGAAAGGAGGCCCCATGAAGAACAAAGGAATAGCAGTACACGGCTTCTCCAGAACGGCAAAGATATCTGAGAACCATCTGTAAGTTCTTGACGATTCATCTGTTTGACAGTCTAGAAATGACATGGTTTAACTTGAATGTTGCGGGGGACAAGATGTGTTCGAGTGTTGGGGGTGATGGGGTGTGGAGGAGTAGATGTGATGGTCAGTTATCTAGACATAGAATAACGTCATCAACAATCCTTCAAAAAGTTTCCTGTCTCAGGCCTAAGTACTCACCTGTGACAAGGTGAATCTTACGCTTCCCAAATGTGAAATGACGTCAACCCACGCCATCCTAGCATTGGTTTCTATCAATCATACGCTTCCCAAATGTGAAATGACGTCAACCCATGCTATCCTAGCCTTGGTTTCTATCAATCATACGCTTCCCAAATGTGAAATGACGTCAACCCATGCTATCCTAGCCTTGGTTTCTATCAATCATACGCTTCCCAAATGTGAAATGACGTCAACCCATGCCATCCTAGAATTGGTTTCTATCACGAACCAACGCTCGCAAATCAACTATATGGTGCCAAGATGAAGTAGAGTTCATCTGGTTCAAAGCCTTAGTTTACATAATGTGAGTCAAGTACCTGACCCATACTGTGTAGTATGTGACCCATACTGTGTAGTATGTGACCCATATTATGTAGTATGTGACCCATGTTGTGTAGTATGTGACCCATATTGTGTAGTATGTGACCCATATTGTGTAGTATGTGACCCATATTATGTAGTATGTGACCCATATTGTGTAGTATGTGACCCATATTATGTAGTATGTGACCCATATTGTGTAGTATGTGACCCATATTGTGTAGTATGTGACCCATATTGTGTAGTATGTGACCCATATTGTGTAGTATGTGACCCATATTGTGTAGTATGTGACCTATATTGTGTAGTATGTGACCCATATTGTGTAGTATGTGACCCATATTGTGTAGTATGTGACCCAAATTGTGTAGTATTTGACCCATATTGTGTAGTATGTGACCCATATTGTGTAGTATGTGACCTATATTGTGTAGTATGTGACCCATATTGTGTAGTATGTGACCTATATTGTGTAGTATGTGACCCATATTGTGTAGTATGTGACCCATATTGTGTAGTATGTGACCCATATTGTGTAGTATGTGACCCATATTGTGTAGCATGTGACCCATATTGTGTAGTATCTTACCGGAAGTTTTGGCCCATACAGTTCATGCGCAGCTGGGGCTGAGGGAATCGGTATTCTAACTGGCGATACCCGTGCGATTATGTTAGTATCGATACAAAACCTTGACCAGCCATAATCAAGGCCCCAATCTTAACCCTAACTGCCCCATTTCTATTATACTTGTATAGGCATAGTTAACCAAAAACTCTATTAACCACCAAACTATCGGGCATAAGGCAAAAAGTAAAGTTCTCCGTCGAAACTGAAGGTCCATGGAGCAAGTAGAGTTCACCTGTTTCTGTAGAAATATTGTGGACAGTACTGTGTCAGGCCGCATTTAATTTCGTTAACGTGAGGTAGGTACCAATCAGAAATGGTTTGACTCTGGGATTCGAACTAGTCTTTCGGGTTAGCAGTCATGTGCTCTTACCAAACGATCACATCGTAAACAAACTGTGGGGTTTAGACAACCGAAAAAAGTTTATTCTAACAAATCTTGAATAAAATCAACCTCTCGACACGAATTTCAGATGTCTACAAAAAAAAAAATTTCAGGCGTTTTTCCTCACCTTGTGTGTTTTTCCCGGCGGGTTCAGCGTTTGTCCCTTCCTCGTGTAGTTCGAACTCAAACTCCTGGGTTTCGGCTTTTTTTCTGACATGATTTATTTGCGTTATCCGTGGATTAATTAAGACAAGCAATTTACGAATATATTGAAATTTACAAAGAGCAACCAACTGAATAACAAACTAACCAACCCATTGACCGATCGACTGACCAACCTATTGACCTCCCGACAGAAAAAAAACTACAACGGATAATATGCTGACAAATACACTAACCTCCCCACTGACCTCCCAACTGATCTCCCAACTGACCTCCCCGCTCACCTCCCCACTGACCTCCCCACTGACCTCTCACTGACCTCCCAACTGATCTCCCCACTGACCTCCCCACTGACCTCCCACTGACCTCCCAACTGACCTCCCCACTCACCTCTCACTGAACTCCTCACTGACCTCCCCACTGACCTCCCAACTGACCTTCCCACACCAACCCACTGACCTCCCCACTGACCTCCCAACTGACCTTCCCACACCAACCCACTGACCTCCTCACTGACCTCCCCACTCACCTCCCAACTGACCTCTCCACTGACCTCCCCAATGACCTCCCCAATGACCTCCCCAATGATCTCCCCACTGACCTCCCAACTGACCTCCCCACTCACCTCCTCACTGACTTTCCCACTGACCTCCCCCACTGACCTCCCCACTGACCTCCCCATTCACCTCCCCACTCACCTTCCCACTCACCTTCCCACTCACCTCCCCACTCACCTCCCAACTGACCTTCCCACACCTCCTCACTGACCTCCCAACTGACCTCTCACTGACCTCCTCACTGAACACCCCACTGACCTCTCACTGACCTCCTTACTGACCATCTAACCTCCCAACTGACTTCCCCACTGATCCCCACATTGACCTCCCCGCTGACCTTCCTACACCAACCCACTGACCTCCCCACTGACCTCCCCACTGACCTCCCCACTGACCTCCCCACTGACCTCCCCACTGACCTCCCCACTGACCTCCCCACTGACCTCCCCACTGACCTCCCCACTGACCTCCCCACTGACCTCCCCACTCACCTCCCCACTCACCTCCCCATTGACCTCCCCACTCACCTCCCCACTCACCTCCCCACTCACCTCCCCACTCACCTCCCCACTCACCTCCCCACTCACCTCCCCACTGAGCCCCCCACTCACTTCCCCTCTCACCTCCCAACTGACCTCTCCACTGACCTTCCCTTTGACCTCCCCACTGACCTTCCCACTGACCTCCCCACTGACCTTCCCACTGACCTACCCACTGACCATTATAAGCAGAACTCTACTTATCCAAATACCTGTTTGCTGACGAAACAAAACGACGCTTGACCCTGGCCACCACGACTAAGTCCATCCAAATAAACAAGAAGAAGATAAACAGCCACATAAATGCGAACACATAGTGTTCCAATTTGACCTGCAGAGAGAAATTGTTTTGCTCACTTCGTCACACTAATCAGATTTTTATACGAAACTCTATTCTTTTAAAACGATGCCGAATTCGATACTTCAACTTAAGACTAAATCCCTCACAACTAGCTTAAATGTAGACATAATGTATATGTATATCAAATTAGATGCTAATGAGCAATAATTGGGCTGTATTTTATCATTTATGCTTGTTGAGGCATAAAACATCTGACCTTCCCACAATGCTTTTTTTTAAAATGAAGCTGTCAACGGGGTTTCTTTCAGATGTTTATTTTTCGAGAGAGTGGAGGTGGGCGGATAGTTGTGTGTGGCGCTTAAAACTGACGAGGGGCGGGGGCTGGGCGGAGACTGGTTAAATGAGGTATTTCCTGTATTAATTTATATTTTTTGTTCTGGACGGGGTGGACTTATCAGGAGTAGGTGGAAAGGGGGTGGGGGGGGGGGACGCAATACCCATCTCTTGGAGAGTGGTCTGAAAAAAACACGGCCATCTAACGCCCTCCCCACCACCACCGCCATCACCATGACATCACTTTCGTAAGAGGCTATTTTCCTAAAACAGTTATTTAGTATTTTATATATATATATATATATATATATATATATATATATATATATATATATATATATATATATATATATATATATATATATATATATATATATATATATTTATAATTTAAGTCAATTATAAAAAATCTATCAAGTTCACATGTACTCACCCCAAGATAATTTAAACACAATTCGCACAAACAAACCTGCCCCGTAGCCAAACCAATAAAAAGGGGCCCTAGAAAGAAGATGGAGATAGCAGTACATGGCTTCTCTAGGACGGCAAAGATATCTGAGAACCATCTGCAAGTTCTTGACGGTTCTTCTGTTTGACAGTGTAGAAATGACATGGTTTAACTTGAATGTTGCGGGGGACAAGATGTGTTCTAGTGTTGGGGTGAGGGGGTGTGGAGGAGTAGATGTGATGGACAGAGGTGTTAAGTTCATGGTGTAAAGGAGTAGAAACGGCGGACTAGGTGACACCCTCACCCTCCCAAGTAACTGACTCCCTCTCCCAAGTAACTAACTGACTCCCTCACCCTCCAAAGTAACTGACTCCCTCACCCTCCAAAGTAACTGACTCCCTCACCCTCCCAAGTAACTGACTCCCTCACCCCCCCAAGTAACTGACTCCCTCATCCTCCCAAGTAACTGACTCCCTCACCCTCCCAAGTAACTAGTTGACTCCCTCACCCTCCAAAGTAACTGACTCCCTCACCCTCCCAAGTAACTAGTTGACTCCCTCACCCTCCCAAGTAACTAGTTGACTCCCTCACCCTCCCAAGTAACTGACTCCCTCACCCTCCCAAGTAAATGACTCCCTCACCTTCCCAAGTAAATGACTCCCTCACCCTTTCAAGTAACTGACTCCCTCACCCTCCCAAGTAACTGGCTCTCTCACCCTCCCAAGTAACTGACTCCCTCACCCTCCCAAGTAACTGACTCCCTCATCCTCCCAAGTAACTGACTCCCTCATCCTCCCAAGTAACTGACTCCCTCACCCTCCCAAGTAACTGACTCCCTCACCCTCCCAAGTAACTAGATGACTCCTTCACCCTCCCAAGTAACTAGGTGACTCCCTCACTTTCCCAAGTAAAAGACTCCCTCACCCTCCCAAGTAACTGAATCCCTCACCCTCCCAAGTAACTGACTTCCTCACCCTCCTAAGTAACTAGGTGACTCCCTTCTTGTGGTGGAGTGAATGATTTTTGAGACGATGTTTTACCGGGAATGACATGGGTAATAAATATGAGACGGTATGCTTGGGGTGTGTTTAAGGTGAAAAGTTAAGTTTCCCTTTCAAACCTGACGGTCTATGGGGCAAGTGAAGTAGAGTTCACTTGTTTCTGTGACCTCGGCGTATGAAGTTTAAGGTGAAGAGAGGTAAAAAAAAAAGATGTGACGTCATTGACGATTGAATCACTAAGAACACAAAACCACTTGAAACATACATTGTAAATAGCAAACAATCAGTAAAATAAACTCTAGCCCTATTGTTATATTTTTTAAAATAAATAGCAGATCCACGAAAACGGGACTTCCTTAGTTAAATAAAACTTCCATCTTCCATAATTATAGAATTAATGACGTATATCGCTAGACAATTCTATTTTTTTAAAACTGGCAGTATAAAAATGTTTTGTACACAAAACAAGACAACCACATTAATAATAATTAAGTTGGAATTTAAGGGAAACTTAAGATGGTTGCTGTTTTTAATAGCCGATTCGGTATCTCGAACAACCTTGTTAATTGCTAATTTTAGGACATTTTTATTGATTTATCCTATAATATTCTATACAAATTTGAACATTTACTAATTATAGATCTATTTAAGTAGTAAACAAGCCATTTTCATTAGTTAGATCTAGATCTAGATCTAGATCTAGATCTATCTCTCCCCCACTTTGTTAGCTTGGGCTGAAATTACGTACCCAAAAAGAGTGATTAACTACTAGATCTAACATTAAACTATTAGAAAAGTAAACAAAATAGAATTAACATAACCCTTACTTTTCTTTTCATCCGTTTCCGTTTCTTGACTCATAACTGAAAGTTTTATTCGCCGTGTCAACTAGACATGAAAAGATGAGCCGACATGCAAATAGGCGCACGATCTTGCACGATCTTGCACCGTCTTTACGGAAACTTTGCACCGTCTTTACGGGAATTCCAGAAACAACAATGACGAAGTGTGCTTACAAAAATTAACAAGTTACTTACACAACTAAATAAGGAATACTGCAACCTTGTTCCTATGTTATCATCATCATATTTTCCAGACATCCACAAGACACATTGGGTAGATGAAGTAGAGTAGGGCCTTCATCTTTTTAATGACTTCGGTAAACAGGAAATGATGTGCTTAGAACTTTGCCTAGCCGACTTAGTTTCCCTAACGTCAGGTGGACTCAATAACATACTACAGGCTCGAGTAGGTCCTACAGACAATAGACTCAACGACATCCTACGGACTCAAGGACGTCCTACAGACTCAATGACGTCCTACGGACTCAAGGACGTCATACAGACTCTAGGACATCAGACAGTCTCAATGACGTCCTACGGACTCAAGGATGTTCTACAGACTCAGCAATCAGCATCTCCACCTTAATACCCAACAAGTAACAGGACATCAGCAATCAACGTCTCCACATCATACCCTACAATGTTATAATTTACAGTAAAGCCACGCCAAATTAGGGTCGTTTATTTAGAAATCAGCCGGTAAAGTAAGTAAATCTTCAAACAATTTTTTTTTCTTGTGAAGAAAAGAAATGTGTAAGCCACTGACATACATAAATTATAACTTTTTTCACGAATAGCTGTCCTAGGTTTATATTAGACGTTAGTGAAATGTAAACACAAGCAATATTTATTTTTATCGTTTTATAATTCTTTAATTAGCTATCTTCTTTATCTTGAAAACACTTTATCTTGAATTATTTCTCTTACGGATTAGAGTTTAATATATTGACAGTTTAAAATGAACTGCTTTGAATTGAAACATTTTATTTAAAAAAAAATAATTGAGGATTTCATACAAGATGAGTATATTCAATTGAAAAAATATATTTTATAAAGTACATCATTCAGACAATCTTGTTTGTGAATAATCTTTTATTAACTTTTGGTGTAAATAATACAAACTTTTTTTTAAAAACATTTTAAATTAAAATAAATATCCCGCTTAGAGAGTGAATTATAAAAAAAGATAAATGTTTCTTGATTAGCCGTGCCCACTTATTGTTCAGCCCGTCATAAAGTGCTAGTTTCAGATCTGAGACAAATCGTAAGGTTTTTATTAAGGTTTGGGTTAGTTTTATGATATAAAGTGTAAAGGCATTTAGCAGATAATCCCTGAAGTGGATACTAGTGGATTATGTGGAAGGTAAACTAGATCTGCTAACCAACAAGGACATAGAAAACAAACTAATAAGATTTGACGGTGAACTGTTTCTCGCTTAAGTTATTGACGGGCGTCTTATTCATGTTGCGGTCTCCGTCACAAGTGGACTCGTCCATTGACAATGGACTGGTCTTGATGTCCACTTTCTGGTCAGACCAGCTGAGACAGACACAGGTGCCCCGGGTGATGATCTGGGGGTGGGAGGCCGTGTGTTCTTCGCCATCTTTGTCCAGCCACTTCTCCACCATTACCTCCACGCATGTCTGGAGAAAGACACACAAAAAAACCGTCAGTTGTGTTTTTTAATGTAGGAGTGTGCGAGTGCGTGCGCATGTGTGTGTGTGTGTGGTGTGTGTGTGTGTGCACAAATTACCACTATGTCGATTTGATCAATGCGGCAAATTTTTAAACGAAAAGAATATTTTAAAAAAACAAAAACACATTCCATTGAAAACCGGTCCCTATGCTAGTGTACCGTTATAGTCAAAGAGAGACAACTCACTTTTTCTTCTGGCTGAAGAACTCCGCCCTCTTCCACCATTTGAAATGCGTCATTTATGTTTTCAATGTTCACAACATGGGCTACTTGCTTCTCTCCCTTTCTATAAAAGTTGACCGGGACAACCCCTGTTTAAAAAAAAAATTCAAAAAATAATATTAAATAAATGCACTAGAACTAGAAGTAAGATAATTAACATATAGGGTCTGCTAATAAAAATTAGTCTTTTCAAAACATTTGGAAATATAAATTTTTTTGTTTTTAGATACTGTAGAAAAAAAAATAAGAAGAAGCATATTTTCTTTGTTAGAAAGTCTAATTTTGTCTACTTTTTTTTCAGAACTAGAAAGTTGGATTTGACCTTTAGGGTTAAACAAAGTGGTTCGAATCTCAAACTCCACGACCGAGCACTCTTGTCTTGCTAACAGCTGAGCATGGGCGCGCCAGGAGGGCAGAACTTCTACCTGATTCAAACAAAAAAACAGCTTGGTTAAAATAGTCGCCATGTTAAATTTAAAATGTCGTAAGATTGCTAAGTAATATAGGCACTGCACTGAAATACATTTTCTCGGTATGCCAAAAGCCAGTCACCCCCGCATATATTCTCTTGTTGAACTCAAGAACCAGTTAGTGGAAGAAGATCATTTCAAAGAAAGTTCATATATCAACCATAGGATGAAATCTGCAGTCAGCTAAGCTAACACAGCATGATATTTGAAAGTTTCAACCTCCATGTAAAAGTAAGTTTTCCCATTCTGGCTTAGCGATTCATCTGGGCCGAGATACGAACTCTGGACCTTCGGGCTAGCAGTCGAGCGCTCTATTACTCAACCACCTTTGACTCCCCCCCCCCTTCTCTTTCTTCCTTGAAAGTGGAAATGCAGAAAAGAATGAAAAGAAGATCTAAAGCTGACGACCGTTGAACCCTACCTGCGAGTTGACCTCCCAGGTGAGAATCTCTTTAAACACCTGACCTTTGACCTTGTTTAGACTGAGGCTATTGTCTCGGCCAGCTCGAAATTTGCTGAAATTTTGAGGGAGGTTGACCTGGACACACACCTGTAGGTTATACACGACTCTTATATAGTTGCCGGTTATACACGACTCTTTTATCGTTGCATTATATTAGCATTTATAACGAAATTCACATTCACATACTATACACTTGCATGTACACGCACAGGTACATATGTATTTGAAACAGTCTTCTTTCAGTATCAAACGAGACAGTCTTCTTTCATTATCAAACGAAACAGTCTTCTTTCATTATCAAACGCAGATTAATTCTATAATGATTAGGAATACAAAAAAAAATCCTGCAGGTTTTTGTAAGGGGACACTCCGTATTCGTTGTGTAACCTCGTCTAAAACGATAGACGAAATCCCAAACCGATGAAAACCGAGGTAATAATTTAAAACTGTCATAGACTACCGTACAGATGAACACAGTTTTATTTTCAACTGCTGTCTTCTACCTCTTTGTTGACCGTGTAACATTGTTCTAGGTCCACGTCGACCCATGTAGTCGTATCACGTGATCCTCTAAAAGCGTGACTTTGTTTACTGTCGGCTTTGTTGTCGAAGTCACATGACCAAAGTGTCACCCATTGTGTGCCTGGAGTGAGAGAAAAATGTGTTTAGACAATCTACATCTATTAAAATCAGAAAGTACACTACGTCATAGAGGTCGTTCATCAATGACCTGACGCACTTTTGGTCGAATATCAGGCCCGATTACCCCACATCCTTACACGTCGTCACGAAAACAACCAACACCCCAACACCCATCTATCCCCTCTAGGAGGCCATTTCGGTTAGCTAAATTGATATTCCCCAATAGCCAAGGTAGGGTGGGGGAGGAATAATGTGGATAAGCCACTAAAATCCTACACTTAAATCCTACACTTAAATCCTATAACTCTACAGGTTGAGAAAAAAAAACAACGTTACCCGCTTGCACCTCTCCCCAGTTTGTTTCGATCACAGTTCCGTCCTTCACCTTGGGAGAAAACTTGGCAATCTTGTGCTCAATGGTTAGCGCCGTCCAGTCCACCTTACAGGTGTAGTCGTCTGCGTCAAGGAAGGCTCGACGGAGAAAGTTTGATCGTCTGGTGGTGAATTAAGTTTTAGTTTTTACAGTCCAGCAGTAAATCAAGTATTAGTTTTTACAGTCCAGCAGTAAATAAAGTTTTAGTTTGTTTTTACAGTCCAGCAGTAAGTCAATTTTCAATTTTTACATTCTAGCAGTAAGTCAAGTTTTAGTTTTTACAATCGAGCTGTAAATTAAGTTTTAGTTTTCACAGTCCAGCAGTAAATCAAGTTTTAGTTTTTACAGTCAAAACGTAAATTACATTTTAGTTTTTATAGGCAAGCAATAAATTAAGTTTTAGTTTTTACAGTTCAGCAGTGAAATACGTTTTTTTTTCTTTTCTGTCAAGCAGTAAATTTAATAATAATATATTCGTTTTTACACTAAATAAAGTTACCCTTTCAGACCTTGCGATTCATATGGCAGATGGGGTAGAGTTTGCCAGTTTTTTCTGTTACTTCTTAGTATTTACAATAAATTTAGTTTTACTTTGTACATTACAGCAGTAAATTACGTCTTAGTTTGTACATTACAGCAGTAAATTACGTTTTAGTTTGTACATTACAGCAGTAAATTACGTTTTAGTTTGTACATTACAGCAGTAAATTACGTTTTAGTTTGTACATTACAGCAGTAAATTACGTTTTAGTTTGTACATTACAGCAGTAAATTACGTTTTAGTTTGAAACTTAACAATTCCCACCTCCTAACACAACCACTTATAATGCATCGATTGCCCCAGGAACAAAATACATATAAAGAACAGAGTTTCTTCCAGGCATCTCTTCGGGGCCCGAAAAATTTTTACCGCCCCCCTGAACGAAATGAAATTTATATAATTTATATAGAAAATATATACTTTTAACAGTGTCCGCCCCCCGAAGAAAGTTTACCGCCCCCCCCCCCCCCGAAGATTTCAAGTGCCCCCCCCCCCCCGGAGAAAAAAGTCTGGAAGAAACACTGCTAAAGAAACACTACAAATACCTAAGGTTAATTCTCTGATGAAAAAAAAAAGATGTCTACTTACTTTAGAAGAACCTGCCAGGCATAGCGCCGAATGACGTCATCCAGTTCCAAGATAAATGATGACATCATTAAAATTCTTCTCTGTTAATCTTTACTTCAGGATATTTACATACCCTGAGAGGAATAGAGTGGCTCATATTACACGCACGTGTATAAATGGGGTGGAAAGACGTCTATAGACAGCCATGTAGATAATAAATTATAGTGTAAGACCACTTTATGTTGTTGTTTTTTTGTACGCATAAGTCTGAATACTATTTATAAAATATGACCATAATGGACTATCAGACAGACACTAAAACAATAACATTTTAAGCAAGATTCTTACACAATTATGTAAATATTCGTTAACTATTAAATTTGCTTGTCTTTGAATTTTCTGCTAATAATGATCTATTATTGCAGCATCTTTCATTCTAGTACATCCAAATTTCGAAAAATAATCTATAGACGTTGCTCAAATGCTTTGCTTATCTGAACAACGATGCAGGTTTCATAGTTTGACTTTAATCACACCAGCTTAATTCGTCTGGTTCGGAAATTCCCGTCAATTCAGTGCAAGACAGTGCGCACGTATTCGCGCGACCTCTGATTTTTCCCGTCCCCCTGGCGACACGTTTCTCGCCACAGCAAGAGAAAGAAATGTGGAAAAGACCATCTTGATTTGCTGTAGATACTTGCTCAACGAAGGAAGATTCATTCCCAGTCATGAACAAAACAGCCGCGCCAAAAAGGAAGGGTAAAAAAAATTTTCATACTGGCTGCTTTACTTTTTTTTAATAGAACGATTTAGTATTTAGATATGGATCTAGATTATTGAACTTAATGAAATGACTTTTCAGTTTTTCTGAATTTCATAATAAAATAAGTTGAACAGTGAACTCATTCTAACTTTGTAATAACGTAAAATCTCGAACAATCAAGATCGGCATCGAGATCTATTTAGATTCACCAGCTTGTGTATGATGGGTAGACAGCAGATGTACGGGGTTTTATCCGTTACCCGTAGCGTGATCTAGATCTAGATTATAGTGCGCACTAGTTAAAGTTAATGTTCTTGTAAAGACCAAAAAAACTCATAATGACGGCATAATGGGAGACAGATCTAGATTTTTGATTTATGAGCATTTTTTTCGCAGTTTTGTTGAGAAAAAAGTGTTTATAAAAGCGGTTATGTATGTCTTTCTAGATATTTGACGTTTTTTTTTTTTTATATTTATATAGATCTGGATTCGATTCAGTAACTATATATTTTTTAAAGGCATTTTTTTCCTTGTTGCCACGTAATAACGTAAACAAACTCGTCCAGTGGATGCTGACGTTCAACAGTGCCATCTATCGGGAATTACCAGACGAGTGCACACTGTATTTGTTTTTTGATTCTTTAAATTGAATTACTCTACAAAAAAGTGAGTTGCGCTAAAACTTTGTTTTCAACTGGCGCTGAAGAAAAATGTTTACCCTAAGAGCTTAGCACTCAAACATTAGCGCTCCTGATTTCAGTTTGGGTAACAAAAGTGATATTACAAGAAACGTTTAGGTAGTATGGCGGATAGGTAGGTCTATAAGTAGTGTATAGATGTAGTAAATGCAAATTGAAATTCACGAAAGTCAAGAATATATTACTATTCTAGATCCATATTGTACTGTTATTTTCAGCTTCAATTATGTTGATTTTTTAAACTAGCCAGAAAACAAGTTTTCAGCAAGGTGATCATCTCCCCTCTCACCTATTGGATTATGCCTTTGATTAACCATATTCGCACAATCGTGTAGTTTAATCGTAGGGTTAATGCTAGGTTATCTACGTCATTTGTAGAATAAACAGAATGATGTGATGAACTGTATCGAATATGTATCTCTGTGTCGTTAGACAAACCTTAAACTAGACTCACCCTAGCACTATCCAAATCCTAATAATAATAGTAAACATGGTTTAAGCTTTGATCCCATCTCTAGCCCTTTGATCCTATCCATACCTTTGATTCTATCCCTAGCCCTTTGATCCTATCCCTAGCCCTTTGATCCTAGCTCTAGCCCTTTGATCCTATCCCTAGCCCTTTGATCCTATCCCTAGCCCTTTGATCCTATCTCTAGCCCTTTGATCCTATCCCTAGCCCTTTGATCCCATCCCTAGCCCTTTGATCCTATCCCTAGCCCTTTATCCCTAGCCCTATGATCCTATCCCTAGCCCTTTGATCCTATCCCTAGCCCTTTGATCCCATCCCTAGGGGGTTATGTGGTCAGTGACCTCTGTCATACAGGGGGGTTATGTGGTCAGCAGTGACCTCTGTCATACAGGGGGGTTATGTGGTCAGCAGTGACCTCGGTCATACAGGGGGGGGGGTTATGTGGTCAGCAGTGACCTCGGTCATACAGGGGGGTTATGTGGTCAGCAGTGACCTCTGTCATACAGGGGGGTTATGTGGTCAGCAGTGACCTCTGTCATACAGGGGGGTTATGTGGTCAGCAGTGACCTCTGTCATACAGGGGGGGGGGGTTATGTGGTCAGCAGTGACCTCGGTCATACAGGGGGGTTATGTGGTCAGCAGTGACCTCTGTCATACAGGGGGGTTATGTGGTCAGCAGTGACCTCTGTCATACAGGGTGGTTATGTGGTCAGCAGTGACCTCTGTCATACAGGGGGGGGGGGGTTATGTGGTCAGCAGTGACCTCGGTCATACAGGGGGGTTATGTGGTCACTGACCTCGGTCATACAGGGGGGTTATGTGGTCAGCAGTGACCTCGGTCATACAGGGGGGTTATGTGGTCAGCAGTGACCTCTGTCATACAGGGGGGGGGGGTTATGTGGTCAGCAGTGACCTCGGTCATATAGGGGGGGGGTTATGTGGTCAGTGACCTCGGTCATACAGGGGGGTTATGTGGTCAGCAGTGACCTCTGTCATACAGGGGGGTTATGTGGTCAGCAGTGACCTCTGTCATACAGGGGGGTTATGTGGTCAGCAGTGACCTCTGTCATACAGGGGGGTTATGTGGTCAGCAGTGACCTCTGTCATACAGGGGGGGGGGGTTATGTGGTCAGCAGTGACCTCGGTCATACAGGGGGGTTATGTGGTCAGCAGTGACCTCTGTCATACAGGGGGGTTATGTGGTCAGCAGTGACCTCGGTCATACAGGGGGGTTATGTGGTCAGCAGTGACCTCTGTCATACAGGGGGGTTATGTGGTCAGCAGTGACCTCTGTCATACAGGGGGGTTATGTGGTCAGCAGTGACCTCTGTCATACAGGGGGGGGGGGGGTTATGTGGTCAGCAGTGACCTCGGTCATACAGGGGGGTTATGTGGTCACTGACCTCGGTCATACAGGGGGGTTATGTGGTCAGCAGTGACCTCGGTCATACAGGGGGGTTATGTGGTCAGCAGTGACCTCTGTCATACAGGGGGGGGTTATGTGGTCAGCAGTGACCTCGGTCATATAGGGGGGGGGGGGTTATGTGGTCAGTGACCTCGGTCATACAGGGGGGTTATGTGGTCAGCAGTGACCTCTGTCATACAGGGGGGCTATGTGGTCAGCAGTGACCTCTGTCATACAGGGGGGTTATGTGGTCAGCAGTGACCTCTGTCATACAGGGGGGGGGTTATGTGGTCAGCAGTGACCTCGGTCATACAGGGGGGTTATGTGGTCAGCAGTGACCTCTGTCATACAGGGGGTTATGTGGTCAGCAGTGACCTCTGTCATACAGGGGGGTTATGTGGTCAGCAGTGACCTCTGTCATACAGGGGGGGTTATGTGGTCAGCAGTGACCTCGGTCATACAGGGGGGTTATGTGGTCACTGACCTCGGTCATACAGGGGGGTTATGTGGTCAGCAGTGACCTCGGTCATACAGGGGGGTTATGTGGTCAGCAGTGACCTCTGTCATACAGGGGGGGGTTATGTGGTCAGCAGTGACCTCGGTCATACAGGGGGGTTATGTGGTCACTGACCTCGGTCATACAGGGGGGTTATGTGGTCATCTAAACTCGCCTGACCCAGGGGCGTTCTACTGACTAGTCTGGGATCCGAACTCGAAACTATCAGGCTAGCAGTCGTAAGCTCGACCATTCGACCACGCCGTCCCTCAATCGACCAATTATAAAGCTATGTATAGATTAGCTTTCTCTTGATATACAAGCACGCTTTAAGTAGAAGTTAGCCCTTAGGGTTAGATTTTTATATTCGCTCATGATTGATTAATGATTGCGCAATCAACGTCCGTGCGTAGTTTGCTCTGTACCGCTTAACAAACACGGGTCTGTTCAGGGGGGAGGGGGTGAGCAAGAAACAGAGGGGCTGAGAAAGATTAAACAAATAAATTGCGAAATACACTTACCTTAATCTGAGTTAGGTATGTTTATTACTAGCTTAAGAACACATCTATACATATGCAATAAACCCAGACACACTAGATTAGAGTTACAGCTTGTAAAATGAACATAGTTTATTTAGTATTATCAATAGTCTGAGCTCATGTGTACACATATGTGTCAGAAAATACAAAGAAAAAACAATCAATATTATTTGAAACAAAATATGACTGCAGTTTAAAAATTGCGTTCGTGTAGGTTATCCAGAATCATTGTAGGCCTACTAGGCACAACAGTTACAGTTGTTCCGTAGTTGGAATTTCTTTTTTAAAGTCACATGGTCTTAGATCACGAAACTTGTTAAGAAAAAAAAAATTTCCAACGTAGATGTAGGTCAACGTTGCGTAACAACGAGCCACGCATACTCGCCAACAACCCGTCTTTACTCACCCCTAGCTCAACCTGCCGTGCACAACCATGGCCAACCACCCCAGACAAAACAATTTCACAATTCAAAGTTATGGCTGATCTTTGTATTCTGTGAGAGAATTGCCTGCTGTATTATATTTGATAGTAATACGGTTTATTTTATTATATAGTTGTACTCGGTATTATATGTCATAGTTGTCCACATTGTTATATGTCATAATTGTCCTCTGTATTATATGTCATAGTTGTCCTCTGTATTATGCCATATTTGTCCTCTGTATTATATATCACAGTTGTCGTCTGAATTATATGCCATAGTTGTCCTCTGTATTATATGCCATAGTTTCCCTCAGTATTATGTCATAGTTGTTCTCTGAA